CTAACCCTAACCCTAACCCTAACCCTAACCCTAACCCTAACCCTAACCCTACCCCTAACCCTAACCCTACCCCTAACCCTACCCTACCCTAACCCTACGCTCTTTAGCGCTATCTTGCTGCTCGATTGCAGACTATATCTATGCTGGATGCCGAGATCTTTCTCTAAGCCTGTGAGGTCACTGCTTACTAGCTTTACTTCGTTTTTCTTTATAGCCTCAATCTAGAAACCCGGAAATTCAAATATAGCACATGCTGTAGGTATAGCACTCCCCACTCGCAAACCAAGCTAGCTGACGAACCTTAGCTAGGTATGAAATTCACTATGTGCTTGGTACTCGAAATATATGAGCTTAGCTGGGATGATTTCAACAAGAACAGGGTTATTCTGCGTGGTATCTACGTGTTCCCAAATTTGGTCACCTTATGGGTGTACATCGTCACAGTCTCTGGCGAAGTACCTTATGATGAATGCGCTTGCGGAATTTTATATAGATCGGATCGCGCAAGCATTGAGCAATGCGTGGTACAAGGCTAATGGGCGGCTTTTGAATTGACTGTCACGTAAGACAAACACCTGAACTATTGCGAGGTATTGCACTAACAAGAGTAGTTCGCTCGTAGTACACTAGTTCTTCCTCGAACTACTGGCGCTTCTCGAGAGCATCTTTGGCTCTCCGCGATCAGCGCACGAAGTCGCTAAACGACGAAAGAGGCTGCAGCGAGGCGTGGATCCTTGTGTGCTATACTTGGGGCAGGTGATACGGCGTACCTGGGGATTGATCTGGGGATTGATTCGCGTGAACAAGAAGCACGAAGACTGACAGCACGATGTTATGTCATATGATGATGCGAAAACCGACTTGACGCAGTGGCTTTCTGGTCGATTGGCCGCGGAAAAAATTGCTTGGCGTCATTCATTCACTTGGTACGCAGTGTCGACTTATTGAGAGTTGCTTACTTTATCAAATTGAAACCGCTGTTGCTGACAGATACTGAAAATGCGACAAATTATGAAGCACATGGTCCACCGAGTCCAGTGGGTCACAGCCGTTGTCTCAGCGTAATCCTTCAGCTCCAAGCATAATCTCACAACGATGTGCTCTCGGTGCAATCAAGAAGAAGTTCTCCAGCTCCATACTCTCCTCAGTTGTCGATGGCGCACGCTGACTCCCAGGACACCTTCGGAAGAACTCCGCGGCAGCAGGTCTCAGATCCATGTACGCGATATGCATTCCAAGACAGGTGCGTGACCCAGCACCGAAAGGCGTCATTGCAGCTCTCCCAGCATCGGAAACTCGATTCTTGCTCTCAGCCAGCCAACGCTCGGGCAGAAACTCAAGTGGCGGTTCGAAAAGCTCCGGATCTCGATGCATGCTGTATGCTTGTGTGCTCACGATGCTGTTCTGCGGCAGGAAGAATCCTCCTAGGTCAATGCCTCCGGCGGGGACTACTCGTGGCAAAGCTCCTGGGGCTGCACCACACAGTCGTAATGACTCCTCTATGGCCGCATTCAGGAGTGGGCATTTGCTTTCGATATCGGCATCAGAGTAGTCTGCGTCTAGCTGTGCGACCTCCTCTTCAATGGCGTCCCGCAACGTTGGTTCTTTGAGTACAGCCCAAATCAGATACGTCAGCGATACAGCAGTAGTGTCGGTCCCAGCGACGAAAAATGAGATTATCTCGCATACAACATCCCCATCGGTCAAGGCCTCTCCTTTCTCTGCCTACTGGGTGATGTGGGCGAATATGTTCTTGCTCTGCTGGCTGGCTTTCATGTTCTTCACCGCGATGCTCGCATGGTCTGCCAGCAAGTCATTGGTCCTCCACAGCTCCCTCGTTGTTTGGAATGGCAGCCACTTTCCTGTCGCTCTCAACCACGGAAGCTCTGCGCCAATGCCGTTGCCTTTCAGGGCATTCGTCAGAACACGAATATACTCGTTGACTTCGCCCTTCTCCAGCGTGCGAAAAGACTCTCCAAACAGCAGATGGCTGGAGATGTCGCTCGACATGAGTGTGCACAACTTCATGATATCGACGGGCTCGCCAGCTTTGCCCTCTTCTGCAATCTTGGCAACTGCAAGCTGAATCTTCTCTCTCATGACGCCTTCCCAATTGTGCTTGATATTGGTCTTGCTGAAGCCACGAGCAAACAATCTCCGTCTCTGAGCATGCTCCTTGCGATCCATCATCGTGAAGAGCGTGCTTCAGGGAAACGCAGTCACATCGCTGTACCATTGTGTCTTCTCAAATCCGGATCCAATGGCATGAATCTTCTTCATGCTTGCAACATCATTGATGGCTACCCCTTGCGGCGAGATCCGTACAACGGGTCCGTACCGCTTGTGTAAGCTATCGACATAGTGGACTCTGCGACCAGTGATCACCGCGAGCTTGAGTGGGAAATTGATGACTCTCGCAAGTCATGGCCCGGGGATCTTGTTTAGCGGGTTCCTGGCGGCCTGAAATAGGATCTGCAATATTCAGTCTCGACCCGCGCTTTTTGGATTCCGCATGAATGTACTTGCCTTCACTGCTAGCAGCAATGTCGCATAAATTAGAAGTAGGAGCGGATCCTCAACTGTGAGCCAGTGTTTGGATGAATGCTGGCCATTATCGGTTGATACTTTCGAAGCAAACATGCTTGTCGATCGCGCACGCTCAGGGGGAAGGCCTTGTGATTGTTGATTTGTGGTTCGTGCTCGTATCTTCCGGATGGTTGTGGTCACGACATGGTCAAGATCTGACCCATGCGGGCGAAGGCTCCAAAAGTAGTCGTCCCGGGGTTAAGTTCCAGCCCAGCGACACTGTTGTCTAACCTCAGTTGACATAGACGCGCATTGCTTCGATCCGCACAGAGCAGCGTGGTGAGGTTCTGCTCCAATGGCAGCTGCGCCCGCATCTCGCTCGATTAGCGCGGCGGAGAGTTGTACTTGCCGCATGCGCGGTCATTCGTCTTCGAGTGTTCTCGAAGATCGGCGTGGAAGAGTGTTGGTCTAGGACGGACAGCAGCGGCCACAGAGTTTGAAGGTCCGGAAGTGGGTGACGGTAGTCTTCTCATTTCCCAGCTCTGCTCTTCCGATCTTGCATGCCGGCCATCGCATTTGTCGCTCCTCACGGATCGACACCAGGCGGTGCATCGTGCTGAGAAGTCACCGCGATTGTCTACAGCTGGATCTCAGCATCATAAATGAGCCAATATGTCGACGCGCGGACCTGACGCCGCACCAGTCGGATCTTTGTGGCGGCCAAGAAGAGCAATCGCCGCCTACGTTTGTTTGCTCTTCCTTCCGCTCATCTCCGCGAAGTAACGATGAAGACGACAACCCAAAACAGCAATCAAGTCGAGGAGGCAGCATTAAGGATCCGAACTAACACAGCTTATAGAGCTCTCTATATCTTGCGATGCTGCGGCATCGACTGCCCGTCGTAGCTATAAATAGTAGTATTACTATCCGGTCGGGCGCGATGCTTCTAAAGGCTTCATCTCTTTATAACTCTAGAAAGATAATTTATTATACTAATACATGAAAGAACGAAGTACGCTTATATAACTACGAAGAGATAGAGCAGCGTCGGCTCTGTCGTCTAAGAACAATTAAATAAGTAAAATTTATCGTACTCGATCTATTCTAATATCTTGCGGCGGCAGCTGTGTCCAAGCAATGGGCATCGTCTCCTGCCTTTATCTTTCTTGCGTCTTGTCATTCCTCGCATGTGCGCTCTGCCATAGGAACAAACCGCTGACACAGCTTCAGTAGGCAAGAGCACAAATTGTGCTCCAAGAATGCTGCAGCTCACGCACGACCAATTCGTCGCCATTGCCATGCATGATTTGATTTCCAAAAGTCGAGAAGTAATATACTGCGGAAAGACTGGCTTCGGTCAACTTGGCGAGCAAAGAGAGCCCTGTCGCTCAACACAGCGGCTTGTTGGCCTCAGTCCTATGAGCCAAGGCTTCCGCCTCTGTCAGACAGCAACACTAAGCTCTGGACCCAGACCGTCACCTCTGTACCTTCGATGTATTCTCCCGAGCGGCCTCCCCTTTCCGGATCGCTCGCCTTGCGATCGATCACGAACGCATCCAGCCTTCGTCTCAACTGCGAGAGCTCGCGGCTTGAAGATCAAGGGACCAGCGCTGCAGGCTTACAGAGATGGGGATGAGATTCGAGATCACCGGGCAATGCTTGAAGAGTTCCATTCGCTCTGGAGGTCATCCAAGCCTTCGTACTACTTCGCATGTCACAACGACCGGTGATGCTGTGATCTGATGGCTACCCGCGGTTTCCACGGCCTCTCGGCAGGCTTGGAGTACCTCTTGGAGTCCACGCCTTCTGCCCGTGTTGGCGGGCAACAAAACTTGCCAGTGATACTTCTATAAGACGCAAAGCCCTCCGATTAAGATATATAACTTTGCCAGAGTTCTCCTGTGGTCCAGTCTCTCAGCCACGATGTCTTACTTGGCCTGGGTCGAGCACCGTACGAAGATCACTGCCCTTCTTGTTATTCCTGCGATTCTTGCTGTGCTCATTGCGATTCTCCTTTATGCTGCGAGACCCGTAGGCAACAAAATATCAGCTAGCGGACGAACTCCGATTCTTCCTCCTGGACCGCGGGGCGTGCCAATTCTGGGCAACTTACTCGATATTGCGAACCAAAAAGACCCCGAGCATAAATTTGTGAGTTGACCGACTGACCCATCATGGGACGAGCATTGACTCTCGTTGAGCTGCGTGGCATTACCAAATATGGCGAGATGACGACTCTTCATATGGGCTCGAAGACCTGGATTATGCTCAACAGCAAGCGTGTAGCGGGCGAGATCATCTCTAAACGTGGCGCCATAACCAACGAGAGAACACGCATGCCCATGTCGCACGAGGTCCTGAGCCGAAACTCTCGAACTCTCCTGGCACCATTGAATCGATGGCACGAGCCTCGCCGTCTGCTATCATCCCTCATGCTTACAGGCTCCGCACTGCAGCGATACGGAGAAATTCAGGAACTAGAAAGCAACCAGCTCATGGCAGAGTACATATTGCAGCCGGAGTTATGGTTTCGCCATAATTATCGCTACGCAAACTCTGTGATTCACCGCATTGCGACGGGAGCCAAGTCACATATCGAGAATCAGGATCTTAAGAATTTGCAGCAAGTCACGACGGTGTTCCTCGATTCCATCGGCTCGAGCATCGTTGACTGGTTCCCTTTGCTACATTCTATTCCCCGTCCTCTGCAGTTCTGGCGAAGCTACTGGGAGGAGCGTGCGCAGTGGACACACGAAGTACTCAAAGCTTGGTGGGATCCAGTCAGAGAGCAAGTTGAGAACGGTACCGCGAATCCATCCTTCGTTCGAGATACTCTGTTGAACCCGGAATCAAAGTACCAGGGCACTGACGAAGAAACCATGTATCTCGGCATGACACTGATCGAGGCCGGCAGTGATACAAGCAGGATGGTCCTCAACACATTAGCGATGGCCGCGGTACATTACCCAGAAGCGTGGGCCAAAGCTCGACAAGAGGTTGATTCCATATGCGATACGCCTGCTGGTCTCAGACTGCCGCTGATGAGCGATCTGAAACGCATGCCATACTGCTGTGCGATTGTAAAAGAACTGCTCCGCTGGCGACCCATTTTTCCCTACCCGCCCGATCACACTCTCACCCAAGACCTGGATTTGGAAGGCTACTTCTTTCCGAAAGGCACATCGATGGTCATGAACTTGATCGCGATAGGAGACGAGTGCGAGGATCCAGAACTTTTCAGGCCCGAAAGATGGCTGAATGGCCACGAAGCCGACATCACTCATAATTTGTGGCAATTTGGTGGTGGTCGTCGGATATGCGTGGGCTATCGCCTTGCTCAGACGGGCATATTCGTCAATGTCGCAAGATTCGCGATGTGTTTTGACTACGAAGCGGTATGTTAACGTTGTCTGCCACTCTTTGCTGCATTTTCGCGCTGACGTCTTCTAACTTCACAGACCGGAAAATTGAACTCGCTTGATTTGAATCATGAAACGCTGGAAGAGCCATTTCCGATTAGAGTCAAGCCTCGTGGCACAAAGTATAAGCAGCTCATACTTGATGAAGCAGAAAGGGCCGGTCTTCTTGACGTTGCGAGAAATGGTAGAACACCCGCAGGCGAGCATAATGGGTTAGAATAGTTTCATGGCCGACGCTGATGGAGGACATGAGGTGAGCAAAGGGCTAATTCCAATCGTCTGAGGCAGAGTCTCCGGGCGACCTCAGACATTGATCCTCGGCGATGCATTGATTCTGCATTATGATTCAGGCATCTTGAAGTGTCGCACCTAAGCGCATTATTCATTTCGACCAACCAGAGCGGGCATTGCTTTGCCTCCCACGACATCATAGCAGACATACCTTGAGCTTCAACATCAAAACTATCCTATCGGATCCTGCTTAAAACCTCCTCCCTGTCCTCCCTCCTCCTCTTCCGGCGCAGGCACAACTTGTCCACAGATCGCATTGCCCACCGTGCTGAGTAACGCACTACCATCAGTCGGATCCTCAGGATCATCCTCATCCAAAACAGCCGCCCACTCATTCGCAGCTTGATTGACACCACACTCCCTCGCACCATAGATTTCGCAAACACCACCATTATCTTGCTCTGGTTCACTGTCATCAGCAGATTGTGCAGGACGGAACAAGAAAACTTGAGGCGACCTGACCAGGTCTCCAAAATTACCACGAGCCAGCATGGCGGCATTGCAGCACTGGTAAGCGTTCTCTTTGACTGTAGTGGCTTCGAGTGTAGCGCGGCCTTCAGGAAGCTCGTCGACTGACTCGATGGGTCGACCACTGGCGAGGTTGGCATAGTTGGCAGTTTGAAGACAGACGCCAAAGACGGTCGTTGTCCCGGCAATATTGGTTGAGGTTATAGTGGTGGATACTGTGGTTGGCACAACTCTCTGGAAAAAGGATCTCGTTAGTGGGTGTCGTTGGCGACAAGTATCGCGGCAGTCGCTGCTTACTATGGCCTCAGACGTCCTTGTCTTGGTCGTCGTCGCGGTGACCTTGGCGATCGGGCATACAGTCGCGGTCACAACCTTGGTCGTCTGTGGGTTTGTCTGTGTCAGAAAGGGCTTTGTCGTTCAGTTGGTCAGGCTGTATTTTTACCTTGACAATGAATGTCTCTGGATAAGACGCCTGCTTCTTCTTCGTGACGATCTTGTGCTTGATCTCACACTGCTTGCTTGGAGTGTAAACATTGCACTGAACCTTCTTGGGGTACTGCTTCTGGCTCTTGTAAGCTCGCTTATGAAGGGTGTCAAGCGACCTCCGCCTCATAGTGTTGTTCGTGAAAGTGGACCCTGGTAGAGAAGTTTGCACAGGAACGAATCCAGCGGGCGCGGGGACGACAGTGTCTTGGAACACCTGAACAACGGAAGTGGAGACGGAAGTCGGGGTGGACACATAGTCCTTTGTCGTTGTTACCGTGTTGTAGACCTTCGTGGTGTACGTGTTTGTCTTCTTGTCCGTAACAGTTGTAGTTGAGTATCTAACATCAGTCTTGTACACTTTGGGAGTGGTCGTTGTATAGATCGTCGTCGTGGAGGTTCTGGTGCAGGGCTCTAGAGAATCAAGTCAGCGTGCATTCCAAGTCGTGTTCAGAAATGTGACTGCAACTTACGATCATACGTGGAATACTTGATCTCCAAGTAGCGCGGAGCGTTCTTCGTGGTCATTGCAGTATAACATTCTGTACGGTCCTTGGCCAGCACACCGTTGGCGAGAACTGCCAGAACGGCAGAGAAATTATTGAGCAACATGTTGATGCACCGGTTTGACGGACTTGGGCAGTATCTCGCAGCACCGACTGATGTCTGACCACTCCATCTTAAGGAATCGACTCGTTGCTCTGGCCATGACCAACTGTGCGCCAGATTGAACGGCGGCTCCGTCCTCTAACTCAGAGCATGTTGCGCCAGGCGCCACAAATATAGCCGGCAAGGAAGAGGCTGAAAGCAGATACCGTTCTGCAGGCATTCGAGGATAGTCTAGACGAAAGCAACGGCGCCCGGCCCCTTTGGGCGTATGCTAAAGATGCACGCATCACGTGGCAAGCCTGGTATCAAGGCCGAGAGCACCTCGTGCTGTGGCAGGCCACCCCAATTGGGTACTCCCCAGCGTAGGCGCACGTGGCTGATTAGTTCCACCACCAACGACACGTGCGATGCGGAGTGGCGCTCATCTGGACTTCGGCAGACCGCACATGAATTGTCAGATTTATGTAAGAATAATGTCAAGGGCATTACTGCGAGTCTACCGGTCGACTCTGAAGCCAGATTTACGACGCGCCAAAGCTGCACCATGGCCACGGAACACCCACCCCCAACAACAACATGCGAGTATCGCAGACATCCTGAAGAAATCCCATCCGCGCTTGGCCTCCACGTCTGGCAGTATCGACAGTGCGAGGAGCTGCTGTATGACTGAGCTCGCACGCGCTCCAAGGAACCTGTCTGCCTGACTGCCCGGCAAGCACGCGACATCTCGTCATAAAGCTCAGGTCGATTCCAACACTACAAATCGCAAGTTTTGGTGATCTCTGGCGAATCAGCTTTCCGAGCCATACAAGTGTAACGAATGCGAGCCACGGAGCGCGCGACAAAATGGTCTGAGCAAGCCACAAATGGATATACAATTGTGTAGGGCTTGTGGCTCTCACAGCCGGACAAGGGCGAGATTGGCCGGCGACCACGTGTGTGAGCTTGAGCCGCATCTGTATGGCGGCTCGCGCTGGAGCGTCCATGTCGTCTGCTTGCTCTGTGCAGGCAATGGACGGACGCCTCTTCTCTACGTGTACCAAAAGGCGAGAAATTTACCCCTCTCAGCGATACATGTGGCGCTCAAGTACACATGGCCACCCGCAAGTGGAGCCATTGGCCGCAATGCTACCTGTTGCAACACACCAGAAGCTGCCGCGTGCGGCGGAACCGAGATCGTGCATGAGTACATTCATGGGATCTTAGCCGGTCTGGATGTCAAGATTGATCTATAAGGCGCGGATGGTTCAGTAAGCACGATGCCGCCTGCCTCTCTTCGTACGTCCTTTCAGCGCGTGTCTGCACGACATGTTGTCGCAACTTCTCCTGGGGCTGCTTACCCCAATTCTTTGTCATGCCACTCCAGTGGACTTCGACATTAGTCGGCGAGCTGGCAGCAGCGATCAACCCGAACTTCCAAGACTGAAGCCCGTCGTCCGATGGGATCGAGACCTGGAGGAATGGACCGATCTTGTCCCACAAACTGCGCAGCAGCTCTACTTCGGCTCCGATGACCCAAACGAAAGACATCAGTTCGCTGACATGTCAGGGAACTTCACTGGAAAAGCCGTCGTGTTGCAACGTTCGGCCTTCGTTACTAATGTCAAGTGCACCCCCAAGTCGATCGAGGTCACTCTCTCGAACAACGCCGCCTATTCCATGGTCGAGACTGAATGGCAAGCCGTGGACGACTTCATGCTAGTCACCAACTCCGACTCCTGTGGCCACCTCTCGGAACAGTTCAGTTTCTGGGACGTCAAGACTCTCAAGTTCTCCGCCAAGACGTTGACGGTCAAGGCATCTGTCGACCGGGAGCTCGACATCGGCACTGTGCTTGGTGAGGTGAAGTTGTCCTGGGGCACCTGGGAACCCGGTCCACCTCTGCGTCACACGCCACGAGCAGCAACGGGTCACCGTCTGATGCGTCGTTGTGATATATGGAGCCCCTTGGAGTGCGGCAAGAAAGCCGTGAACTATGCAGTCGACAAGGTCAAGTCGGGACTCAGTGCCGGCGCAGAGCTGGTGCTCAAATACCATCCTGGTATTGTGGTGACGAGGTAAATCGCCGGCAAGGTCATGGAATTTTGGCAGCCTGACATGAAGCTGTCGATTCCCATCGATGTCCGGTTCCCAGAGAAAAGGATCGATACTAGCGCACCAGCTCCTGCGAAGTGGAAGAATCCTGGAGTGTTGAAGAAAATCACCAAAGGTGAAACCATAAAGGGCGTCAAGATTGATGGTTCCGTCGGCCTGTACTACGTCGACTGCCACTTGACAGGAAAGATCAATGTTCAGGGCCGTGCCGAGTTCACCAGTGATGGCCTTTCTGCCCTGTACGCCGCATGCGACGCTGACTTCCAAGGCCAATTTGCCATCGGACTGGCAGCAGAGGTACGTTGAGGCTCTCGTCGCCAAGCATATGACTGCGCTGACACAACACAGGTCAAGATCGACTACGAGGTCGATGTCTGGGCTTGATGACGATGATCATAATGAATATAACCTGCATGTATCTTTAGATGACTTCTACGATTTGAACGACACTCCGATTCGGACGACTTTGGCATTTCATTGGGGCAACATGGCGACACCACGGCTGTTGTCAACAACGTTTGACACACGCCTCATGCCCTAACTTGGATAGCAGCTCATCTGCTGTTGCGGCCGAAGAAGAGACCAGGGCCCTTCAGAGCTTAATTGGCTCTATTCATCGTAGCGCAGAAGCAGGATGTGGACAGCAGGGGTGCAACTCCACCCATATTGCCGAAGTTGACATGCGCACCAATCTCGACCACACTGCTCAATCATAGGCCGCGTGTGGAATCATTCTTGGCAATGCTGTTACCATGCCTTAAGCGCTGCACACTTTGACGCTTTTCCCTTCGGTTCGAAAGCGAGGCGTGGCATGGTACTGACAGCACCCCGGACGGATATCACTAAACACAATCAATCGAGCAGCGTGCAAGACTTGTTGGTCCCCAAATAGCAACGATGTACACGGCATGTATACGTGAGCTTTCTGACTTTGATCTCAAGTGTGTCTAAAGAATGCTAGATAGTGAAGACTGAGTGAGTTCGCGCTCGAAAGACCTGGCCACTCTCCACACCGGCTGAGCTACAAGCACAATCATGGCCTCGGAGTCGAGAATCCCGTTTCGTACCGCAGCTTTGGCAGCCAAACGCAAAATCTTCATCAAAGCCGCTCTGGTTTCTGCAATCATCTACCTACTCGGTACAATCGCAAGCATGAGCTACTTGTGCGGAAGCACCATCAAGGATGAGAACCGATGGCACAATCTCGACATCCTCGCTGTGCATCAAGACTCAGGCAATATCAGCTCCGCGTTGGAGAGCGCATATCAAGACCTGCGTAAAGATTCATTCCCGACAATTATCAAACGCAGTCCAGAGGAATATGTCACCATTGCAGAAGTTCGCCAGTCCGTCTGCCAGGCGAAATACTGGGTGGCAATGTACGAACACAACAGCACTTCAGTCGAGAATTCGCCTACCTCAGTTTCATATACAATGGAACCCGCTGGCCAGAAGCCGCCGAGATCCTTATTGCATCTGCAAAAGATATAATGGATGCTGCGCAGACGGCCTACGAGGCAGAAATGCTTCACAGCGCGAGACGATCCAATATCACCATCGTCGCCACGAGTCCATTCCATGGGTCGAAGTTGAAAATGGAACCCATAGCCGCCACTCGTCTGGTGAGTGATGTCTACATCACAACAGTCAACTTCGTCTTCCCGGTTCTGCTGCAGTTGTTCCTGATCATCACTCTCAATACCCTCTGTCAGAACTTCCAGCTGCACGCACATGTACGGATTCTCGATGTCTGGATGATACGGTTCCTCATTGGCAAATGCTTCACGCTCTTGTCCGCCTTTGTAATCGCAGGCTATATCATCACATTTCGAGACAATTGGGACGTGAGCCCTGCTGCTGGCTTCTTCAGGACTGCAGCGATCTATTGGCTTCTACTAGATGTCAACTGGCTATTCTTTGAAACATTGCTCGGGTCATACGTCGATATGCGATGGTTGTCGCCGTTTATCTTTGCCTGGCTCGTCTTCAATATAGCCAGCACTGCACAGCCGATGGAACTCATACCGGCTTTTTCATCGCGTGGGTTACGCCGCTCCCAACCATAGTGCATTGATGTTGCTCATTCGTGCTTGGTCGGGTTGTGGCGCCGGTTGGGGAGTGGCTCTGCAGGTTCTTCTTGCGTGGTGGATCGTGGGCTCGATCGCATCTGTATTTGGCATTAGGAAGAGATGTCGAGATACAGTGTGAGGACCATCTACATGAGACGATGGCTTGCCCACGTAGAGCATATCGTCATTAAAGATCATACTTCCTGTATGACAATGTCAGCATCTAAGGTCAGGTAGCTGGAATATTCAACTTGACACACTAGCTTGCTCATGTCCTGCATGCTCTGGTTGGCGTGCGTGCGCATTAGACAGATGCTGTTGATCTCGAACTGGGCTACATTCGCTTAGCGATGAAACAGGCCCGCAAGGCCCGTCGCTGAAGCTTCTCAGATTTCTCGACCTGGATCACAAGATGCCCTCGTTCATTCTCTTGATTGAACCCAAACCGTGTCGACGATGACGCTTGAGGTGAGGCACGGGCGAACAAACAGGGCACCATTTGTTTCTATATGCGCACTGAGATAACGATTTTTGTGGTATCGAAGTGTAAGTATGGCCACAGACTACTCCCGGGATCATGCTTGATCAAAGAACACTCGTCTCTGACATCTCACGGATTCGTGCCGAGAGGCTCCTACTCTACGTTACAGTTCTGCTGAATGCGACGCATTGCCTCATAGAACCGATCAACCTCAGGTGAGATGTACTTTGGACGGAACCATGCTTTCTCGAAATTGACCGTAGCTTCCTGCAGATCTTTGCGCAGTTGCTCAATCGTATAAGTAGTCCCATCAACAGTAATGTGGTAGAACTCGGTATTTTGGCCCCCGAAGCAGTCGCCTAGTTGATCTGCATTAGCTTTTGCTGCCTTAGACACGAGTTGACTGATTCTTACGTAGCGCATACTCCTTGAAACACACCCTTTCGAGGATTTTCCCGAACTGTCTCCTGTCCTTGCCCTTCGCATCGAAATCTTGTATGTAGCCAGGGCAGTCGTTGGTGTTAGCCACCTGGCTACAGGTATAGATGATCAGTACTTGGCCTAAGCAGGTGCCTGAAGTCAGAAGCTCTTACAGAAAATGTGTTTTATGCGAGGAGTAGTCTCGTTTTCCGTCACCGATCTTGACCTCAAAACCCTTCTGGCCCTGATACTAAGATGAAGGTCAGCCGCCGGCTGAAGTGTCGCGAAGCGTATTTGAGTACCACGTGGTAGTCGAGCTGGTGCCACGGATCTGGCGTTACAAGCATATAAATAGACTTCTCAGAGGAGGGCATGGTGTCGACGATTCGAGCGCAGATGATGAGCTACATGGCCTAGCAGGCAACGAGTCTTTTACGTCGGTCCGTGTTGTACAAGGCTGCTGACCGATGCGCCACGCTGCATATCATACGACGCACTTGAGAGAGCCCGAATGCGCTGTGCCCTGGCAGTTTGATGCACGATTTTCCTTTTCCAGAACTCAAGGTGGGATCCGAGGCGATCCAGAGCTGGCGGTTGGCGCCACGCCCGCAATTCAGGGCTGTAGAACAATTGACCAGACCTGGAAGTTGGTGCGGCAATCTTGAGACCAAGGACGTACGATATGATCGCCTGCAGCCTCTGCCTTCCAGTATGATCTCAACATCTATCGTTCCTCCAAAGACGGTACCCGACCAAGTAGGAACTCTAGATGGCGATACGCTGCAGCTCCATTATACTGTGGCACAGCATGTCCAGCACCCGTTTGTTCCACCCATGTCAACCCACGCTCAGAGTGCGTCTTGCCCAATACGCCAGCGCCCGCAAAATTGAGATCACCGCATTGCTCACTTCCCAGCGAGCTGCTGTCGCAGATGTCCTGGTCAAAGTACGGCACCACAAAAAGCTTAGACGGCCTGCTCTGAAAACCTTGCGCTCCGTTCCACGTCATATTCTGGATCGCCATCAAGGTACCATTGGGAGCGAACTGGAAATCCGAGTCGCCTGCCACTATGATTGTGCGGTTATTCTTTTCGATCATAGCTGCGAGCGGAGCCTGATCGACGCCTGCGTCGGCAAGCGATGGCCATTCACTGGCATCACTCGTCAGAACATCCGTTCGACAAGTCGACCAGCTGATGTCGGGAGCGTTGATGGCCCGCTGCACATCGCTGCGATTGAAGTACACCTGTGCTCCTGGCGCAACGTACTGAAACGTGTATGGAAAACCGAGTGGGTCGTACAAGATCGGGCATGCGTCGGTAACATGGTAAGAGTTGAAGCACGGGTTGGCCAGCATGGTGGCATCGAGGATCGCAGACCACGTGTCACACCCATCGCGATACTCAAGTCCGTCTGGAGGTGTGCCAAAAGGTCCTTGAGGAGGTGGGAAGGTCAAGTGAGTCTCCATCCACTCTCTGTGGCCGCAAGCTTCCGAAGCATTGCGTATAGAGGTCATGAAAGTCTCGTTCAGGTTAAACACCGGAGCCCAATGATCGACGAAAGGTACAGATGGAATGAGCTGTGATACTGAAGACCATACAACAGCCGGACTGTACAGCAATGCACCTTGTAGGTTGAAGTAAGTGGTGTCATTTGCTTCGTGCATGGCGTTCTAGAACAATTCATCAGTTGTTGCAGAGCTTCCTGATTGCAATTCCCGTCCACTTACGGCAGTGTATGAGATGTAGAAGCCAGCGTACGACTCGCCAGTCAAATAGATCTTTCGGCCATGGAAGCCAAAAGTGTCAATGAAATTGCGGAGCCAGCCCATAAGATTTCTCGCCACGTCCTCTTCACTTTGATCTGTAGGCTCCGAGTTGGAGAAGCCCGTCCCGAGTGGTTGGTCTAGCCTGTGCCTACGTGTCAGTATCTGGAGACAGAATTCTGCCATGGGACCCTACCAAACCATGTTTGTGAGCTTGTTCCAGCTGAACTTGTTCGGAACGGGCTTGTAAGTGCCATATTTCCACGACAGAGGACCATTCTCTTGCAAGAAGCCTGCAAGACTGGAGCATCCTGGACCGCCATTCACTGGACGTTCTCGTCAGCGGAAGATAACTCAGCGTTTCCAGAAACACTTACGCCATATCGTGATCTCATCACTTGCAGCTGGATCCGAGGATGGCGAGAAGAAGAAATACAGCTTGCGTGTCTCGTTGGCCTCCTGCGAAATGGGCAGCTGACCAGCGAAAGCCTGTCCAATGTCGAAATCTACGTCGGGCAGCGCAGTTCCATCAACCACAAATCTGGAGGTGTTTGTGTTCACGGGGACGATCTGATCTGCTCGGTCGCGTAACCGTGATGGCCCTTGATGTTCTGGCCGAAACTGTCGTTTCTGGTACTTCCGGCTCCAGCCATTCGGTCCGGACGCTCCGGATACCAGAGCCACTTGGCTGCAGAAACAAACGACTGCAGCAGTGTTCAGCAACATGGTGAGAACAAGCTCACTGCAACAAAGCTTACTCGGCGCGGCGGATGGGCTGCTCTTATGGACTCGGGCTCATGAGGAAAGAAGCAGTCTTATTGTGTCCCGACGAGACCTTGTGCAGATACGAACACTAGTCACTCATGGAGATCTAGCGTGGGGAAGTCGAAAGGGTGAATCGGCAAAACCCCAGCTTCGTGAAAGAGCAGTAGCATCGAGAATGGAGAGCATCCTGCAATTCCAACACTGGCTTGACCATCTTCAGGCGACAGAATGAGATGATGAGACTTCGGACACAGACTATCGATGACAGATCGGGGCTTGCGGAGAATGCAATGTCGAGAAGAGGTTGAAGGTGGACTGAGCTGCGGGAGATGAAGGTGGTTTGGCCTGCAACGGCGGCATCGGCACTTCGGAGTGCGACATTTCTCCGCCTGACTTCCTCCTTGGAGTACTCCTCACCATCCACACTTACTTGCCCAGCCTGCACGCACACTTTGGCCAACTCGATTGCGGTTTGAGAACAGCGGAATAGGCCATGAGATTGCAGAAGCGTTTCCGGCCGATGTTGGAGGCTTGCTCTGCTACCACACCTACCAAGTCATCATCAGCCGTGACATGGCTGCCAGCGGATCATGAATGATCTGACGAACGTACCAACTGCCAGCTGAACATGATGCTGGAGCAGAGCTGAGCAGGTAGCTCAGCACAGTCTCGGTGGAGGAGAAGCAAGAATGGACTGGACAGCAGTACGACTGACCAGGAACTCCAGTAGCATTATTCTTATTCATTGCTCATTCTTCGCTTCGGCATTACATGTCCTCCATCAGCTCCTCACCTCTTACATTATGAGGACGGCCATGCCCATGGCAGCGACCAGAGCTCCAATTCCGACAACTGTCTGGCTTGTCCTCTCTGCACCGCTGCCACTTCCACCGGATGTGCTACCTGATCCTCCGCTGGAGCTGCCGCTCGACCCACCGCTCGAACTTCCTCCAGATGTCGAGCTGGGCGTCGGACCGCTGGTGCCGCTCGCGACGCCTACGCTGTCATCATCGCTATTGTCATTGTCGTCGCTGGAAGCCGCAGTCGAGGTCGCAGCTCGGGAGCTCGTGGATGTTCTCGTAGAAGTTTGGGGAGCAGGAAGTGTAGCCGTTGGAACGTAGCTGGAAGAAGTCGCGATCGAGTCGTGATCTTCATCCTCATCATCTGGGCAATCGCTTCCGAAGCAGATGCAAGGCTTCTCGGTGGCTGCAGTGGCATCGGGATCGCAGTAGCTGCCGGAATCGCAGCATCCATCTAAACAGCAGCCGCCAAAAATTGGGCACTGTGAACAAGTCAGTCCATCGCCGCTGAGGGGCTGCAGTGAGAACGTCGAGAATTGTTCAGGTCGTCGACAACTCAAAAGCAGCGAGCAAAACCAGAGGGGAGACTCACGCATCCATTTCCATCTGAGCAAGCCTCTTGCGCGACGCCACACTGGCCGCTCTGGCCCTGTCTCCTGAAGAGACCGAATGGATTTTCCAGAGAAGGTTTCATGATAGCCGCCAGGCGTCTTCGCTGAACCTGCTGCTGCCCATCGGTCGCGCTGGTTGCAACGACACTGAGAGCCAGCGTGGCGACGGTGATGAAGCTTGAGCAATGCATTGTTGCGAAAGAGTCTGAAGTGCTACTCAGCGGTATAAAGTGATGTTTAGAGAAGCAAGAGCTAGAAATGGACCATACTTATATGCAGGAAACCACGCGAGGCTGTGCCTGATCTGCAAGTCGACTTGAGCGGTATAGGCCTAGTTCGCTAGGCAAGCTCACCTTTTTTGTGGTGGCTGCCTCGAAAGCTAAGCCTCCAAACATGGTCGGAGCTGAAGCCCTACACGGTGATCTGCAAGATCGACATGTGTTCCCAAATCGGTATGTGTAGAGTGTCGCAGCTTGCGGTAGCAGAAGGACAGCATACCTGCATTCCTCCCGCACGGTTGACACTTCAACAACCCCAATTTGCCTCCACTGACTGCACCTCAAATGATAGTTCCGAGTTCGAAGAGTTCAAGCACCATTTCCACATGATCTCGGCTGGAATGCTTGTCGGCTAGCTTGTTCCACGTTGTTCGCATTCGCGTTGCAGATCAAAAAGCGGTATAGCTCGAGGCCGCAGCGCTACAGCCGAACACGCCAAATCAATAGCTATAGGTTGTGGCGTTGAGGTACTCGCTTCCACTCCTTGGCATGTTCCTGTGTAAAGAGTCATACCATTCACAGCGGTGGGAGGCACAGAGTGCTGCTGCGCCTGGCATATTCCGAATGGCACGTCAATGGCTGATGAGGCTGAGCGATATCAATACTGAAGTCAAAATGCCCGACCTGGATGCCGCAAAGTCTTGACGCAGCGATACCCGTGAATCGATCGTAAGTTCCGTTGCTATTTGCAAGCGAGATCGGGCTTGCGGCAAGTCCGTCGCAACAGGGACACCGCCTCAGGAGTAGCAGAGTGAAGGGCAGCACTCAATGAACTGGCGTGAGACAGATCTTGCCTTGCAGCAGGAAATCATAACTCGTCCCATCTCAGGCCAAACGAGGTAAGGGTAACGACAGCACAGGAAGGAGAGTAAGTTCAATAGCGTTCTTGCTTATCCGTACGCCACGCTGAAGGCCAATAACAAAGCCCCAGAATTGGAAGAACAACAAGCATGATCCCATACTGTCGCTGTGATGCACTGTACCGAAGCGTGATACCACTTTCCATCTCTTTGCTTCCCACTCAGGCTTTGAGCAGCCTCATTTATCTTACATTTCCCTCGCAGATCTCTCACACTACTTGCGCTTTTCGTCGAGATATCCTTCCGGTTTCGTGGTGCGAAACTCGCCAAACCCAAGCGCGATGAGTACATCCAACGGCAAACTCCTCGGTGCCTCACTACACGAAAATCAGCCTTTACAACATCCTACTACAAGCCCAAGGCGAAAAGGGGGTTTACACACCTATGCAGAACCTGCTTCGTAACCCACATATTGACCCTCGAAATCACACCAAGGACCAAGAAGTACACCGGAATCGTATTCGCCCAGTTCGCCCATACCAGAGTCACCGGCACCGAAGTCAAATGCACCATGGCAGATGCATCCACCTCGGGGTAGAATTTCAAGCCCAGAGAAAACAAGAACCCAGCACGAATCGTCACAAACCAGAAAAGAAACGCCATGGAAGTCGTATACCATTCGGGCGACTGTGTCGAATACGCCTGCCAAGTCGCAAAAGCATACATCGGGACCACAGTTTGAAACGAAGACTTCCAAAGTGTAGACTTCCACGGAGTTCGTCGAACAAGATACCATGAGGAGAAAGCCTGCGCCAAGTTGAGGATCAAATCGAGTTGCGTCGAAGTGGGTTTCGATTCCGTCGCCAGTCTCCAAAGATGTCGTACAACGATAGCTACGCTGACAAGAATGTGAAAGACGAGCATTTGCGGAGGAACATAGCCTATGATTTTGCCCATTTTGCTTGTCGGGAAGCCTCGCAGGAATGAAAGGATTCGTGGGACGAGGCCGAGGTATGCGATTGTTGTGAAGATGAGTTTTACTCCGCCGTCAAGCTGGGGGAGGTGTTGAGGGGAGAATCGTCCAAGATCCTGAGAACCGACTGCGCTGGTCCATTTCGACGAACTGGAAAAGACGTGAGAGCTGTTCATACTGGCAGTTAAGATTTCTGAAGCCGTTGTTGTTGAAATTGCAGCTGGGTGCTAATCATTTGTGTCCAGGTATATTTTCTGCAACCACTGCGTATACATATACAGCAGACGATGACGACCTCCAGCACGACGACGCGTTGTACTGCTTTCCAGACCAGAAAACAACATTGGCGATGGATCTGCAGTAGTCGTGCACGTCAGGGTACCTTTATGTTCACTAAGCATTTACCTTTGCGATCTAAAATTGACATCACTTCTGCCTACAACACACACCTTTTCACTACAGCATCCTCTTGATCTGCTGTACAGATTTCCTGTTTCATATCAAAGTAGGTCAAGAGACCACGCTGGCGCGTACGTATACTGCACGGGACCGGACTAATTCACCTCCGTGAAGACACATTCACGATTTGCAGCTGATGGGAGGCCTTCAGGAAACGAAGAGTCTAGATTCTCATCACAAGGTACAGGCTCTGGTGAGTAGTGACCTCCCGCCTCAAGATTGCCATATTCGGAGAGACTGCATCTCATCAGACTTCATCACAAGAGTGCATGATCTGGTAAGCAAGAGATTTCTCCGCTCTGATGTTGTGATCGTCCCGCGCATCTGGTTGTTTCGTGCTGCCGAACAATGGTCGCTCCCATGTTTGTCGCCCGCTGAGCACGGAAAGCTAGGCAGTAGTGGCCAGTCTGTCGAGGAGCGGCCAAACAATCTAGTGGAATAGCTCGGAAGTACACATACCGTGACCACACTCCTTCCATCCTACCTCCCCCATCATCACGCTCCCCATTTCCAAAGATCTTTCCACAGAAGCAAAAATTCCTCAGCCCTAAAACTCACGTAACAATCCAGATTTTCTAAACCACCCACACCTCTCCATCTTCTAGCATCTTACCTGCATACCTTGCTGAATCGCAGCATGTACTCTCCCATCCAAGCCGCAAGAGTGGTATCAAGCTCGATCCTGAAGACATATGATCGATCGAATGCAGAGCTTGGCAAGTCTTGTCTTGCTGTGTGTGTGAAGAATTGAGCCGCTCCGTGTTGTACGGCCGTATGCCAAGAACAGAAGGATGTCCCTGGAGGAGGTGGATGACTGATCAGAGGTCTCAAAGCGGAAGAGATCGGCGCCCGCGTCGACGATAGATAGGTCGAGCAGAAAAGGAGACCTGGAAAGCGTCATCTGATTTCTTGCTCGTGACAACTTTTGGAGTATCAGCACCAGAAAGCAAAGTCAGCAAAAGGTACTCAAAATGTGCAACATCATGGGCACAGGCTCCATGACAGGAATACGAATCCCGATAAGCGGCAGCAACGCGTGTAGAAGTGGAGAAGAACCGCCGAAGACGAAGCTGGAGACCTGGTACCTGATGTTTGGGTAAGTACATAAGCCAGATACATCCAGCTCTTCGATAATTCTCCGACCAAACATTACTCATCAATAGTACGCCATCATCCTTGTCCATCCATACCTTGCCAGTCATCTCCATTCATGTAAGGCGTCCCGCCTTCCTTCTTGCCAAAATAAATGCCGAAGTAGGAACACACCCAAAATGGAAGCTGCAGGTCCCAATCGCAGCCCAGTCAGGCACAGCCACCCGACGCAATCTGTTGGTGCACCGTTCGACCTGAAGCCATAGGCGCACAAGAGTAAAAGGTGGACATACGAAGTAGGTGAGAGTGGCCATTGTACAACGTCGATCCGACATCGCCACAACCATCATAGGGCTGAAGAAGAGAAGACATGTCATCATGCATGCAAAGCCGTATGCATGCGCTGTCGATGGCCTGTACCGCATCGCAGCAGTATATCACGCAAATGCTCAGCTTGTCGCTGCGGAGATCCGAGATTTTCAGCCCATCATGAGGTCACAAATTGTGTAACAATCGTTCCACCTCACACGTCGCGGAGCATCGGCGGCGGCAACTGATGAAAGCGCGAACCCATGGCAGATCAAGTCTGACTTGCAGATGAGTCTTTCATCTGACGCGGTGAATCACAACTCGCCATTGCGCCCGCGCTCTTCGTAGAGAAAGGCGGTGGGTGTCCGCATCCGTGCCGCTGTCTGCAATCTGATCCAGATTTCGGCGATGGAAACAGTCATTGCGGAGCCTGTGTGCATTACATCGCCGCGATAGCCCGATCGAAATGAGCCGTCCGCCATCCTCATTCAGCTCGGCGGAACCATAGTTGTGGAAGCATTCCTCCGAAGACACTCGTGAAAGTGATCTCTGATTCTTGGCACATTTTATGCTGTCAAAAATTGCGACTCGAGCGATCAAGACGCCCAAGTGACGCAGCAATGATTGTGTCGCACTGAGGCTCCGAAGATGTGAAAGCAGTGTTCCCGAAATAGAGCTTGGCGGGACTCCTCGGTCTCCGAGACCAAGCTCACACCATTTGGCAGGTGAGCCTTCGTTTCTGGCTTCCAGTGATGTATTTCAATACGACCGATCCGTTCTCTCAGTCAAATTCACTCGGACTGACATCCAAGTGTTTGTGCGCGTAGCTCAAAACATCGCTCTTGAGGTCCAGCTTGGTAAAGCCCGGCACCTTCAAGCCTTGAATTTCTCCTTGAATAGCCGTAGACACCATGAAGCTCTCCTCGTACGATTGGATCTTCATGCGGACATCGGTCACTTCTTGACCATTCATGTGCACCTCGACGTCATCGACCTCTTCACCCCACTGCCCATGCGTGCTGCATCGCGCAGGCATGCCGGGCTTCGGGGATCGGACATTGAAGAATTCGAGCTGTTTCAGCCAGGGCGCGAGTAGTGCTTCGCCGGCCAGCTTGATGTAAGCTTCCTTGTAGCAGAAAAAGGTGTAGAATCTCCTCAGCTTAGCATCGACCAGCAGATCCGAGTTGAAGGTGACACGCTTGCCCGCAGGTGTTGTGAGGGTGATTTGCTTGTTGCGCTTGATCTCTCGATCGTGTCTGCCCAGTTCGTCTCTTGTCAGATGTGTGCCGTCCAGGAGCGTAACGTAGTCCACGTCATATTTCATGGTCCATCTCTCTTCGTCGGAGAAGACAAAATCGTAGATGTCGACCCAGCCGTCCAGTCCTTCCTGATCAATGGTCCGGTAGTCGTCTCTCTCGTTCACACACACAATGTCAACGCCCACCATGACGTTGGTGGAGAAGTTGGTGCCGGGCGAGATGTAGCCTTCGATGCTCCCACTCGGTGTGTACTTGTGTCGCTTCTTTCCATTCCAGCCGATCAGCGCCACCAATCCCGCCTGATGCGACACATTGAAGTCGATACCCTCAATAGGCCGCCCGGCCTCGTCTACAGCACAAGGCTTTCCGTGCTTTGCATCCCCTTTCCTCGCCAGTTTGACCTCGCTCCATGGAATGTCCAGCGCTTGACTGATAAATAGCCGCTTCAGCAGCGCAGATCCCAGTGACATCTTTGCATCTTGAGCAAACATCTTGCCTGAGATGGTCTTCTGCTCGGCCGCGGAAATCAGACTCATGGTATCGGCCGCGCCGGGCATGTTCCAGATGTGCTGACCCGAACGAGCGGTGGGCCATAATGAACGCATGTCGAGGAACCAGCACACGATCTCGCCATCATCGGCCGGCGTCTCGACGTGTGAGGAGTGTGAGGAGAAGGTGTTGGCAAGGCCGGTCATGAGGGAGGAGATGTCGGGGAAATTCGTCGTCAAGGCATGAGGAAGGCGCTGTGTGATCGAAGGGCCGCGCTTGCGGGAGGAGATGAGTCCCGTGGCCATGGTGTCGGTGGAGAGATCCCTCGTGAGGGACGACGGCGAGGAGGAGACAAAACGGGCGCGGTGTGGTGAGGAGTGGTGTGGTGCTGTATTCCTCCGATGAGAGGTCGAGCAAGACTCCGAAGCTCAGACGTCGGCGGTGGAGGCTAGAGTTTCGAGTAGTTTCCGACCACGCGGTGATCGCTATGATGCCACGGCGGGGATCTTCACAGCACAAGTATGCGTCGGCTGGCGGTGGATGGAGGGGGCGGAGGGCGTGGCAGTGAGGAGCGGTGCAATGGGGCGGAGGATTGAGTGATTGCTGGACTGGACTGCCCGTCTATTCATAGCCGCCCACGCCTCGCTTCAGCACCGGCAATCAATAATGCAGCGTGCACAACTGCGCTGTGCTTTGTGCTTCGCCGGTCATCGATTCGGGAGTCCCGAAAACGTGATCGGCGCTGCATTCCCGAATCCTGTCTTGCCTTCTACTCACCACGCTCCTCTTCCAGCACGCCGCCCGCCCGATGCGCGCCGCCGTGACGATGTTGGTGCGACGGTACCGCCTCATGCGTCTCCCGCCATGTCAGTAGGTGCGATCAGTACAGAATTCGGGCGACAGCAGAGAACATGCCGAAGAATCATCCCCGTCCAGATTTCGATGGCATGTGCAGCACCCACTTTCCTCTGCGCGTCATGTGTGCATTCTCCTCCTCCACCAAGACGCCGCCGACAATGACTTCACGCCCTATCGGACCAAGCCGTTGCGAGTCCTTCTCGTCCGCGACCATTTTCGTGACTCACTCCCGCGGCCAAGCGATCATATAGAACATAGTTCCCTTCCATCGCCCCCGCCAATGCACATTCCCGGCGATACGACGACACCATGACAGGCTCCCACTCCTCCCCCGCCCTCACCATCGGCGTGCTGGCCCTCCAAGGCGCCTTCGTCGAGCACATCACCCTGCTCCGACAAGCCGCGCCGGCACTGACTGCCGAGCACGGCCTCCACTTCACTTTCATCCAAGTCAGGACGCCCGAGCAGCTGGACCGATGCGACGCTCTCATCCTGCCTGGAGGCGAGAGCACCGCCATCTCGCTCATCGCCGAACGATGCCGTCTCCTCGAACCGCTCCGAAACTTCGTCAAACTGCAGCGACGTCCCACCTGGGGGACATGCGCAGGGCTCATTTTGCTGGCTGAGGAAGCCAACAAGAGCAAGGCGACAGGGCAAGAGCTGATCGGAGGGCTAGACGTGCGCGTGCAACGCAACTACTTTGGCCGACAAGTCGAGTCTTTCGAGGCAGCGCTGCAACTGCCCTTCCTTGGACCGGATCCCTTCCACTCCGTCTTCATCCGAGCGCCGGTGGTAGAGAACATCCTGGCGTCGTCCGCGAAAGATGTCACGACGGAGATTGTAGAGAAGAGTGCGGGCGAAAGCAAGGCCATTCGCCCCAGCATGCCCAACCGAGCGGATACTGTGTCTGCCCCACAGATAAAGGCGACTTCAGCACCAGTGGAGATCTTGGGAAGGCTGCCCGGGAGGGCAAAAGCGATCAAAGACAAGACGAGCACGGCGGAAGAGCTGGGAGAGGAGGGCGATATCGTCGCTGTGAAGCAGGGCAACGTGTTTGGCACATCCTTCCACCCAGAATTGACGGGCGATGACAGAATACACGCCTGGTGGTTAAGGGAAGTCATTAAAAGCAAGCAGGCCACCTGAACAAATGCGGGACGACGCATCTTCATGAACAATATACAACGCGGGAGACGCCGAGTCTGTGGACGTGGCATCTCTGTTGGCCGGACTCTTCCCTTCAAACCTGCCTGCAACCACAGCCTCGAACCAAGAGGCACCTCCCCGCCTCTCACACTGCTCACCCGGGGCACCGGCATCACGTTCGGCGTGTTCAGCATCTCTTCGCTTGTTACTCCGACGCAAACGCCACGGTGTCGCAGAAGAAAGTATCAGAAGGCGGAAGAGCACGCAACTCCAAAGTTTTGTCCTTGCCGGGGATTCAGCAGGGTATTAACAAATCGGTAGCCTGTGCAGACTGCGCGTGGGGGTCCAGAGGTTGTAGAAGTCGTAGAAGTTGTGGAACTTGTGGTCGTGGTCGTAGTTGGAGTTGTAGTCGTTGTCTAGCAGACTCAGGATCAAATCATGGATCCGGAAAGTGTGAATGTTCTCTTACCGTCGTTGTGGTCGAAGACGTGGTGCTTGAAGTCGTGATGCGTGAAGACGTGGTAGTTCATTGAGATGAGTGACGCCACACGGCAACGCCTCTCCCCAAATCCAGACACACCTAGGCCCGGTCAAGACAGTTGCACGTGTCGGAGCGATCGCAGGCGGAGGTGTGTATGTTGGTGGAGTTGACGCACAATACTTCTCGATGCGATATCGCATCCTCGGCTGATCGCGCTCAGAGAGGTGGTGAGCATGTGTGAGGTCCCTCCGTCCTGCAGGAAGATACGAGGAGGAACAGCTGAAGCTGAAGATGTCCACAAAGATGCATCCGAGGCAGCCGCTCGGCCATAACGCTTCCCTCGGCCGAAGCACCACGCACGAGGACGCTGTGCTTCGTGCGAACAGCAGGCAGCGGACATGCAGTGCAGTATACAGGAAGACGAAGTGAATCAAGACCAAATGACGAAACAGATTGTTCAGATCAGTGACCGCACTGCGTCAGCATGCCTTCTACGCTTGCCGTCGTGAGCCAAAGTGGCGAGTCACTCAGCTTCTACGATATCGACTCGGGAGAAAAGACCGGGCACTTGCCAAGCCTCATCGCCGAACCGCACGAGCTATGTTACGATGACAGAACTGGCTTGTTGTATGTGACACATGCATATGCACACGGATGGTACGTGGCGCACGGCGAAGACGGGAAGACAATCAGTGTCATCGATTGCAAGCAGCGAAAAGTAGTCGACACAATCGATATCAGCCCATACGGCGGACCCCACTATGCCGTCCTGGACACATCACGAGACATCCTGTATTCATCTGTGGAAGCCGGGCTGGATGGGCGAGGTGGTATCATTGGAATCGACCTGAAGACCAAGAAGATCATCCAAGCCATCCCATCAGGCGCAAAAACACACTGGTTTGTCATGACGCCCGATGACAAGAAGGCATACACCTGCAACAAAGAAGCTGGCTTCGTCTCAGTCATGGACCTCCGCAAAGGTCGGGTGACCACGAGAATCGATCTTCCGGGAGGCTGCGAACAACCTGGAATCTCGAAGGATGGGCAATATGCCTACTTTCCAATCCCTACGCCGAAAGCATCCAACCACTGGCACTCTTCGGTCACTGATGCGGAGTCTGCTGTGATAGTCATCGACACTTCAACCAACAACATCACCACCACGATCCCTATTCCTTGCAGCGGCCTTACAGTCCACGTGGACTCTCTCGACCGCCTTCTCGTAGGTCAATTTCGCCTTGATCGCACACAAACCCCGCCCAAACACCTTTCCGGAAAGTTGAGTATCTTCTCCGGCCCAGACAAGGACTTCATCCACCTGGCCACACTAGATACCGATCTTGCACCTCTGACTGTAACGTCGACTCCCGATGGCAAACATGCCTTTGCGGCGAACATCTTCTCTGGAACAGTCACCGTGGTTGATATGGGAAAACTGGAAGTGGAGAGAACAATCGAAGTGGATGTGGTGCACAGAACAGACAAGAGCATGCATCAGGGAGCGCATGGGATGGCTGTGATTGCTTGAACATATCCCCGAACCATCGGCAAGCGAAGCTCGAACGACGGTTTAAGCCTGCTCGATAGGACGCCCAATTCTGGCCCGTTCGAGAACACTGTTTGTTTCCCAAGACCAGCACCTCACAAGGGCTTTGGGCGCATAGCAGTGTAAGACCTAATGGTGTCACACGCCAACAGGGTGCGGTAGAGCATCGATCAAGCCTGAGTCGGTGACTGAAGTTACGTGCGAATGGATGAGAGGCCACCAAACTTAGTCATCAAAACAATAGTCGTAGTGTGGGCTAGAGGCCTGGGACTGGTCCTTCAACTCGAGATTTTGACCTAGTGCTTCAAAAATCCCACAGTACCGCCGAACACCATCTACATCTACATATAACCGACTCGTTCCACTTCTTCGAACACCCCAAACAATTGAAGTTGTTCGGTCCCCCTTTTCACTGCTCGTCTCTCACGATCACAGCATACACCGCATCGAATCACCCAACAAATTCCACGATGGAACTCACATTACCAATCACACTAGCTTTTTCCATCCTCCCCGGATTGGCATGGGCACAGATCAATGAAAACGACTTCTACGTACGTCCACTGACGTTCCACGTCCATCTTCAAGACACCTCAAATCCATGAAAGCATAGTAACAATTCCAAAAACACAGTACGCATGCGACACTCGAGACCGGACTCCAGGAGTAGGAGCAGTATGGGGCAATGGACAGTGCGCTAAAAAGGAGGAAAAGTGATGATGTAAGGATGGCTGTGTCTCCGTGTAATCCGGCAAGTGACCTCGACTCCTCGTACAACTTTCCAAATTGCGAGAAACTGAGCTTTTCTGTTGTTTGACAGGGCCATGCGTGTCTGAACCAAGCCAGTACATGCTTTTTTGATTGGGAATGGTGATTCTGGAGCGAATTGTGTTTGAAGTGGAAAATTGCAGTTTGGATCGGGCAAACGTGTAGATTTCTGTTAAAGGAGGTTGTTGGTGAGGAATTTATGCAAGGGATCTGATGTGTGGGGATGTGGTTGGAAGCATCACTTATGATTAGGTCCTACCATGCCAAGTGTTGTCGCAACGAGCTTCGAGACGGCATGAAGTCACAGCATTTGTACCTTCGTAGCTGCAGTCTCTCAAGCCCGCGAATGAGGGTATTGCACCCCACACTAGAAGAGAGGCGTCGTCCGGCCCAGGACAGCGTGATCTAATTCCCTCGCCTATGTTAGGAAACGGCGAGGCAAAGAACGAGCAAGTAATGGTCTCGATTGAGATTGAGATGCACGACGAAAGTTACAACATGTCCTCTAAAGCCCCGAAACTCGGCAGCTTACATGTACATGAGTGCTGGTCAAAGAAAACATGCGGCCACGTGAGGGCACGCTTAAACGCTCAAATGCCTTCCAAGACGTCCAAGGAGAATCCCAATCGCCTTTACTGTTCCCGGTAAAAAAGCAGAGGACTCTGCTAGCTATGGTGATACAAAGAGCAGCAATCGGCAAGCTCTTCCGCAATAGCACGTCAAATGATGACGCGCCATCTTTCTCGATTGTCAACACGAAGACCGCAGCCGCCACTGTACCAGTAGCAACAGATCCATACAAGTACTTTCGCGGTCCAGTAATCCTGTAGCATTTTTTGGCCATCAAGTTGGACTGTGCTACGGCCCACATGCCAGAGATCGCGTACTGGAGATGAGTCTCTGCGGGAGACGTAGCTTTCAATGCGATCAGTACTAGCGCGGAACAAATAGCAAAGTCTAGGGACTTCGTTGGTTGAGTGGCGTCGCCTTTATTCCAGATCCTGAACACATTCACCATGGAGATAATGAAAGAGCCGATGGCGATTACTTGTAAAGCGATAGCAACTATGTTGTTGGACCAGAAATTCATCGTTTCCGTTGGAGATAGGTCGGTCTGAGATGCTGCGTCTTGCGCGGGTATTGCAGCGGCGAAAGCGATGGGTAGAATAGAAGTCATGCATCCTGCGACGAGCATTGTATAGAAGGTCGTGAGCCGTCTGATAGTCTTTCGCAATCCACTCGCGGCCCGCGGCGGCAAAGACACCTCGATGCTGTATGGCAGCTCCAAGGCCGTTCTCGGTTGGCGAGTATGGTTAGATGCTGTGCCTCCTCGCTCGTTGCAACTTGTCTCGTGATTGTTCGTCCGTGTCGGGAAAAGGCCTGCTTCTATCCTCGAGAGATGATCGTTGACTTTGTTCGCGGAGTTGAATCAGCCTGGCGAGCAACAGAATTGATTCCAGACCAAGCCGCAATTGCAGTAGTCCTCAGTCAGAGGTCGACAACAGTACTCGCCCTCACGCCGAGCAACAGACCCATGGAGATTCCATCGCGCTATGGGCGCCACTGCATCCATGTTCTCAACAGATGCGTTGCATGTCCTCGCACGCAGAGTCCACAAGGACGCTAGGTGGCAGATCCTAAGCAATTGAGACCAGTTCTCAGATGAAGGTCTTGCTGAAATTCTAGCAAGCTCGAGCGGATCCTCTGATCCGATACGCAGGATCGCATGGAAGGTGTTGACGAAAGATTCTGTCGATGCGCGACTGCTCCAGATGGTCTCGTCGTCTTCCGCGATGGGTCTGCAAAGTGTTGCAAGGCCGCATGTCGCGTTAGCAAATGGAGTGATGTGAAAGAGGGTTTTGCTGTATAATGCAAAGTTGCACAAACTCGGTCGTTCGAAGACGCCCAAATGGTGATTAAGCCGCCCGCTGTTCGTCCGATTAGAGAGTGGCCAAGGTCTGCAGAGAATTATGCGAGAGGCACGGGACTCACATGGCACTGTGTCGCGCTGAAGCCTTGTAATACCATCGAAAGGCCACTTGGGACCAACTGTTTGTATGCTTCTCCTTCTCGCCTTGCCTGGAGGCTCTTCGTAAATGAGGGTCGTGGTCGTCTCTTGCCGTCGCTCGGATTGAAGTAGGTTGTGTATACACTTCTTCCAAGGTAAAAGGCCCCAAACAAGCTGTGCAGAGGTAAGTGACGATGAGGATCATGCGACATTTGAAGGTCTCCGCGAATGTGCTGCGTGGTGGCTGATCCAAACCCTTGTTTTCTGCAGCTCAGCCTCGTCGATCCTCCAGGCGGTGAGAAATGCACACCTCATGCTTTCTTGCTACAAACACTGGAGGTCATCGCAAGTCAGCCCAATATAGCATTCCACTTCCTGCACAGACTCTTGATACCGTATCACGCCCGTGGACCCGCAAGCAGGACACAACGCGCTACTCGCATCATCGCCTGATGGGTACATCTACCTGACTTAGCCCAGGCACACGCAACCATAGAAGCTCTTATGAAGCGAAGACTTTCACCATACTCCACAATATGAAGCCCCGGCGGATGGTGGCAGACGCAGAGCAAGAGGCTTGTTATTTTGAATCCGAGGTGGACAGTGGATACCCACAGCCATTTCCAATACAGCCCTCGGCGGTCGAAAGCGGCAATGACACGAAGAGCTCGTCAGTGGAGATCGCTGGTCTCGAAATAGATGCGAGCGAAGACTTCTACACTCGAAAGAGGCATGCCCCACGACGGCAGTGTACAACTTGGTGGGAGACACAAGGATGGTCCTCCTCGATAAAGACTGGCAGGTATCTTTGCCTGCTATTGTCGCCATGCTCAGCTGTATTGATCAACTTATACGCGAGCTCGAAAGGAACACAAAGAGAGCTTACCAGCCTCCCAAGCAGATACCTCCAAGTAAGCCGCATCCGAGGTGTCGTATCTCATCGAGCTAACGAGAGCCAGAGCATTCCCCAAATGCCAACATGGATCGCTGAGCCCGGGCCAGACCTATTCGTCGCCTCTTCACTGTCGCTTTGCATGCTGATGATTACGCATCGCTCTCTTCATAGCCATCACGATCATCATAGATGGCTCGTCGCAGGCTGTCTGGGCCTCGCATTGCTACTCGGGTTGATCATGCGAATGAGCACGATAGCGATGCTCTTGTACATGCTCCCGTGGGGAATATGCTTGGGACTCTTCCTTGCGGAGTTGATCATGGTCCGCTTGGTGGATCTGCCGGAAAGTGTTCAAGCAGAGAGTGCACATGAAGCGAAGTTTATAAAGAACCTCGAGTCGTGAACTCACGCTTGACCAGAAGGCGTGTTGAGCATGCGGCTAGGTGCCTGTCTACCGCCGGAGGGCAAGACGGAAATAGAAGCAATATCGCGCTCCTCGCCGGCGAATTCCAGTACTTCCTGCTCGTGTCTCCCACTTTTGAAGCATTGTCCAGGCTTTCTGCCTCGCGAAGCGACACAGGCGTATGATCAAAGTCGCGCCGAGAAAACGCAAGTTGTCGTTGTTTCTTGATTTCCGATTCTCTGTTCACGCTAGGCCTGTTTCCATTGCAAGTCACGGGCCAGGAGTTGATGACAGGAAACAGCGGCAAGATCGAATTGGCATCGCCACGGCCGGCAGCCGCCGGACACTGCTACTTTTCATTGTCCCCAAAACGGCAATGTTCCCCGTAGCGCACCCAACTCCACTTTGACACACGAACGCACATGCAAACGATCTACGGACTTCCTCACATCCTGTGTGGCATGTCACATGCAGACCCTGCTCGAGCTTCTGTGGAGCGAACCCCATCCGTGCTCATTCGAGACGTGCCTGGCGGCTTCGATTGTGGAAACTATGGCCGCAAAGTCTTTCTTGCAACGGCACATGATGCGTGCAAAGCTCCATAGACAAAGTACCAGAGGACAGAGGTAAGTTGCATATAACGAAGGACTCGAGAAGCTGATGCACACAACTGATCTCCCAACTCCTCACACCATCACCTCATTCCCTTCTTAGTTCCTGCATTGCTACCTTGATATCTACAGAGATAGGCGGTCGCAAAATGTACGGCCTCGTGTTTGCCATTGGAGCACTCACGTTTGGTGTGCTCCTCACTCTCAGCATATGGACTCTCGATTATTTCCGCGACCCCAGGGGTCTACGCAGGTACCCTGCCATGACCTGGATCTCCGGCATCACGAACGCTCCATACCTTCTCCTCAGCTACAGAGGCTTCCGATCCAAACACATGCTCGAGCTGCATCGCAAGACTGGCCACAAGATCATTCGTACAGGTCCCACAAGTCTACACTTCAGCGATCCTCGTGCAATCAAAGACATCTACGGCCACAGTTCGAAGTGCACTAAGGACGACCAGTATGCCGTGCAAGCAGGGTCACACATGCATCTGGCCGATGTTGTGGACAAGCCTGAACACGCTAGGAAACGAAAAGTGTTATCTTCAGCCTACGCACTGAAGAACCTCGAAGGCTGGGAATTCAAAGTCGCCGACAAAGTCGAAAGGCTGATTGCTCAATTCGACAAGCGTGCCGATACAGACGAAGTCATAGACTATCGGCCCTGGAACAATTACTTTACCATTGATGCGATTGCTGATATTGGTCTGACACACCGAATGAACTTGCTCGACAACGGTAACGGGAGGACGATGTCGATGGCTCCAAATGGAACAACTTACGAAGTTGACTTCCGCGAATGCCTTTACGCCAACAGTCGAGCCACATCGGTGTTCTGCTACTCTTACGACTGGTACAAGCGTCTGACAAAGCTCAGCAAGTTATCGCCCTACTTCAATCGCCTATGGAAGCTGAACGACGATTGGGATGGCATTCCGAGGTATCTTGCTGCGCAGCGCCTCCAGCGATATCAAGCAGGTGAGAAAGGAGACGATTTCTTCCAGGCCTTGATGGAAGACCGCAATGGCGATCCACATAACCTGGAGTGGGGTGAGATCGTCGCTGAAGTCACGATCATGGTAAGTTTTCAGTTTCCCTTTCTCAAAGAACATGACATGCTGACTCCGCCGTCACAGATGAACGCTGGAAGCACCACAACAGCCATCTCCATGGCCAATGTCATGTACCAACTCCTCAAGAACCCTTCCAAACTGGCCAAGCTTCGACAGGAGATAGACGAAACACTTGATGACGATGAAGAAGTTGCTCCCTACGAAAAAGTGAAATACTTGCCATACCTCCGTGCCTGCCTCGACGAATCGCTCCGTCTCTTCCCGCCAATTTCTCATGGCCTCACACGTGAAGTACCACCGGATGGGCAAGCAATTGCAGGCGAATACATCGCCGGCGGTACCACAGTAAATGTCAGCGCCTTCATCGCACATCGTGATGAGACCATCTTTCCAGATCCCGAGACTTTCAATCCTGAGCGATGGCTTGGCGAAGCTGGCAAAGAACTTGGACCATATTTTATCGCCTTTTCCGCGGGAGCAAGAGGCTGCATTGGGAGAAACATTGCATATCTAGAGCAAACGGTACTATTGGCAAGTATGCTCCATCGGTATGAGTTTGAGTTGGCGGATCCGAAGTTTGAGGTTGGGAGGTATGAGTGGCAAAATCTACATTTGACGGAGTTGCCTGTTCGCATACGGAGACGGAATAAGGCGCATATTGAGGTGGTTCCATGATCAGCTTGTTGTTGAGCTTTGTTGTAGCATTTGTTGGCGATTGAGAGAATTATATGTTTAAAGCGCAGCTAGATGTGAGAGACCAAAGGGCACTGAATCATGACAGTCGAACATGAGCCACAGTGTCATCAGGTATGGATCAAGTGTGTGGCCCTCGCCATCGCGATCATGATGAGATGAACAATTACGATGCACCATGATCCAAGTTACTCTGACGCATTTGCTTCATGATGAGTGCCAGTGTCCCAGCCGCCTCATGGTACAACGTCGGGGGGGCAAGGCATAGAAACATATCGGAGATGAGTCACGACGTCGTCGAGGGTCGCAAGTTGTTGTACTAGGGCACGTTCACTCGACTCACATGTCCACCAAAGGTATTATACTGGGGAAGGTGATGGCTTGATTGAGAGTTGGAACACACAAAGCAAGACCTTGTCGATTCAGCCACTATCACTGTGGGATATTTCATCCCCAAACATCCTGCTGCCACCGTCTCACCCGCTTCTGCTTCTCCATAAAGCCTCTTAACTCATCGTCATTCCAACCTTGTCTAGCCCTCAATTCCTCTCCAAGTACATTCGAAACCTCCCTCGCCATAGTCGCAGAGCCACAAATGTAGAAGTTGGCTTCCTTGTCGACCACAAGATCAGAAACCTCATCAGCATGTGCTCTGACGCGATCCTGCACATACATTTTTTCTCCGTCTGAAGGTCTCGAGAAAGCTACGATGACGCTCAGCTTCAGCTCAGGCGTGTTCTCCCACTCCGTGAGCTCGTCTTTGTACAGAAAGTCCTCCGCTTCATTGCGACACCCGAAGAAGAGGATCGTACGACCAATTTCTCTTCCCATCTTCGCCAGTCTAGCTCGCTCTTGAATGAAAGCGCGGAAAGGAGCAATACCTGTTCCAGCTGCAACCATCACAATAGGATGTGATTGAAGTGCAGGAAGTTTGAAATTAGACTTTCGGACGTGGGCGAAGATTCTTGTTTCGTTGACGTTGTTACTCAAGAAACACTTCTGCACGCCGAGAAGATAGTTCGTGCAGAGACCAGGAATGACATCGTCGCCGTGTGTCATACGCTTGTCGGAGACGACGGCTGTGATGGCGATTTGGCGGGCGTGAGTGACTGAGGAGGAGGAGATGGAATAGTAGCGTGGCTGCATGGCGGGGAGAGCTTCGACGATGAAGGAGAGAGGTAGATCTTTCCAGGCGCCTTGTTCGGGTGCTGCGAGTTGGAGAAGGCGGCCCAGATTGATGTATGTCTTGCCAACGAGCTCATCGTAAGCACTTTTGTCAGTGCTCAACTTGGCGAAAAGGTCCTTCGCAGTAGATGTTGGAGCAAATTGAACCAGAGAAGCGATCGTTTCTCGCGATACAGTAGAGCAGACTTCTAGGTAGTTTGTGAAGAGTGCGTGGATCGAAGTCGGTGTTGGAACTTTCAGTCGCGAATCCTGTTCCAGAGACCTGAGGGAGATCGGATTGTTGCGCTCCTCGTGGAGTCCCAGACACCGGAGTAGGATATCGACTTCAACCTGAGGGTTCAGTGGCCAGACGCCAAGATGATCTCCAGTCTTATACTTCAGTCCGGGGAACTCTTGCAAATCGAGCTCCATATGGATGCAATTCCTCTCTTTTGCAACATCAAACAACTCCCGCGTAGCCTTGACCGGCAAGGCATGAACCGGCGATACTAGTCGACTGGCCTTCCTGCTCTTATCCTGCACACAAGGCTCTCCCTGGAAAAGATCGATCGGCTCTAAACTCAAATCCTGCTCGACCTTCAACGCCGGCTCGTAGACAGGCTCATGTTCCTCATAACCCATTCTCTCCTTTAACAATTCAAAGATTGCACCCTTCCACTCCAAATAATGCTCCTCAGTCTGCCCTTGGGCATCGTCGGCCTTGCTCACAGGTAACAAATTCTTCGCTCCAAGATTCTCAAGCTTCGCAACGACGACATCCACCACAGCATTGAAATATTTGTAGTTACTATTTCCCAACCCAAGAGCAGCATACCTCAAATTCTCGACTGGTCTTCCCTTGGCAGTGTCCAACCAATTCCACAAATCATGAATATTGTCGCTCGGATCTCCCTCTCCAAACGTCGAGACAATAAAAAGCGCCAACTTCCTCTCATCCACCCCCCCAAGACTTGCAGGCTCATAATCCGAAACATCAGCCACAAGAGCCTTCTTCCCAAACCTCTGCCTAATCTCTTTTCCCAGTCGATGAGCCATTCTTTCCGCAGTTCCAGATTGCGAGCCCCAGAAAATGACAATATCAGCGCCATTCTGTCCCAACTTCTCTCCGATATCTCTCGTAGCCTTCTCTCCTCTCTTTCCCATCATCGCTTCCTGCGGACGTTCATAGAGCTTGTAAGCATAAGGGTCATGCTGTTCTCTCACGAGCCAGAAATATACCGCAACGGCTGCAGCGAGAGTCGCGAGAGCGAAAACATCTTCGAGACCGAGACGTTGAGGTAAAGTCTTGGAGATCTTTCCAAAGTCGAGATCCACCAGGTTGAGAGCTTGAAAGTGAGGGGATTCGATGGATGCCATCGTGAAGGTGCCACTCGTGGAATCGGAAGCAAAGCAGAGAAATTCGGCGTCTTCTGGCGTCTTCTCGAGAAGCTACTTTTCAAGTCTTTGTATGGACAATGTCGCACCTCTTCCGAGCCTTCTCCCTTCGAACGCCGCTACAACTCGCAAGGCAACTCCTCACTCGGTGACTCGGCGCGGCTTGCCATGAACAGAAACTGCCATTTTGAGCCGGGCTTGCTTGTCGATGCACATCCTGATCATCATGCGGGGCCATGATGTGCGCTGTTACATGCTGCGCGTGGGGAAGCGCTCCACAATCTGGGGAAGATGTCGTCGAAGGTGTTACAGGAAAATAGTAAAAGCCTCCGAGGTGAAGTGAAGTCCTTCGAGCCACGGAAGGACTTGCCACGGCCGGCGGAAACAGCAGTGTTCTCCGGCTCTCCGAGTTGCTTGGCAGCAGCATCGCCTTCCTACAGCTCTTCACAGAGATTCTACTTCCACTGCGAAACGCAATCGAAGCCCGATGCTGACCCAAGTAGGATGCGGTTGCAACAATTCCCAACGGAGTAACACTTTTTATTCTAGAGCTTTCGTCCTCTCATCAACAACGACGACGAACTTCTCTCCTCACCCCGAGCTATGCGTACCTCTGGTCTCTGAATACTCCATTCTCTCCCTCCGGCAACGAAGAACGCTCTCGCTTCCATCTCTCGCCCAAAATCAAATCAAGTAAAGCCCCAATGAATGCTCACCTGTATCGAATGATCCTCACCACTGTGGCGAGAAAACGAAAAAAATCCCGCAATCAACCAATCCCAACTTCCGTTGCACCCCACCAGTGACTTCTATGCATATTCGTCTTCCATAACAAGATTCTCAATCTGTACACAATATACCTCTCAATGCTCGTCGTCTTTTCTCTCGGTCTCTTGCCTCTCAGTCCCGTGGACGATAGCTCTGTATGTAATAATCTTTGACGTCTGGTAGCGGATGCGCAACGAATAGTCTTCTCCAATGTGGATGATCTGTATGTTGTGGTGCCTCATGTGTCAGGCTCGCGCAATCGCCAGGCCATGCCCGCAACGCTACTATTGCGCAAATGTGCAATGCGCCGTGAGAGCTGTTCCAGAGTAAAGTGCGCACGGAAATCTTCCGCGCAGCAGTTCTTGGTGCAGTTGGTGGTGCACCTGTCGAGTGGCCGTCTCAACGACCAATCCTGCTGGCAATAGCAGGCTCGCCACTGCAACCAGCTACCACGGACTAGACCAGGGATACTGCCGAAGCCAAAGTTGATAGTCCACCATGCCAGGAGGTACATGCTACGCCATCCCCTGCAGGTTGGCCAGAAACTCGTCGTTCGCTCGGCGTTCTTGAAGCGCAGTATCCGTAGTGCTCTCGTCTGTGTCGTCAACATGTGTGTCCATATCGTAGGTGTCGGCCATGATGTTGTCCTGTTGCGAGGCCAGCTCGGATTCGTGGCGCTCCTGTATCACGCGCGAGCTCTCAGCATACTCTCCGGCGTCTCGATGCGAACGTTCGTGATCCGCCAGTGGTTCGTAGCTGACGGTCTTGGCACTGTATGAAGGCCGGTCGCCATAGACAGGATTTTGGTATGGAAGGATGCCCGGAGTGCTGGAGTTTGATCGAAGTGCGGCGGGCGATGGGTACTCGGAAGATCCTTCCTCAGGTGGTGGTGCGAAGGACCAGACCTGTGATCAAAGTTAGCTTATGCAGAACAGAGTGGACTGTTCAAACAACGTACCTCCATGACGGTCTTGCCGCCGCGACTGGCAAGTACAACGGCCTTCTCTTCCTCGAATACAACCCTCCAAACAGCCTCGGCAGGACTGCCAAGCTCACGAACCAGACATCCGCGCTGTAGGTCCCAAACCTTCACTCGTCCATCAGAGCCACCAGAGACTATCCTGCTGTCATCAAACTGCAAGCTTGTCACGCTATTGTCATGAGCTGCCAGTCGATGAATCGCAGAGTATGTGCGCAAGCTCCAGACTCGCACACTTCCATCCGACCCTCCGGTGACCAGTGTGTCATTGCGGAGCTGCAGCTGACCGACAAGAGAAGTGTGTCCTTGAAGCTGTGCCAGACAGCGGCCGTCTCTGGGGTCCCACACTCTTACGCTCGTGTCCAGCGAGCCAGTCGCAATGCGGCGTCCATCGAAGGCCACGGCGTAGATTTGACTAAAGTGTCCTTGCAGTGTGCGCAAGCAACGTCCTTCGCTGATGGACCAGATTCTCGCAGTCGTGTCGTAGGATCCAGAAACGACAAGATCGCCGTGAATCTCTAAACAGCGCACAGAAGCTTGATGTCCAACCAACACGGCATCACATCGTCCTTCAACGATATTCCACACTCGAAGTGTTGTGTCTCGCGAACCCGAGATTGCAATTCCGGACCCACTCATCTTCAAACAGCGAACGGTACTCGTATGCCCTCGTAGCATATGCGTCGCCATTCCGGTAGTCAGATCCCACACGCGCACGTCTCGATCACAGCCACCAGAAACCAGAGTATCCCCATGCGGCACCATTGCCCACACTCCCATGACGTGTCCTTGCAAACAGCGCAAATGCCGGCCATCTGTGTCAAAGACATGGATCTTGGCATTGTCGAGAGCCACGATGATGTACTTGGATGTCAGGTGCAGAGAAGTCACAACACCTTGATCGGGCGTGATTTGCCGTGTGTCCACATGTCCACCATGTCTCCATGCTGTTTCCACCTGATACCGCTGCTTGAAGTGGCTGCGGTAGCTGATTGCTTGCGGACGGCGCTTACTCGACGAGGCTGCAGGGCGGCTGGCGAGGCTGGAATGGAGGCCGGAGGGTGTGCTGCTCAGACTGCTACGGCGGGTCAAGTCTGGTGCACTGGAGGACAGGGCATTGAGCGAGCTGCTGTGCACATCGGAGTAGGGCTGGTAGCCATACGGGTGAGCGTATCGCTGTTGTGAGCCGGATGCGGTGGCATTGGGGATTGGTCGGGGAGAGGAGGAAGGTCGGTCGTCGGACATTCTCCGATATGCATGTCGCTCGCACAAGCTCTTCCAGGCCATGTCGTCACTGACCAGCTCTCGCCAGCGCCTGCTCACCTGGGAGCTGCGGGCCAACGTCCTCGCGTCTTCGATGAAGGTCAAGATACGTAGACACAGCTCGTTGGGCAGTGAAGAAAAGGGATCTCTTTTCAGACGTGGACTGACAAAGCTGGCCACGAAACCAAGCAGCTTCCCATCGCACATGTTCAGCAGTTCGGCGAGCATGCGCTGACGCTCGTCATTGCTCGCCTCCGCGAAGATTGCGCGCATGTTCCTGTAGCCAAATCCATATCCCGCGGAACCGACGTGCGTCGGGGCATGTTGTCCGGACTCGTCCACGTCGATATCGCCCATATCCTCTCGTGGGTCGGCAGTGCTCCAGTCTGGCGCTCGGTGCATTGGGGTGGGACTCGGTGCAGGCGTGGGCGGGCTCGCTGGCGCCGAGGGCAGAGTGTTCCCCGGGATGACATTGGGATTGGCGGGAATGGGGATGGGCATGGTGGGCACGCGGTCTACGGATGCAGAGGGCGTGGCAATTTGACGTGGCCGGATGGCGCTCTTGCCATGTCTCGCACCATAGAAGCGGTTGTTGTTGGACTGTGATGCCATGCGTGCTAGGGGAGAAGTCGAGTGGTCGTCTTCGGCATTGTTCGCCTGCGAAGTGTAATCCATGGCGCCGAAAGGCCGCTCGCTGTCTGCGCTGCCACTCATCTGCCTGGGGATTGCACAATTCAGCGGACAGGGGCGTCGTGTAGTCGCTGAAATCGGCGGCGGTATGTATTGGCACAGGCGATATTCCTGGTCGGGCTACTTTGCTCTTCCCGCTTCAGCGCATGTTTCCTGGGTCGCACCGCTGCACCACCCAATGGAATGACTCCTGCTGCTTCTTCCCGCTGCCCTCGAGGCCCGCTGGTGTCGCACCGAAGGTCAACGGCGTAAGGAGGGCGCAGAGGAGGAGGGTGAAGCGAAGATGGTGGGATCTGGCGGTGGAGGAGATGGCGGGCGGGCAGCGCGGCTGGCGAGCGAAAGAGCAGACTCGCACGGGGCACAATGATCACCAGATCGACCGGCGTTCCGCACTCGAGCGGCGGATGTCTGTCGTCTTTGTGCTGTTTCCGTCCCGACCACGTCTCGTCCGTCAACTCGTTATCGCAGTTGCAGGAGACGGTGGGAGAGTCAGCGATGATGGCATTCGCCCTGCGACGGCAGCAGTTCGGCCAGGTCCTTCAACACGCAGCGGAGCGGCAATCACATCAACGCGGGAGCTCCCACTCCCGCCCACCGCAAGCGCCTGCCGATCACCAGTCTGCCTCCGTGCACGACTCGACTTCACTGCTTCCATCCTCGCCGTCTGCTTCTGCTGAACAATCATCATTGCCACCCTCTATCTGTCTCGGAGGGAGCGAACGATGACACATTTTACGCCGCCTCTTCACGCCCGGGCACGTCTTCTCCCCTCTGATCACGGGACTCACGCAAAGGTCAATCGCTATCTTGGCTATCATACCCATGTCGTTGCTTCTCTTCCGTCACTGTGCGCCAGCCACCCGCAATCTAGGATCCGGATCGCTCTGACTTCCTTTCTAGTGCGCTCAGCTAACTTCTCTACCACTGGCAAGCGGAATAAAAACTAGAATCAACAGTGCTTACTCTCTGCAAGGGGGTTGTATACTCTTTCGACCCGCGTATCTCTGCCTTTTGCGACGAGTCCGAGGCACTTTCTCTCGAGAAAGCAGACAGGCGTGGAGACGCGCCGTGATGAGAGATCGCGCAGTTTGGAGGGCCGAAGTTCCGTTCTGCTGCTGTCCGCAAGCAGTTCCCATATGTCGAACCTCGAACGGGTTGTGAAATACCACATTCGATGGGTTCGCGACATTGCAGCACTCTCCAACAGCAGTGCTCCTATCTGCTGAGCGGTACCTGAGTCGCGGCACGATGCCAAGACCCAGGCCGCCCATACATCTGTTGGCTGAAGCTTGTAGGTGCACAGCCCCACACAGCGCGCTCGACACTACCAAGTGATAAACCCATTCTTCAAGGTCTGTCCCCTTCTTGCATTCCTGTCCCCATGCTGGTGTATCGACGTTCCTTTCGAAGGAACGGGGAACGATGGGGGCACTCCGGAGATCCAGGCGCATTCGTGAACGGGGTCAAAGCGTTTCAAGACCACTTCGGAGATCCAGGCGAACCCTTGAACGTGGCCAAGCTCAACGTAAATGTCCGAGCCTGCTGTCGAAGACAGCCAAGCGAATCACTAGAATCGCAAATTATTGTTACACTGGACTGGACCAGAGCGATTCTTCCACGGTCCGCATTCTCGAACTTTTGCCATCGCGAGACAGCATTGCACCTCTACGAGGACAATTGCATATAAGCAAGCTGCACAGGTCGCAGTGCAAATATGAAGCTCTTTCATACGCATGGGGTTCCGAAGCAAAGCCGGACTCCATCGAACTGGATGGCAAGCGTCTGCGCATTGGTGAGAATCTTGGCCTCGCCCTGCGAAGGCTGCGGGGAAAGACCACATCGAGACGACTATGGGTTGATGCAATTTGTATACACCAGGGCGATGACCAAGAGCGGACTCATCAGGTCCGAATGATGACAAGCATCTACAGCCATGCGAAGCGAACCATAGCGTGGCGGGGAGAGGACCCCATTGGCGATGGGCAACACGTTTTTTCCTTATGTCGATGGGCCATCAGCATTCGAGCTACACGTATCTCGTGGAAGTATACTCCTTACAGCTGGAACCCTCGAGGAACATTGGTTGCAGGTCCCAGAGACTTCGTTAAAGATTACGAATTCGAGTATCCAGCAAAATGGTCACTTCTTCAAGCCTTCATTGAAAGGGATTATTTCTCCCGCAGATGGGTTGTGCAAGAACTGATTGTTGCCAGGGACGTTCAGTTCATATGCGGGTCGAGCCACATGCGCGCTGAAGCACTGGCATATACCATGTCAATTCTGGAAATGCAAACTTGGCAGGGACCCTCGAGGCTCATGGCGATCGATTACCAGAGAGGCTTCGAGCGGTCTTCAGATCCAAAACATCTTACATACGAAGGACATTTCATGCAACTAATGAACGTGGTCGCTGCTGCTGGGCTAACACGAGCCAGGCGCATCAAGAGTTCTTGGCACCAGGAGAGTAAATCATGGAACAAAAAGATTGCGATGTTCGATATCCTCGAGAGGTTGCACGAACTCCAGTGCAGAGACGATCGGGATCGAATCGCTGCTTTCGGGTGGCTGATCGATCCGACTTGGGACTTTGCCGTGGACTACGCCAACACAGTAGAACAAGTCTACTATCAATTCGCAACAAGAGTTGTAGAACGTGGTCATTTCCCGTCTACGGTAGCCCGCATGCTAGTGTCTGCAGCTCTTCGAAGCTGGCAGTGGGAGGAGGGGAGACTGCCCGGCTGGATACCGGACTGGCGAGTGACACCTATGCAGTCGGATCTCACCTCGGAGAGGCCAAAGCCTCGCCCTGCAACATCGAATTATCACAAACGAGACCTGGGCACCGCCCTGTCGATCTACCTCCCAGGGAGAAGTTCTCGAGTAGAATGCAAGATACTGGAAGGTCGAGTCTTGCAGCTTCGTTGCATCCAATTCACGCATTATGTTACATTCGTGACTAACGCCGTAATGGACGAGGGCTTTGTAGTCAGGTTCGAACTAGGCTGCGACGTTCTGTTCAGTCGGTACGACGGACGCGCAAATACTCACAAACTTGTCACAGCGCCTACAGGCCTTCCAGAAACTCCTTACAACCTTGGGCCCAGAGGTGACACAATCGACTTGACGATACTTATTGTGTGAATGCCGATCTTGCCGGATATCTTAGGCGCGACAGCTGTACACCTGCGATGGCAAATTGAACTCCGTGCACGATACAAGAGCCGAGTCATTGCTTTATCAATTCAACTAAAAAGTCCATTTCCTTAGAAACGGAAGCCGGCCCTGGACGACTCACATCAGCATCTGACAAAAGTGCAAAGGAAGAGCTCTTACACTTCCATATCCCCGATCCCGATACATCCCGCATAATCTCCGAAGAGACTGCCAAAGGTAAAGCAGCAGGCCCATGCTGGAATTTCAGCTGCAAGTCTTCAACTTCAGCGAATGCTTCTCCAATCAGCGCATGGAGGATCGAGCGTGAAGCGACATGCGGAAGCCCTAGCATGTTGTCCGAATTGGAGATCCCAGAACAGAAGCAGCCCTGACTACAATTAGTCACAGGTGATAGAGTATGAAATAGCGAGTTGGCTGGGCACGCAGCTCCTTCATATATCGACAGCGCCGGTTCGGGTCCAAAGCGAAGCGGTGCCACTTTCTGCAGATGCTTGATTCCAGCACGACAGGCAGTTCGAAATTGGCATGTTGCACGGATCAGAGCATCAAAGAGATACGTCGAGCTCGAAAGGTTGAGTGGTTGTAAAATGTTATGCGGACTTCCCATGTCAACTGGATCGTCAAGCCACTTCTTCATGAGTGCCAATTGGGTACTACCATATAAATGATAATAGATACAATCCAGTAGAGAGATAGCACATTGTGGCAGCGTATCATTTCGTGGAGAATTTGGACCGAATCGTGCATTTTCTCTGCAAAGTCGGTGTAGACTTCCAGTAGATGAGAACCGGTGACGATCTCAAAAGAGCAAACGTGATACAGTATTGCGGAAGTGATGGCGACCAGGGCAAAACAGCTGACTGCTTGCTTGGGCCTCTCACCGGCCAGGATGTCCTTCAGCACCACATCGCTGTAAAGAGCAGAAGGAGGTGGAGCGCCGTTCCAGGCTATCTCAGTCATCTGCCAGTAGGTGGTGGTCGAAGGAAGCGGAAACCTGGATTCTGTAATGGGGAACGACAACAGAAGCTGTCCGTCTTTAGCAGCAACTGTTGCTGCAATAAGAATCATGCTTGCATAGCATCTGTCACTGTCTCAGTCACAGGGTATCTCCTGAGGGCACTAGGGCTTGTCTTACCTGGAGATGCACTCTTGATGCACCCATCTCTGATATTTCATTATCGACCGATCGCGTGTGTGAAGCCTACTGGACGCCTGCTGGGCTCGCTATAGACAAGAAGAGTCAGCCACCAAGTTTGATTCTGCCAAATAAGGTAGAATCACCTTGATGAAAATCGGAAACGTGCAAGTGATGCGTCTCTCCTGCCCACAATGCACTGCAAAATGAGTCAACATAACATAAGCCTGCAGAGTCCAGATTTCAGGCTCATCGTCATTGTTCAAGGGCGCGAGCGCTTGCTCATGCTGGGACCCCGTGAGTCTCTTGGCTGTCAATTGGTACAATTGATATGATGCCAAATGCCTCAATCATCAGTTGCAGTGCGAAGCCATGCATAGAGACCGCGGTAGAATACTCGGCTTTCTACGCAGCTCCGCATGTCATGACAGCAAGAAGCAGAGGTGCTACGGTCAAGATCAGATTACCGGAAAGCTTGAAAGAGGGATGGACTGTCACCTACCGGGAGCAGCGGCGATGTCAAAAGTCGGCTCATGCACAACCGGCAAGTTCAAGGCAAAGTTCGCAAAGAAAGCCTTGACATAACGCCGAATCGCATATTTCGATGGACAGCGGAGAGAACCAACAACAAGCGCCGCGTACTTAGACAGGCTCGCCTCAGCTGTTGCACAATCGACATCTTCCCTATTACCCGTCACATTGCAATGAGGCGTATGCTGGCTGCGAAGGCTTTCGGAGCTATGCGCCCATGGATGCAGAGTCATCGGTCTGAGATTTGAAGTGTGGTCCAGTATCACTAGTCCGTCAGATCCGACAAGCTCTGGAAAGTAGGAACATACCAGATCCTGCAAGGTAGGCCGGTAGGCTGCATTTGGCGAGCTTTTTCCGCCATCATAGGAGAGAATGCCCTTCTCAACGGGAAGTGACATGTCAAGAATGCCTCCGTTTCTGAGCTGGAACAGGTGGGAGGTATTGCTGCCTAGTACGTTGTGATGGTCGAAGTGTTCCGGATTGTCGCTTGTGGTAGAGTATGCAGGATTCGAGGAGCTCCAGGGTGGTTCGCAACCTTCCATATTACGAGAAGGACAACCAGAAGACTACCAGCGTGATCCGTTCGCTCGATGCCGCTTCAACTTCTGGGGAGCAGAACTGGGATGGAAATTCCTAATGTGTCGAAGGATCGCATCCTTTCGCGCAGACACGACCGAACAGTACTGGCAGCTGTATGGCTTTTTATTCCCGTCTTCGAATCGCGGGCTCAGTCCAAGTGGCGTGATGAGAGCGAAAAGTGGAAACTCAACTCACGCGTCATCTGATGGCGCCGGAGGTGTGCCATGCGAGTAAATCTAGCTTTGCAACGCCGACATGCGAAATCCTTTCGATTTTGCTTCGATGTTCCGTCGCCAGGATCCTGGAATCCACACTCCTCGGTCGTAGCCTCGCACATTGTGATTCGCGATGAAATCAAGTCTTCGGAACACAGTAGCGACTGTCTTGTTGACCGCCAAGATGGGGTCTAGAAGAATGATTGTGGATTTCCGAAAGTCGCGGAGCGGTCCCGCGATACCTTGAAGGCCAGTAGGTATTACCGAAGCTGACAAAGTCGTTGCGCGTCCATCTCTTGGCCTTGGAGATTCCTCAATTTCGTCTTGCTGGATGATTCTCATGTGAATTTCAGGGAGTCGTCGAGCGTGTTGCGGCTTTGGGCCCACAATAATCACTAAGTGTTAGCTGCATCAAGCCCTAGGGCTAGACCACCTCGTGACGGACTTCCCCAGCCTTGCCGCATATCACCCATCTCATGATATGGCATTTCTGTGATGGCTGTCCCCAACATTGTTGGCGATGGCGATGGGAATGGTGTAAGTTGTTGGACGATGGTGGGCGTGGGCGTGGGCGTGTTGCGGGAGACGCGGAAAACTCGGGCCGCCGCTGCTGACTAACAATCCGAACGACACTTCACTGCATCTGCGACTTCGGGTTTCTGATGCAACGTGATGTACATTTACCAAATACTGCAGCCTCCATTAACCGGCAGATACGCTCCATTGATCCATCCGGCCTTGTCTTGGCAAAGCATGACAACAACGCACGCAACCTCCTCTGGCGTGCCCAAGCGTGCAGCCACAGGAGTAGCATCAACCATCGGCCGCAAAACGCCCACGATCTCAGGCGGGGCCGCCAAAAAGGCTTCCGTTGCAACAGGACCTGGAGCTACTGCGTTTACAGTACATCCATATTTCCGTGGCAACTCAGTCGCCCAGCACTGCGTATAGGCCTCCACCATGCCTTTGGACCCCGCATAGATGCTGGACTCTGGCGCTGGAGTGCGAGATACCGAGCTGCCGATGTTGATGATGCGCGAGTTGTCGCAGCAAAGATATTTCAGCACGGCTCTGGTGAGCAAAAAGAGGCCTCTGCCATTGGTGTAGGTGACATCGTGCCACAGTCTCTCGACGCTGTCGTCATCTGGATCGTTCAGCAATGCAGGCCGATTGATGCCTGCACTATTCACTAGCACATCAATCTTTCTAAATGCTCTGGCAGCCGAGTCAGCCAGATTTTGTGGTCCTTGCTGCGTGGACAAATCTGCTTCGACGGCACTTGCTCGACGGGAATCCAGGCTCTGCAACACCTTATCTGCGTTTGCTTTCTCGGTGTGATTGGGGTAGTTGATGACGACGGAGGCTCCTCGTGCGAACAGATCCCGCGCAATAGCGGCACCCACTCCTTGCGAAGACCCGCTGACCAAGGCAACTTTGCCGGCGAGTGATGCCATGGTGACTCGGTTCGGCCCTTGAGCCAGCCAGTCTGAATGTATTGGTCTGTTCTAGTGTGAGTAATTTGGCTGGTCCGTCGCCACGGAGGGACTTATAGCATACAGCCCTCACTTTGTACTCAGACGACATCTTGAGCGGCACCTTCTCAACCAGAGCAACAAGCAGTCACGAGGAGGTCCAACCCGGGTGGCAAAGCCCCACCGTGAGTATAGCACAACTGTGAATTGCATGCGGGTAAGCTGTCCGCCCTGCAGTCGTGACTCAGCTAATACCGTCAACCTATTGTTCATAGCTGACCCTGCTTTAGGGTGATAGCGTGAGACAATCTGGGCCCACCCCACCCGGTCCGATCGATGGGCGATGTCATGGGGATAAATCACCTGTTGTTGCACCCAACCATTCCAGCATGCTACAATCCTTAACCTCGGACCAGAGCGCCACCTGTACTAGCCGCGTCACCGAGTCAAGAAATTGCCAACACGGGCCGCTTCGGAACGAGCGCCTCCCACAGTGGGCACATGTCGATAAATCAGCAACGCATCGGCTGGGGAGTTGCTTGAAAGTCTCATGAAGAACACGGCATTGGGGAGACAAATGTGCATCAGCGGCGTCCCGGCTGAGAAATACGCTCAGCCACTCGTAAGTACTTACTGTCTGACAATGGTAGAATCAAAAGTTATCTCGCCTTCGTACAAGCTAGCGCGTCGCATGACCGGCAGTCGTGGGTGCTTTTGAATTGAGAGATCTCAAGGTGGGAAGCTTACGTGCCCACAGTGCTGCAGAGTCGGCGCGAGATACATGGCAATGAGTATAAGTGGTTGCGATCGAACAGTGCATTTATCTCATCGTAACACAGCTCATATCATCAGCGACCCCCTAGACCATGACGTCGGAGCTCGAAACCCTGGTACGTGGTAGCGGAGACTACAGCGTCCTTCGGAGCAAGTTCTTTACTGCCCGCGTTCCGGACGTATACCCTGCGCAAATTGTTCTACCCAAGACGACCGCCGAAGTCGTAATTGCTATCAACAGGGCGAAAGCCAATGGGTGGAAAGTCGGGGTTCGATCTGGAGGGCATTTATTCTTCTGCAACTCTCTCCTAGAAGACGGCCTGCTCATTAACACGAGCAATCTGAACAAGGGACTGGGATTCGACTATGCCACGAAGGTCGCCACTGTGAGCCCTGGCCACAAAGTGGAAGACGTCACCAAGTTTCTGCAACCGATTGGTAGATTCTTTCCAGCTGGTCATTCGCGCTCTGTGGCACTTGGTGGCTTCCTGCTTGCTGGTGGTCAAGGATGTTTCCTGCGCGGATGGGGCTACACCTCGGATCAGTGGATTCAGCAGCTTGAAATCGTCACTTCTGAGGGACAAATCGTCATTGCGAACAAGAAAGAGAACTCTGATTTGTTCGGGGCCGCTCCTGGAAGCGGACAAGGCTACTTCGCGGTCGTGACCCGAATTTGGATCAAGACTATACCACACAGAAAGCTGTACGACTTCACCACGATAGTTGATTCAACTGACATCTTCCGCCCGTTGATGAAATGGGTACTAGAAACTATAAGAAAAGTCCCCAAGTATGGCGTGGACCTGTTCTACTGCACGTTCTATGCCGACAAGGATGATCCAAAAGGTGGTCACGAGTCCGCTGCGAAAAGGGTGTTCTTTGTGATCAACCAGACAATGTTCGTCGACTCCTTCGCAGAAGCTGAAGTCTTGGCGAGTCCTTGGAACAAGTTTCCCGACCAATTGAAACAACACATTGTCACCACTGTTCCGCTTGCGGAGAGGACATGGGAAGAACTTTGGGACCTACAAGAGAGCTTCCAACCCCATGGCAATGGCGAGAGATGGACTGTCGATAGCATCCTGGTGGACCCAAAGGTCTCCGATGATGAGGTGAGCCTGCACTCTTGCATCTGAATTGACATGTGTGAATTGGACACGACTGACCAAGCGCAGCTGATCGATGCCATCACTCCGGCACTGCACGATCTACCGTCCCGCCTGTCTTCCGGCACCTACTGCCCCATCGACTACTATCCAAGTGGAGAAGACCAAGCTCTAAGTCTACCACAAAGAACTTATGTCTCCACCATGTACTGTTGGAAGGATCCCGCCTTCGATACGAGTGTGGATCAGCAATTGCTACGCGCATACACTCAGGCCGACAAAGTCTCTTGCGGGGTTTACGTAGCAGATTTCAATGTCAAAAGCAGAAAGCCCAAGGTAAGATTTTGCTTCTTTGGCGGCAGGCTTGTGCTAACTTCGGCTAGGTAATGACCGACACGAACCTGAAGAAGTGGCTGCAGATCAGGGAGAAGTGGGATCCAACGGAAATGTTTGTTGGACATCGAGGTTTCGCTCAGACCTTGAAGTTGTAATTAGTCCTTATGCGCGAAGAAAGGCACCCTAGAGCAAATGACATGCGTTGCGTATCCAAGAGCGATTCGGGCAAGGTAGGCGTCCAAGTAAGCGAAGCGCTCGCACCGATCGAACAACTTGACAACCAGCAAAGTTAAGACACGGGGTTGCTAATGACGAAAGATAGCGCAGTCCAGGACAGCGGCACTGGGCACTCAGCCGGCTTCACTCCAGGCTGTGACGTTCATGTGGAGAATCTTTTGGTTGAAGTGGCACCCATGCCTTTGGAATCACCTGCAAACAGAACTTCGAAAACCCGGATGGAATGCAAGATTGGTTAGGTGACGAACGCAACGATATTCAGATCAAGGCTTCGTCCTTGCAAGAGTCGTCGTCGTCGCAAACCGTAGACGAGGCAATTCTTGCCGCGCCCGGAGTCGAGGGTTGGGCGTACAGCGAACAGAGTAATGTGTCGTCGGCCGTAACTGCACAGATAGTCAGGCCGCGGGTCCATTTGGTAGACAGGGGCGGTGGTCAGGAGACAAAAAGTAACAGACTGGCCAGGAGACGGCACATGCGTGGTATAGGATCAGGGGTTTCATGCATGTGATTGAAAGCGTTATCCGGCGGGCGACTTGAGTTTCCACAAGCTTGATCAGACTAATTATTGGCAGGAGTACTACAATGCCGGAGAAACCGTAAATGCGATTGCGGTCTGTTACGATCAGCATGTACCTTTGCAATGATGTTGGCTGGAGGTCTGCCCACACAGTCACGCTCATGGCTGCGCGTGCAGGTCAAAAGCGGAGTGTCACACGGATCAAAGCCTTCCGTGAGCATCAGATGATGGCTTAGGCCAAGTGCGGCTCACCGACAGACGCACTGTTGGTCAATAACTGGGGATTGCGCGACGCACTTGGATGAGTAGGGATCAACGAAATTGTTCCTGGAACGAAGTCTCAGAGCCCATGCAAGATGAGCAGCATTGTACCAATGATTACAACAAACGGACCGCAAGACAATGGTCGCCCAGAAGATGGCCCGCGCTATCACGAGCTCAATTTAGACCTCATCAAACCAGCGGTCTGGAGTGTCACGTCGACGTACTGTAGGCGTCGGCCTCGATCCCGATGGCATGTACGCGATCTCCACCGTGGAGTGGAGCGTTGTGAATATTGTAAAGTCGTCCATGGCATATTTGATGGTCATGGAAATGTGTTGATCTTGCTTTCGCTAATATCCAGGTATCGACAATCCCGTACGGCTTACACTGTCGGTCGCAGCAATGTTGTGATACTGCGGAGCAGGAGGAAAACTTACTGTGGATCTCAACACTGTGCCATTACCTTCAGTCGATCGACGCAGAGCAGCTCATAAAGCACTGAAACCGTCCAAGGTAAATTGTTGTGGCAACACGTTACCTAAGAGGAAGCAGTGGACCATTTCAAAACACAGGGGTCTAATTGTGCTACCTTGCATTGGCTCATCGATTGATCACAGTGTGCTCTCGGCCTAACGGCCATGGCCATGTCTGCCGATACGACTGTCCAGTAATGGTCTAGCTGTGTACCTCGTCTTGTGATACACTCGTCCCTCAGGCGTACACAGCATCACTGATTAGCAAGTTCATCACATTTCTCTATTAAGCAAATGCATGCCAATCAGATGAACGGGTATTGCGTTGCGGGAATTTTGTTCGTGCATGTCATCCCCTTCCCGTAGACAAGTTTCGATGCATAAGTTCTGTGCTTGGCAGCACTCCATCATTGCTGGTGGGCTTCGCAATTGGAATGGCTCCGAATGTCACTCAACCATGCCGTTGTGATATTCTCACGGGCGTTGGTCGCATCGAAAGTCAGATTTGCTGCTTAGCAGAATTGTCTTTACTCATGGCAGGCGCAGGGACGCGATGAACGTGCTGCGTTTGCCCTTCATAGTGACTTTCGGCAGTACTTCCGAGCATAAGTCATTATGCTTTTGCCTGGAACGCCACGGATTCGGTGTGGCCGACTCGCGAGTCGGCAATGCATGCAAGGATGACTGTATTTATCATGACGCGGCCCGTGCTTTCGACGTCTACGCCTCAAAGTCAAAATAAGCCCGTGCTTCCCCACCATGGCGATTACTAAATCCGTGCTGACTACTACGTTGTTCCTGACTACATATGTCCTGACTACTATCTTCATGTTGACTACTCACATGTTTACGCGGGACACATAGCATTGCGACGACTGGTCAGGAAAGTGGATAGCGATGCGGTAGACAAAGCCACAAATTGAATGATGTAGAATTTTCACCTTGGTTCCATCGCATAATTCCACTCTTCAGCCCACGCCTCAAACTTTGTGAGTTGCCTCTAGAGATGGACCTCTATCAATACTTCTCGCGACCGTCCCACGACCACCAAAGCAATGAGTGTCATTGCAGCTGAGTTGCCTGCCAGCATTGTCGCTGGAACTTTTGACACTCACACTTGTACTGGCGTCTGACGAGGGGCGCACAAACTTGGCCTTGGGATTTGAAAATGCAATGATGCCTTTGGTTAGTGAAATCCGGATCCAGGTGTGGACTGATCGAACATTGGTTCTGACGTCGAAATACGAGATAGTATACAGAATGCTGTACGAGCATAATCGATCGAACATGCTATGGCTATCCCCATGTCGCTTGCACGGGCTGTACAGAACGCTTAGCTCACATCTATCGTATGGCATCTGGTACCGGCGATCCCCGCTATTGGTGAACGGTGACAGACCATGAGCGACGGATGTTCACGGAGCGCACAACACAAACCCCAACTCGGCGACCCTGGATCTCGACATCGATCGCTGAGCGGAGTGGCATCAACCGTTGGTCAAGCACAATAAAAAGAGCGTGGAAACACTATACACTCGCCCTGCCCCTCCGTGCATATGCGGATCATCCGGCCCGCCTTCTGCTTCTCGGCATCTCATACCGTCAGTAGCTGAACGCTATCCACAACGATCTCTTCTGACTTGGAAATAAAAGATGGTCGCGAAAGAGCAGGACCGAATGCAAACATGGTGCTCGGACACCCCTGACAAGCCCCTTATCGTCTCTACAAAGTTGCGCCTTACTGGCAACGAATTAGTGGGCTTCTTGCGAGGAGTACGAATGAGAGGGACGACCTGAGCGAAAGAATCGCCGGAATCACAGTGGAAGGGCTCGAACCATCATATCATTCCGTTCATTCTCTGTTACAACATCATGCTCTGAAAATGTTTCAAGATGCAGTGAAAGCTGGCTCCCGCGTGCAATCCGAGGAATCAAGAGTCTCACTCCCGTCCGTCTGAACGCGATCAATGTTCGAGGAGGGAGTCGTGTTCTGGCCTGAAACAAGAATGATCGAGATCATGCCACCTCCGCAGTCACACTCCCGAGCGATGCCGCCGACAACTCTCGATATTGTGCAACCACAGAAGGGTCTACCGGCGGAACACTTGAATGGAGCGAGACTGTGAAGCGAGGCGGCAATCCCAGCCGCACCCCCCGTGCCATGACATCTGCTTGGCTGTCGAAAAGCTCAGGATACCGCTCAAAGAGCACTGGATCCAGACGATAGTCGTTATAAGTACGGATACCCAGCCCGAGCACCTGAAATGCCGCCCTGGCAAGAGTTGCTGAGCTGTATAGCTCCTCTACGCTTGCAGCCGGAAGTTTCCCTGATCCGTCTGATCCAGCCTCTGAAGCGGACCGTGTTGCCCAACCTTCGTCTCCTGATGATACCCTGGTATTGCAAGCATGGTGACAGACGTTGTTAGGACTGTCAGAATGACAGTTCGAGGCCGTGACAGTGTGTACAAGTGGCCACAACGGAACAAATCCCACGACGGGTGTTGGACACTTGATTAATTGAGACAAATCGGCTTCGATGGCCCAACATGAGCCGATGTCGTCAATGATCTGGTCCAGCTTAGGGTTGGCAGAGTGATAGATGATCAAATTGTCTCGGATGGAAGGCCATGGCATCCAGTCGATGATACTTGGATGTGCGGAGAAGGTTTGAATTTCTGTTGGTCGAAAGTGAGGTATGATTCTTCGCCAGTTCATTTCTGTTCTATTCATTCTCCAAGCAGTCAACGCCTGCAGGTTGGTAAAAGTCCTCGTATCCCAGGCTGTTGCGGACTGCCAAGTGTTGTTGGCGAAAGCTTGAACCACGCAGGAGATGGCGCTCGCCAGTCTGCGAAGGCTGTCAATGTTTGCGTATCAATCGTGTGCTTAGAGATTGCGCTCACTTCTCGTCGCCCAAATGACGTTTTGCAGCGAAAGTAGAATGGTGTGCGAGACATGGTTCGTACGTATCAATGTGATCAGAGAAGATCGAATTCGTTCTTTTGACTAGGGACATGTTGCCATGCGCCATCGACCTCTCCACCAGATCTTGGTATCGCTCGGGACCGAGCTGCGATGACTGTAGAGGCATTAGAGACATGGCCTGCTGAACGAACCCGTTTGCTGTGGAATGGGACTTTCCCATAGGCAAATTGTCCGTGTATTGGAACACTGGGCCAGGTGCTCCAAAGTTGGAGGACGAATAATTGGGGTTGAAATTGTGCCATCTCTGTTCCTGCAGAGCTGAGTGAATTCCGGCACCTCCATCGCGGATTGTTTGCGACGACGCCGCGTGTTCGTGCCCATATCCCTCTGGAACATATGCCTCCGGATTACTTGTGGGGACGTTCATTCGGTCGGACGCCCTCGCCAGCTCGATCGTAGAGCCTGGAGTCGCCGATGCAGCTTTGCCGGAGACTGACCTCTCGCGTGAGTCTATGGCAGTCACAAAGCTGTCCAGTGGGACCTAAAACACGATCAAATCAGTAAGGGGTGCCCGTCGCACGAAAGTCGGACCTCAACATACATTTTCCATGCCCAAGGCTTGCGCCGCGGAGTCGGCCACAGCTTTGAGCGATATCTGGATACTGACGGCTTTTTTGTGGATCTCCATCAGTTGTTGACGGAGCTTGGCGTTCTGATCCTGTAGCTCAGCAGGTGTCGATGTCTTTTCGAGGCGTTCCTCTAGTTCTTGGATTCTCATTGCCTGCCGTGCTCGGAAAGCCCTTTGGGACATGCGGTTCCGCAGTTTCCTCTGCTCCGGGCCATTTGAGCCTTCATCGCCAGTATTGTCCGCATCACGAGAGGCCGCCGGACGTTTGCCATTTCGTGGTGCTCCTGGAGGCATTCTCGGACAGCTGTATCGCGAGTACCAGATGGCAAATGCTCATCGAACTGGTCGGGCTGGCACCGATTAAGTGCTAGTCGTCAGATCGACGTCCGTGCCAAACCTTGTTTGTAACTCATTAGCCATGGTTTCCGCTGCTGGTGTGGCTGATCGATAAATCGGCTCTTGGTCTTCGTCAGCATGCCAAGGCCGGTTCTGGCGTGTTTATACCGGTTCCAGGACGTTCTTCGCAGGCCGTGTTATGCATATGAGCGATCCTTGCACTGTTATGGCACAAAATGGAGTGGACACCCTGGTTTCACAATTACGAAGATAACCGAGGTGGACGATCACGTGAGCCCAGCTCCTCCTCGAGACGACTCGCGCTTCCCGCTTCTCAGTTTGGAAATTGCATCACAGTTGCAGTAGCGATGGAGGGTGGCAGATCAGGCCATGCCTTTTGCCCTCTCTGCCTGGTGGGGTAATGTCCACTATGTAGTTTTCCAACCTGGGGCAAACCTCGTGGAAGCTATCCAGACGCCGCGTACCTACTCCTAGCACGAGTCGACACACGCGACACATCGCTGCAAATATGGGCTCGATAAACGACCTTGGACAAGCACGGGAGCACATGAGGGGTCAAGGCTGGTGCGTGATTCCCGATGTGCTCAGCAAGCAAGAGACGAAAGTAGTGCTTGATGAGCTCTGGTCTGCAGCAGCGAAAGCCAACGAGCGTGGCGAAGACACAATTCTACCATTCCTCGATCCCAATGAAAGCAACGGTCGGGTGAGTGCTATATAGCATGTTTGAACTCGTCTTCTCAAATTCAGCTTGCATAGGTCTTCTACCTTCTCGAACATGAGATCTTCCGAAGGCTTATCACCCACGAGACGGCGATTGAAATGGTGAAGAGCGTGCTCGGCGAGAATTTCCTCATCAGCAATTTCACCGCAAACATCGCCCGGCCAGGGGGCAAGTCTATGGGTTTACACTCTGATCAGTCGCTTGTGACCCCGGACCCATGGACTCGGATCGAAGCTATGAATGTGATGTGGTGCTTGACTGATGTCTATTCCGAGAATGGCGCAACTTTGTGTATTCCAGGGTCGGATGAGTGGCAGACTCGCGACGACATTCCCAAAGTGCGTTGAAGCTTATCGGGTCGTGAAATGACTGTTCTGATAGTCTCATGACAGGGCGCCAAAGAAAGGCTTCGACCATTCGAAGCAAAGGCTGGCTCGATCGTCGTTATGGACGGCACCGTGTGGCATACGTCGGGCGCCAACATCACTCAGGATCAAGATCGTGCCCTGCTTTTTGGTTACTACACCAAGCCACATCTTCGACAACAGGTGAGTGACCGGGCAGTCCCTGATCACGACGCGTTCAACTGCGTACTTATTGCACGAATAGGTGAACTGGACCAGAAAGCTTAGCCCAGAAGTCAAAGCCTCTCTGTCACCTGAAATGGAAGAATGGCTCGGTGTAGGTACGAACATGTCTCTTCGTATATCGCCAGCTCATGCTTGTTACAGCTCGGTGTGACTGCGAACCTGGGAGAGGCCATTATGCATCTCAAGTATCTAGACGACCAATTTGCTGAGGATGGAGGCTCGGGGGCGAATGCAGCGGCTGCTTTCGCGAGCTCCTCCCATATTAAATAGAATATGCCTGTACTCTCATCAATCGTCGAAGTTCGTCATGAGAAGTCACTTCGCTTTCAAAAAGTAGAAGATTTGAAACAGGCTCGAACCTTACATGGCAGTTGATGGGTCGAGGACTAAGCATATGCACCAAATTTCATCTCGGGGAGAAATGCGGGATGGCATGGAAAAATGCACATCAATCTTGGCGAGCCTGAAGTGTATACTGTGTGACTAAAACTTCCTTTACTCATCCTTTGACGGAAGGACCCGATGGGATCAGCCCGCACAGACCGTCAGCGGCGATTTCTAGCCTGGCAGTTGTGGCCGCTCCCTTTTCGCAATTCCTATGGCGGTGAGGTCGTAAGAGGCTAAGCGCACAGTCGGATTTACAAACGTGGCCTACACCGCCATGATGGACGAGACTGTTCGTGTCTTGTTCAAGAGGGTTCTGGGTCAATACCGAGCAGCGGGTCGGGTAACAACGCAGAGATAGATTACCGACGAATGAACGCTGCTCAGTTACCGCACGATCAATGATCGCCTATCACTAACCGTGGACACCTCTGAATGCAACTACTTCTGACTGCAAGCACCTAATCAGATTGACTCTCGATCGACGAAGGGCTTTGCTGGTTGGCTGAGCGACCTGCGGTTACCCTCAGAGGCAGTTGCAGTCAGAGCCATGCACGGTTAATGATCGGGTAATGAGTGTTAGATCAGAGGCTATCGAGTACTGATTATAGACAAGGAGCCCGGCGGGTGTGACTAACTTCTTACCACTCATTGCATGCATTCCACAGCAACATATTGTGAAGAGCTGACCGCACTGTTGGAACACCAAACCGAGATGATCAACCACGCTGTTCATGTCTTTCTCACGGCAATTCTAGCCTGACGACAGGAGTCGGATCGAGCAACATCGTTAAGAAAATCACACGGGCTGAGTGCTGCTTGCCTGCTGCGCTGTCGATTCACGAATCCCTTTCCTTAATGGTCTGGCCACCCGTGCCGTGTCCTGACAGAGGCTATCGAGTGCTCGAAGGCTAGACATTGAGCCCAGGACCGCAGACTGATTCGACAACGTTTTTTGCATCTGGAAATCGAGAAGTCACGAACGCCGTTCCCGAGCCTCCCATCGTCCCCCTCGCAACTCGCAACTCGCAATTCGCAACTCAAACTGCAGCTGAGTATTTGCTCCTTTTAACCATTATTCGCGGGATTCACCATGCACCGATCCGAATTATGCACCGATGGATCCGGATTTCCCCACCACGTCGGAAAGGGATGCGCAGTCCCACTTCCTCCCGCGACAGCGAACGTCAAGACGAACACCATGACCTGCGCACCGCCGTCCAGCGCCGCGGAGAGCAGATAGTTGTAATTGACGAACCACTTTGCATGGTACTTCCTCACATACCCCTGGAAGACGAATCCCACAATCCAAAACGTTGTGAGTGAGCTGTTGATGCCAACAAAGAGATTGCCGGCATACCAGAGGACTATGCACGGATTGATGTATGCTAGCACTTTTGACAAGAAGGAAGTCTTGGGGAGGTAGCGGTAGCCAAGGTAGAAAGGTAGCGGGACAACAAAGCCAAGGAGGAAGGCAATGGTGACCCATTGGTATTGGGCGCCGAAGGAGAACATTCTTGGGGCAATGGACCATGCAATAGCGAGGGTATTGAACTGTTGGATGTTTTGACCCGACCAAATACTGTTGCCTTGGACAGCAATCAGGATGTCGAACTGGTTCTGAACGATCTCCCACATCATGACCCAATTCATGAGTGCACCGATCAGACAGCCGGAGACCTGGAGCACGAATGTGTCGCGTGGGGGAAGATGGGCGTATTGCGCAATTCGAAGATCTCGAGACAAGACACCCGCCTGCGATGCACCGTTGTACGCGAAGGTGGTAAAGTAAAAGTTGGCAAGAGGGCGACCAGGAAACATATACCCTGCTAGCATTTGGGCGATGGGTTGGAGGTTGAAGCCGAATCCTGTCAAGCCTTGGAGAGAGTTGAAAAAGAGTGAAAAGAGCCAGAGGAAGACGGTTGAGAGCAGGAATCCCCACCAGGGCAAGGTCGACTTCATCACGTAAAGGCAGACGATACCAGTGATCCAGGCTGCGATAACAACACTAGCCCACCACCATGTGGGTACCTCTTTGTACCCATTGCGCATCATGAGCTTGTAGTGTGGATCGAGATCGGGATGTCCTTGGATGGCTGCAACGCGCTCCTCATAGGACTCATATTTCCAGAAGCGGTAAGTGTCGATCTGAAAGATTTTGCGTAGATTGGTGAGATGCAGAAAGGACCACGAATCCTTGAGGTCGTCGTAATGCCACAGAAACATGTAAACGATGCCAGCAGTGAAGCCCATGTTGGAGGTGATCAGATACAGCAGATACGTAGCTGTCAGAGCAGGTGCTCCCATAACGTCCAGGGCATCAAAGTCGATGGTGAAATCCGGTTGTAAAATGAGAGTCTGATTATAGGTGGTGTAGTTTGTTGGTGTACTCGACGTTTGGTTGAAAAGCTGCTGGGCCATCCATGGGTAGTTTTGTGCATCCCACACATTGCCGTAGTAGGTGCCTGCAGTTCTTGCTGTCAGTGTAAGTCTCGAAGGGAATGAAACCTGGAAGACTTACTCGCAAAGATAATATAGCAGACGAAGATGCCCAACATCATGTTTGTGGTCGTCTTCAGCGGATACCACAACGGCGACTGAAACGACGCAATGTAGTTCCAGTCGAGACAGATGCTCAACACTCCAAGACCTTCGTTCCCTGACGCACCACCAAAGATATTCGAGAAGACAATCGAATGTTGATCTGCTAGGCAGAAGACAGAAACACCAATCAACAATGGCATGATCCACTCCGGTACGATCTCCCAGAAAAACATGGCAAAGAAGGCAATGTACCAGAACCGCATCTTCTTCTTGGTCTCGTTCTTGTTGCCATGCATTGTCTGGAGTAGAGTGTTGATCGGTAAAGCCGTGGGCCAAATCATTTTGGTCGCGTTGACTTGTATGCGCCTCATCATGCCAGCAACACCGAACCCGAGAATCTGCGAAGACAGGACGATGAATATTCCAGCACCTTTGCTCGGATAGCCGCCATAGAAGAGCTCTTGAGCAGCGAGAGCTTCAGTCGCCAGAGCAGATACAGCAGCCGCTGATGCCATGATAGTGATGGCGGCATGCTCTTTCTTGGTGAAAGCATGTGGATTCAAATACCGAAGCACTCCCCATCGCGGAATAGCAATTGCCATGAAACCCCCAAGAACGTACGCAATAACCGTAATAAAGACCAATGAGACGAAGATAGTCTGCGGCTTGAAGTAGAAGATTTCTTGCAGGACGGAGGCGAAGATGGCGAGACCAGATCCAAGAAAGAATGTTCGGAAAGTCATGACAGGCTCGGTAGGGTCATCTTCCATGTCGACAATTTTCGTCGAAAGGTCGGCCGCGGACTCAACGACATAGCCCTCATGCTTCTCGAGCTCTGAATCGGAGAGGCTGCCCGCTCCAGAAGAAATATTGTCCATGATTTCGTGCTCCTCTTTCCGGTCGCTCATGCCTGTTTGCACAGGCTGGAGTCCGCTGACCTCAACGGTCGACTTCTCCTTGCCATCATTGCCTGCGGACATTGTGAAAGCTCCACGGGCCGAAGCACAATGATTGTAGAAGATTTGAGCGAGACAAAGCTGCTGGAGAAGATCAGAAGCTGCCCTCGTCGGGACTTATCACCATCTTATCTCGCAACCCTGGCCTGGCCTGGCCATGCTCAAATCCTTGCCACGCGATAGACAACACGCAAGCATCGGGTACATACGTGCGCATAAAGATGGAAACCCTTGCAATGTCGCTAAACCATATAGAGTAACTACCCTGTCTACCACTTTGTGTATCTACCAGCTGCCTCAATTACTGCTAGACAACGTAGACTCCATAGATTACACCTTTCTCAAAGGGTGTATATGGCTTCCTGTTTGGCATAGTAATTACAGTAATAGAGTGGCAGCGAGAAGTCAGGAGGTAGAGGAATCAGAGAGAACTCTGAAATGGGATGGCACTAGCAGGGATACAGGGGTTTCCATCTTTATGCGCACGTAGTACGACTTTCACATGTACCGCGCCATACGTTGGTCCTGTATCTTATCACAGCCATTGGAATTGTAAGCGCCTTCTGCAACTGTCCTAGCGTCCCCAAGCTTTTGCCAAGTTGACACAAGCACCTGCTCCCATGGTAGCTAGCTCCGTGGCGTATACATCGCTTGACAGTGTCCCAAGAGTGCGATTGGATGCAGCCTGCAGTGTGTGGAAGTGTGCAGCATTGCATGGCATCAGAAACGAGGTCGTTTTTGAGTATTAACTGCAGCAAGATGCCGTGCCACCCGCTGAGATACGAGCCTCTGTATCGAGATCTCTGCTCGATCATTGATGCTTCCTGTATGATGCTACGTTTTCAGTACAGAAGAACATACAACAGAAGAAGTTACGGATAATCCTGATCGCGCGTGTGAGTCTTCCGAACCACGCATCGACAGCCAATCGCTCGCTTGTTTTGTCGCACAGATGGCACAAGTGCAACCTGTGCTGGTGAGCGGTTTCTTGAGTTCTTTGTTGTCAAGACTTGCAATCATGCTGCGATAGCGTATCTTGCCGCAGTTGTCCTCCAGAAACACAACCTGTCGGAGCAAGCCCTACTCATGAGCGGGTATCGCGGATGTCTCGGCTCACTGCTGGCAAAAGTGCTGCCGAATAATTGGGAGTTGACTGGCTAAAGTCGATCGTTTGATCAAACATTCGCCTCCATGCCTCACAATCTTGCACTATGCTTGACCGCTGCCGAGTCGCCGAAGACGATGGCTTTATCGATTTCCACCTCTTTCGCGGACATCACCCTGCCAAAATGACTGCCTTCGATGCGTCTCCGTATCCACCTGTCGCAAATCTCAGCAGAGACTTCATCGCCATCGCTCAAAGCATCTTCCGCCAGCAGCAAAGTGCATATGACCCATCCAAGATCTTGACACAGCGCTCTGCCATCCAACGCCAGCTGGTCCCGGCTTCGTGTCTGAATACCGTTCTGAACATTTTTCCAGACTTTTTCCAAGCTCCGTGCCCACTGAGCTGGTCCAGCGCCTTCCCATCTCTTCGCTGCGTTGCTCACGACACCTTGGAGTGCACTCAAAACTTCGGCTCCGCCTGGTCCTTTGACGATTCGCAAGACATCATCTGCTTGAATGTTCGTCGTTCCTTCCCAGATGCTCAACACATTGGCATTCCGGAATATGCGAGCAACATTGAGAGCCGGATCCTCATTCTCCAAGTAACCGACTCCGCCGAGGTTCTCCATACACTCTTGCAGTCCATGAATGGCGGCCTTTGCGGTCAACATCTTGGCCAGCGGCGTACAGAGCCTCAGGAGCTGAGGCTTCAATAGTCCAGCAGCTTCGAGCGCCGATTGATCTTGTGGAGCAGAAGTTGAAGCATGCTCAGGCCTCTCGGATTGGCCGAGCAGTGCGGCTGTGTAGAATGCCAAATGCATCATAGCACGGTAGGTGATATGATCCTCTGCCATAGTTCTGATATGGACAGGCGTATCCATGAGGAGTTTATTCCGAACACTGCGCACCTGTGCAAATGCTCTGGAGATAGCAAGACCTCGCCCCAGATCTCCAACGGCTGAGACTGCATTGTGCAGACGGGTGATGTTGAGGACTGTGCTAATCTCCTTCGTTCCTTGCCCTGGCTTGCCGAACCGGTACGCTCGCATGTTGTCGAGAATAAGTTCGGCTGTGGGCAGTGCGCGAGTGCCAAGTTTGGATTTCAGGCGTTGAATTTGGATGCCATTCAGCTTCGCGTTCGGTTTGTGCTCCGGAACTGCATACTCCAAGCGCCGTTTGGTGGGTGCGAAGAAGGCAGAGATTGAACCCGATGGCTCTGTTGCGAGAAGGACGGTGCTGTCAGCGTCTGTCGCAGACGAAAACCACTTGAACCCGGAGATTGCCATTGGTCCAAGAGGATTGCCAACATGGTCCTGGCCCCCCTGCTCAGCGGCTATGGATGCTTGCGTCTCGGTGTTCCGCACATCACTTCCACCCGGTCGTTCAGTCATCCATTGGCCGCTTGTCCAGGCAATCGCTGGATCTCTGCTGATCAGTCTATTACGGGCATCTTCAAAGACGATTCTTTCCTGCTTTCCCAAGTCTGCCTTCTGAAGCTGCAGCGTCAACAATCTTGCTGCTCCGTCAGTCATAGCACTGGGGCATGTGACACCAGCGTTCCATGGATCCCATATGTGGTACTTCACGAACTGGTATACTCTCGCATGCCGACCATGTGCCGCATCGTGGCCAATGGCAACAATCCCTTCTTGGATACCAAGCTTCTGGAGTTCTTGCCAGCCGGCAGATGTGACCAATTCATCAATACGGTTGCCGAAGTCATCGTACTGCTTCACATATGGCGTATTACGCTCTGCGTCTGCACCCCATGCTCGAATTCGGGGAGTTAAAACTAGTTTACTGAATCGTTCGAGATCGGGAGCAACACTCTGTTGCGTTGAGGAAGGAAGGTAGACTAGGCCAGAGGGTTAGTGGGTAGATACTGAAGCACGCAGGTGGTAGTACATTTGAAGATCCTCTGCAGCGTTGAATCCTCTTCAAAGGAAGGAACAAGTGCCGGAGGTACCTGGAAGAAGCCTGCCGTGCCGCTTGAAGGAGGTTTTGAATGCTTCAGTTCCGTCATCTTGACGTCTAGTGGTTTGTTCTAATGTTTATGAGGTGCTCCGGCTTCAAATGAGCTTCCAATGTTGGCTTCGGTAGTAAATCAGGGCTGTTGTCAGGTGGATGCTTTTGCTGAATTGCATACCTTGAAGATACGCAAGTGAGCGTTTCCAGTGGACTCAGAGACTCCCTTCAGCTCTGCTCTTGACAGATTCTGGTCCAGAACACTCGATTTTCTGATCGCAGCGTAGGCAATCCTTCGAGAACCGAGAATCGTCCAGTGCGATGCCAATATATATCTTGACTCGAGTGTGGTGTGTGTAAAAGCCGCCATAGGATTATTGACCCCAGTATGCTACCACGAGGTTCCGAGTTCTGGGTGGAGGTCGAGCCGAGGCCTCGGCCATATGCGGGGGCTGTACGAGCATCACATCCATAATGCTGCAATGGATTTTGTTGACGTGCAGAGCTAATGCGCTGCAGAAGTTCAGGTGGTTTACAGATAACGTGCGATGCCGCAAGATCGAGGGTGAGAAGGCGAAACAATCTGCTGCTCAGAAGACAAAATCAATGCAGTACAGCAGTCATCCAGACAGTCACGCGCCAACATACCACTTGGATCCGACTCCGGGATTGTAGTGTCAATGATGAGACCGATGAAGAAGATCTGCGTGTGCCTTTCGAATCGTTGCATACACCTGCGTGCATTCGTCATATCGTACAGAATGTTCATTGTCTCACAGTATCCTCGAGCTCTGTCGTGCCGAATGAACCGCTTTTGAGCTTGCTTCCGCCGTATTGCCCTCTACTTGAATCTCTTCTCTGCCGCCTTCCAGTTGACAACATCCCAGATAGCGCTGAAGTACTCAGCCTTGCGGTTCTGGTACTGCAAGTAGTAAGCGTGCTCCCATGCATCTATTCCTAGCAATGGTCGGAATTGACCAACGACTGGGTCCTGGTTGGCGTATGTCTTGATCTGGATAGCACCAGTCTGGACATCCTGCACCAGCCATGCCCAGCCTGAGCCTTGAATGCCGGCCAATGCTGTGTTGAATTGCGACTTCAGGTTGTCCAGAGAGCCAAAGTGAGAGTCAATGGACTTGGAGAGTGCACCGCTTGGTGGCTCGCCACCTCCCTGAGACTTCGGTGCGAGGTTCTCCCAGAAGAGGCTGTGGTTTGTGTGGCCGCCTGGCATCTTTGTCAGCGTTTTGTCCAAGTTGCTCGCTTTTTGTGTTCCCAAACACTGCCGCGCTCACCTCCATGGAAGTTAATCAATGGCTGAATGGCAATCTGTGCCTGGATATCGCCCTTGTGCTGCGCCTCCTGCAGCTTCTCGATTTGTGTGTTGTAGGAGGTCACGTAGGTGTTGTGGTGCTTGGAGTGGTGGAGCTCCATGATTTGGCCGGAGATCGCAGGCTCGAGGGCGCCATAGTCGTCTATGCCAGTTGATCAGCATATGATTAACACAGAGCTTGCCTGCTGCTATCAAGGGCATTGACTGCCATACATGGAAGATCTGGAAGGGTGGCTTTGCCGCGGGTGAAGGTGGTGCTCGCAAGAGCTGCTTTCTTCGCGGTCGATGGTGCGGAGGATCGCAGGGCGGTGCGCAGGGCGCTTTGACGGAGGAGTGTCGATGCCATTGTCAGATGAGTTTGCTCTCTGTCTGACGGAAAGTGGTTACAAGAGTTGTGGTTGTCGCAATGAGCTCAGTTATGATGAAGGGCTGGAGCTCATGCAAACAAAACGTCACTACCCGGGCTTGGCCCTGAGCCCGAAGCTCCGAGAAGATGGTCATGATAATCACGAAATACCTAAGCATTGCGACAACGGACCTGTACTGCTGACAGATCGTCTACTCAATAGTCCCGTCCTACACATTGGCTGCCAAGGTTCGACGCCGCTCACCAACCATGACACTGACACCGCGGGTGAGACGCGCTCTTGGTTCGACAGCTCTTGAACGAGACTCCCAGCGGAACAAATTGCGCAAGGCTGCAGAATCAAGATGTGGCTGCGAGCGAATGCTCTCAAACCGTCTTGTAGCAAGACGTCGGGCGCTCCGTGGCCCGAACAAGCTGTTGCCAGGATATGATCTGTCTGGAAAATAGTACAATAGTACAATGTATCTGGAGGTTGCTATACAGGCGGTTCTAGTGCGGTTTATGCATCTCATCGGTGCACCTCGACTGGTCGCGGCCGGTTGCTTTCGCGGCTTCGAAGTTCTGCTTGTCGATCGAGGTCCAGTCATCGTGTAATTGTCTACCGGAGCTGTCTGAACAGCTTAGGCGCCGCGCATTGGGTCGCGCAGTGCATCATATGGAAGACTGTATACCGTCAGTGGATTCTCTTTGACCCGGGCGTCTCTCTCATGCTCGGTGTAGCTTATCGACTTACACTCCTCAACGCAGTCCTCCTCGGCCTTGCCGTGGGTCTCTTCCTGGTGCTTTACGCGCTCAGCGCACTCGTCATAGTGGTGCTTCAATGGCGCGCACTGCTTGGACTGCAGGCACTCTGTGTAGTTCATATGTCAGCGTGCTGTCCTCCACCTCGTTGTCCTTCATTTTGTCGATCTCAGGCCAGAATTCATCAGGCCCAGTGCCTGCACTAGTACCCGTGCGGTGATGGCAAACATGCTTGGGCATGACTTACCCTCCTCAAGCTTTGGCTTGATGTCCTCTGGCTCATCCTCCTCCTCTTCCTCTTCCTCCTCTTCTTCCTCTTCCTCATCTCCACCCTCCTCTTCGCCGCCCTCGGCCTCTTCCTTCTCCTCGCTCTCTTCTGAGCCTTCGTCACCACCTGTGACATGTCATGTCAGCTTCAGCTTGTTATCATGGTTGTGCGCCCGGCAGATGCTGCAGCGCATTCTCATCTCCATCGTGATTCCTCACCTTCGTCCTTCTGCGGCTCCTCGGCCTCGGCCTCGCGAACGGTCAGCGCCTCGTAGAGGTCGGACACATAGTCGAAGATGCCCATCGTGGCGGTAGATGGGATTGCGTCTGTTATGAGCCAATGGCTGATTGATCGAGTGCTGCTCACAGGTCGAAGCTTTTGCGTGGCAGGAGTTGTGTTCGGGAAAGAACGTTGCGGGTTGAGCCGCACGCTTAGCGCATTTTCCAGAGCGTCAGCAAGCAGGACTGCCGGTGGTTGGCTGGATGACTTTCACTTCGACATCAGCATCAGATTCACCATCAAGGCCTGTCATTCCCTTTCATTCCACATCTGCTCGTGGAGCTCATCAGCGAAAGGGAAAAATTATGCTCAGTATGGGCAGCTCACAAGAGCCGCCCTAGCTGCACGTCTTTGTGCAGCACGTTCGAAGATTAATGGCAAGGCACAGTAGCCTCGAAGTCAGGAAAGTGATCAAGCCATCGCCATTCCCATGTTGGAGGCTTTCGCAGTATAACTGATGCAATCTATACGTCTCCGCTTGGTCAAGACTATCCAACGATTTCCTTACAGCTTGAGTACTTCGAGATCAACGTCGAGCTCCAACCAAAACATGCAAGCAGCACAGTTCAGTATCGCCGCGCTCCGTGCATATTTCGATAATGAATGAGATGTCATGTCGAGAGAACATTTTTTGCCTACTCGGAAGTTTCTACTGCTTGCTTCAAGGGCTTGTAGGTAACCAGCAGCATTTGAAGGCCGGTATCAGCAAAGAGCTATGAAACCGGCCGTCTAATGGTGCTGGTGTGCTCTCATGAGCGTGGCCAACAACTGAGCAAAAATGTCGTAAGAAGACGCTCGCAACATGCTAAAGTGGCCAAAACCCAGTCAGCTTTGGCCAAAAACTGGCGAATCGAGACAGTTCAATAGGTGTGAGATCATCTGTCGAGCTTTTCCAGCAATGCAGCTTGCGACGAGATCAAAGATACAGTCCTGAGGCACTAACTGATACTAGAAGGAATGTTGCCGCCTGTTCGGGGCGTTTAAGTACACTTGCGGCACAGTGCTTCAGGATGTATTTAGCCGCCGGGCTACAGGCTACGACAGACTCTCGAAGCCAGCGCTTGATAGTGACCTCCACTCAGTCAAATCTCGAAACTTTCGCGCCACTATCCATGCCACTTCAGCGCAGCCTGACTGGTCTGCTACAATGACATGTACTGCTCAGGACGATGAACATGCACAAGCCCGACTTAGCGATCTGGAGGTGTTTCATGCTATTTCAGTGCCTACAGGACTCTCTTATCATGCATGTCATCTTATAACATGGCTCTCGATGGAACACTCGCCGCAATGTCCATTTTCTTGTCGTGGATTTCTCAGTAAATATTTTTTGAAATGCCACTCTTTTCCAGCTTCAAAAGATCGAAGGCGCCGGTCGCCCCCCAAAACATCGATAAAACTAAACAACAGGCCCTATCTGCGAAGCACTCAGGGACGGATTCTTACAACAAGCCTCCAGCAAGACTGCAGCGGAAGCTGGAATTTCCCCGAACATATCGCAACATAGACTCTGACAAGAAAGAAATCAGATTACTTAGGCTTTTCCCGGCAAAAAACGAAGACGATCCATTGCAATGCACAACTCAGGTCATATGTCTCCAATCAAGAAAGATCCCCGCCTACGAAACGATCTCGTACTGTTGGGGCAAGGATCCAGGCGAAGGATGGATGCAGATCGATGGGATTAGAGAGCTGGTTCCAGGCAGTGCAGAAAGGGTGCTTCGGCGCATGCGATCCCAAACGCAAGAACGCCTGCTATGGATAGATGCAATATCCATCAACCAATGCAACACAGCCGAAAAAGGGGACCAGGTCGCGTTCATGTGTGATATTTACCAGCGAGGCGATCACAACCTCATCTGGCTAACGCCTCCCGACAAGTACAAGTACACGCCCACAGAGGCAAGATCCATTTTGAACTCGCTCCAGGCAGTGAAGACGAATATCAAAAGAGCCACTGGAGGAAAATTCAGATCGCTGATGAATAATCCTGCTGGAACTGAAACGCAGAATGGTCGACTGTTGGATGCTTCTATCGATTTAAAGTCCCTGCAGTTGCTTTTCCAGAGCGAGTGGTTCCGACGACTGTGGGTTGCCCAGGAGGCCGCACTCTCGCAACAAAGTACCTGTCATTTTGGACCATGCAAGTTTCCGCTGTCGGATATCCTCGATGCAGCTGCCTGGCTCCTCTACAACGGTCTTATGCTGCCGCCACCGATGAGGAAACAACGAGGCCTATGGGCGGCGCGGTCGATGTGGTATATCTTGGATCGAAGGAACAACCCTGATACAGATCTATTCATGGCGTATGTTTTGACGCAGAACTTTGAAGCAACCGAAGCAAGAGACCATGTATATGCATTGATGGGCTTGTTCAAGGACCAGCAACCGCATCTTCGTCTTCGTGGCCTGCTCTTAAGGCCGAAGTATACCAAGCCGCTTCCGGAGGTGTTTCGCGACGCAACACGGGCTTGTGTCGAGGACAGCCGTAACCTGCAAGCTCTGCAGTTTGTAGAGCCCTCCAAGGTCCCGGCTGGCTACCCTTCATGGACCCTGCTCTTTGACGCCGGACTCTCTGGACGTGACGCTGATCCAATTTGCAAGCTGGGAAATGGCTTCCGCGCGGACGGCAACGCCACCTGTTATGTTATGTTTGACGAACCGGACACGCTAAAGGCGAGAGGTGCTGATATCGATGGCATCGAAGAATACTCACCAACTTTCTCTTCAGCAAAATCGTGGACGAACGGCGACCATGCTAAGCTTATGGGCCAGGTTGGCTCAATGATACGAAAAAGAAGGCCAGGGAAGGATTGGATCAACGAGCTGGGTCTTGTTCTTGTCGCCGGTCACAACACCTCAAGAGATCGTACTGTCGTGGACGACTTTGCCGCATTCCTGAGGTACTCAAAGCAGTATCCGACTCAACGACTTGCGGTACCAGAAGGTCAGCAACATGATGAGAAAAATCGCGCCGGTCGCTGGTATTCCAGATTTGAGCAGACCATGTATGGCCGCAAATTCTTCATGACAAGAGGTGGACTTGCTGGGATTGGACCTCCGAATATGAAGTCCGGAGATCGAATCGTTGTTCTCTGTGGAGGATCTGTGCCCTTTGTGATGCGCTCAACTGGGCGGAAGCGAGAATACGTGCTGATAGGGGTTTGCTATGTTTTCGGACTTATGCAAGGGGAGTTTAAGGACTATTTTGTCGCCGAATGGATGAGCGTTAGATAGAATAGCACTGCACTTCGGTTCTTTCTCGACTGAATGGAAAATGGGCGACCGACCATTCCCAGGCGTACACGTAAGCATTGTGGAATTTGCTGCTGCGGCGGAGAAGCAGCGATGCTCACCGTCTGTCCTCAAGCAGCAATCGTGCCGTGGGCTACAACAGCGAGTGGCGTAGTGATTCACTGATGTCGACATGGGAATCGTGCCGCTATCACACTGTGTCTGAGATGTCGCATGGACCTTTGGCACGTTGCCGGGGATGTTCTGTACTCTGGTCTCTGTAAGCGCTGGAGCTGTTGCTGGGCATGCAGGGCGCGCATGAGTGGCGAGCTTTCACGCTTCTAAGCGCCCAACCTCACACCAATCATCCTCCGCAGCTCGACTTTCCACATATCATGGCTCTGTGCCTGGAACGCCTGCAGGCGCCCTCGATTGGACTGAAGATATACCTGCTAGCAAGCAGCCCACGCGTGACTTCGTGATGGCTCTGGTAAGTTGCTGGACATGCTTTCCTACACCTAGTCACTTGTCACATAAGAGAGGCATTCAAAGCCCATAATACAGATCGGCCGGTACGATCACCAACATGGGAAGAGGCGGAGCCATCTACCTCAGCTACATGGCCTTGGTGCTACTCACGATACCCCAGGAAAGCCATGCTGGACTGTGGGATGTCGATATCGATCTAAGTCCAGCACCGCCTGCCGAATCTGGGCCTCCGTTCTCTTTCCATGCGACACGCGACAGATCCCTTCTTCCCTATCAGATCATCGGAATAGTCGGAGCATATGTAGGCTCAGTGCTGCTCATCGGAACATTCTTGCTCACCTTTGGGCGGAGTCTACGAAAGCGTGCTCAAGCTATGGCCGAGAAGCCTGTAGAAATGGTCAAACCGGTGCACAAGAACTTCGACCCCTCCCCGATGAGCCCGACTGGGAGCACAAAAGGATGGCTGAGGAGGAAAGCAGGCAGTATGCGTAGCGGCAAGAGCAATGTAGCGTCTCCTGGGATGCGCAGTGTAGCAAGCTTCGATCAAAGCGTGGTGGACGCTGATCGGCGGAGACAAGACGAGGAACTGGCACAACTCTATGGTCATGTATTGGAATACGACGATGCACGCGAGCTGCAAGACAACAGACTGGACGCTGGAGCGCCGCCAGCCTACCCTCGTCGGGAGAGACCTACGTTGCCAGCACTCCAGCGTGTCCAGTCATCGGAGCCTCCTCTCAGTCCACGTAGTCCTCGCTCACCCGGCTCACCATACTATGCTGTGCCACCTCCGAAAAATCTTTTGGCGCAACTATCGCCGACCTACAAACCGCCACAACAAGACCTGCATTCTCCGGCTTTCAGCAGCAACCAGGCGGCTCCATCTTCTCCGGTTAGATTCAAGAAAAGCGTCAAGCAGCGACTAGGCAAGCTGGATATAAGTGGACCAATGCAAGGACTGCGCGACAATGAAGACGGAGCGCGTACCCCTCTTTCGCCCAGGCTCTACCAGAATCCAGGACCTCCTCCTGAGCCTCCGTCTGCGAGAACGGTGGATACTTATCCATACACTCCCACTACTCCTGGCACCGCTCTCAGCAATCCTTTTCCAGAGGAGGACGAGCTCTTCGACGACGTGCGTGATCTACCTCCTGCTCATCCTCAGCGTATGAGTAGTTTCTCGAGGGAGCAACAGCCTCGAAGCCCAACGAGCCCTGGCCTGCCATCTAGCCCAGCTCAATTCCGTGTTGGTTCGCCCCCTCGACGCGGGCAGACTCCCGTGGGTAATGTGGGGAACGCCGATCGCCCGTTGGCATTCCGACAGCTCGCAGAACAACACAAGCAAGCGGCCGTGTCTAACAGTGAGCTCAATCTATCCGCGCCCCCAGGCTGGAGCAGTGTCGGTAGTCCACGCCTTCAAACCACAGAAGTGTATACCAGAGAACGCCATTTCCTGGTGATTGGCAGTGCTGCATTGCACAGTCCTAGAGTTTATACTCCATACATGCCTATTGCGCCTCCCACGCCTGTCACTCCACATCTGACAACGAGGTTAGAGCGGAGGCAGCGTGAAAAGGAGGACAGGACAATACGAGGTGCCATTACTGAGGAGGAGCAAGTGCAAGACGAGAAAGACATGTGGGGTGACGCTTATTGAGCATCTCTCGTTCGTCGTGTAGATATCATTCAATTAATGCTCCCATTTGGCGACAGATCATGCCATGTTAATCAATTGTGCATGAACTGCTGACCAAATGTGCGCGCAGATCGGCTTGAAACGGGATACCCTCGGTACCCCGCTCACGTGTCTCCCAATGGCGTGAGAGCAAGCTGTAAGCTGCAACTTCCACCCTGACGCGTCTTCTTGCACTTCAACCTTCACCTCTGCTGCTTCATACATTGTGCGAGATGAGTTTCTGCTTCATGCCAACATGAACGCAACGCGGCAAGCCCCAGAAATGGCCCGCATCGGCCCCAGAGTCTGATTCTGGCAAATTCGCGGCGACACTACGAAGCGGACGCTACACACGAACCCGCCCGCAAGTTGTCTCTGCCGAGTGGGTCGGCCATGTCATGATTCTTGCACGATAACAGACACAACAGGCCGAATTGTTGTTATCATTGGCACGAGGTGGAAGGTTCATGTCCGGCAGCTCGCCGCTCCTTTCACGTGCGAGAAAGAGCAGCGCACATTCGAGGACATCCCGCGTGGGGAGGTGTTGGCTTTCCACGCGCTCCCTGCTCTCAACGCGTCTCACCAAAAGACAACTTGCCTCACTCAACTTGGGACAGGAAGGACTTCCAAAAGGAGCGTCTTCATCAGTGCAGCACACAAGATACCGGAAATATGACGGATGCACAGATGCATGACCCGACTTCAGGCGCATCGCCAAAAGACCGGGAATCATTGTCGATGGCGCGCATCGGAGATGATCCACGCCAATGGTTGGGCCACGCTATCAACGCGCAAGATTCGGCGCAACCTCGTCGGACCATTTGCACGACACGGTGGTGCGTGAAAAACGTGCAAGCCGGACCCACTGCCGTCGGCCCCTAGGCGCGCACGGGCCGAGCAGAGCTCTTTTCGACGTCAGGTGTTCGGGACCTCCGGCGAAAAATTGCACACCTCTGGCGGAAAGGCATCGCTGTGTCGACGCAGTCATCGGGGCACAGGCATGCATCACGAGGGCAAAGGCGACGCATTCGCGACCTGCGAAAGGATGCGAAAGCGCACCTTTATAGCACAGAAATCGGGCGAAGCCGGATATCCTCGAGCTCGGACTGCGCAGAATTTGATCTGCGGGCCGCATGTCGCAAACAACGACAGCCTTACCCGTAAGCAGAGGATTGCATGATGTGGCGGGCTGCCATCGCCTCGCACCTCATGTTGATGGCTGGCCAACGTTGTAGGAATGATGGGGTAGACAGGCTGAGATGGAAACATCTGAATGCACCTGCTTCATCGATGGAATGGATCATCCATCACGAATCATAGGTTGGTCGAGGTCATGGCATTTTATATGCGTCCTCCTGCCTGTGCGTCCCGGGCAACATCGGAACACAGAGTGGTCCTGATACAAACGACATCACTTTCTTCGGTGAAAGGGGCCTCTCCGTGCCAATCACAGAAGGTTGGCCAGGTAGGTGTGTAGGTCCAAGCTTGCTCTCTACTCCCCGATCTTTAAGCGGCGACCTCAAGCAAAAATCTGCTCTCGTTGTCTCCCACACTTTCCCCGTGACAGCTCCCTCCAGTCTCTTCCAGCTCATCACAACCACTCCGCTCCATCACGAAGAAGACCATCAAACCCATCATATCCATCACAATGGCCTCTTCTCTCCGCATGTCCGTCCCAAAGATGGCCTCCATGGCCGCTCAGAGCACCACCAAGGTCGCTCGCCCAGCTCAGTTCCAGAAGTTCACTCGTGCATACTCTGGTAAGCTTCCGGCGAGGAGAAGATGAGAGCTCCAAACAGAGCTTCCAGAGGTCCAGCTCCATTGACGATGATTTCGATATAGCTGCCACCCGCAACACCGCCACCTTCAACACCATGAAGCGCACATCCACCATCATGCAGGCCGCCCGCACCAAGGTCTCCCCAATCGGTGCCCAGGCCAAGCGTGCCTACTCTTCTGAGATGGCCAACGCCCTTGTCCAGGTCTCGCAGAACTTGGGTATGGGTTCTGCCGCCATTGGTCTCGGTGGTGCCGGTAAGGATATCCATTGCTTTATCGTGATGGAGACAGCTATCTGACTCGAGCGTCCAGGTATCGGTATTGGTTTGGTCTTCGCCGCTCTCCTCCAGGCTGTTGCCCGCAACCCATCTCTCCGTGGCCAGCTCTTCTCTTACGCCATTTTGGGTTTCGCTTTCGTCGAAGCCATTGGTCTTTTCGACCTCATGGTATGTCCACGTTGCCGCTCTTCCACAACTCCGGTCCGAATACTAATGAATTCCAGGTTGCCATGATGTGCAAGTACGTCTAAACGAATCGATCAACCTCATCAACACGCGCGCACACAACAACACCACCACCACTATTATTGCAGCATAGCGGGGCGGTGTTATCTCGGAGCAATTGTAACAGTATCACGAAACTTGAAATCAACTCAAATGGAGCTTTGAAACGGGTTACACACAACAACAACGCATACACTATAGACATACAACGGATCGGATAGAGCATAGAGGGGAGCAGCGGTGCGCGCACTTCGGTTTGGTTTTGCTTAGGGCGGCTTTTGGTACGACTATGAAACCTACGAAGACTACTACACTCTTGTACACATTCGAGCTGGAGAGGAGTGTGGCTGTACCCTTGGTATGAGAAGTTGGAAAAATCGAGTATGAGCTTTCTTTTGTGATGATCTTGTCCTGTGCCATGTCCTCAGAGTTACTTGATGATGCCTGATGTCTCGATGAGCTGCTACAGCAACTCCTGTAGTTGCGCGAGAGCTAGGCTGCGGCTGATGATTTGGGCTCGAACCATCGAATGTACGAGTATGAGGATCGCGTTGACCTCTCCTGCGTACATGAGACTTGCTCAAAGTGGTGATGATCTCTGGTCTGGATCACATGCTTTTGATGGTACGATTCCTATCTTCGCGGCCTCACATTCGTTGCCTCGGATAACAGCTGGCATGCATACGGAACCTCGGGGAAAAGGCATGCTAGACCTTTCGCCCGGACCAGAACCGGGATTCGTCGCGCGTAGACTAGCGTTCTGTAGGGGCGAATTGCCTTACTGCCGCAAATACCTGATTGACGTTGGACCTCGTTTCCAATAGTTCTTTCGTTGACCTGTTTGTGGTTGATAGGGTATCTCGATTTCCTTCGATTGCGCCCAAACGCCATGCTCATTCTCGTCTTCGCGTTGGTTGCCGGTCCAACCACTGTTTTTCTGCAGCATCCAGGATCGCACTTGTAGAGCCTTCTCAAGTTCGAGCTGTCCGATGATGGTCTCAGGGCAGAACGCAGAAGCTCTCGGCGCATTCATAGCCGCGCGCCGCGAGGCGCAATAGCTTCCAGTGTTAACACCACAGCCGCATCGCGTCTATCTTCCCTGCCCATACTCATCACCATAATCGCGATCCGCCGCAAATTGCTTTCCATATCCTCCTCGCCCAGGATCATACTCCTCCCGATACTCATCTCTTACTTGCCCACCACTCCTACCACGTCCATACTGTCTCCCCTCGCTGAATCCCTCATCCAAATCCGTTCGAATGATTCTCTCGTCCAGTTTCGTCCCTCCGACATATTTCAAACAGTCCAGCGCGTCCTGGTGTGTGTAATACTCGACGAAGCAGAAACCGCAAGGCGTCTTAGCGAAGCGGTCCAGACCCATCACCAGACGTTTGATCTCGCCACACGTGCTGAAGAGAGAGTGTATTTGCTCTTCGGTTGTGTAGAATGAGAGGTTTCCGACGTAGAGGGTCGTGGCATTGGAGAGTTTCTCTTCGAGATCGGGAGAGGGGGCGCGACCTTCGGCGGGGCCTTCGTCCGGGTTGCGCTTGCGCTTCTTGTACTGTAGAGAGAGGTGGTGTCAGTTACTGGTAGATCGTGTGCCTGAACAACGGAGGCTGCTTACTTTGCTCATGGCGTAGGTGGACGGCTTGTCGAGCCGCTCCACCGTGCTGCGCATCTGGAAATTCGAGGGCATCGTGGCGAACGTGTTGCGATTTGTCTTAATGTCTGTAAAGGGATGTCGTCGTGGACGCGGACGGGTGAAGGTGTAGGTTCGCGCGGAAGCAGCCGCTTTGGAGCTTGACGCGGGTTTTGATCCGCAAGTCGCGTTTCCACTTGAACTTCACCACTTTCACTTGGACAATCACATGCTGGAGGTGGAGTGAGTTCATGTGAAGATGGTGAGAGTCTTGGATCGCGCGCCGCGTTGGCTCAACTACAGCACGCCCGGATTTGATTTCTTCCAGGACAAGAGCAAAACGAGATCGACACAGAAACACGATGCGCCAACGAAGAGGATCGCACACCGCGGGACCGAAGTCTTCTTCGCCGTCGGCAAGGAACTGCGCTGGGCCGACTTGCGGGACTTCAAAGATGCTGGGGAGCGGCGAGAAGGACGACATGGCAGAGACACCGAGAAGCAGCCACCGTACAAAGTGCTCCTCACACCCGTACCAGCCGACCGACAGATCCAGCAAATATCCGTTGCGCCAGACGGCAATTTGATCGCGATCGTGACATCCCACACCTGCCATGTCTGCATTCTGCCTTCGCCCGAGCAACTTCGCTCCCCGGAGCAGGCGCCGCACAAGATGAGATACTTCACGGTGGGAGAAACGGCGCATGTGCTGGAGAAGTCACCAATAGTCAGCGCCATATGGCATCCACTGTCATCGCTTGGCAGTGGTCTGGTCACAATCACAAAAGACGCCTGCGTCAGACTATGGGAGCTGAATATCCACGATAGAAGCACATTCTCGCAGCCGACGGTCGCGGTGGATCTGAAGAAGCTGGCAAATGCAACATCTGCGCGAGAGGACCTATCTGCGAGCAAATACGGGGTCAACAAAGGCTATTCTGCAGACGACGTGGACATGCTCGTTGCCGGAGCGTGTTTTGGAGGCACGGCTGGGGACGATGAAGACGGCTGGTCGAGCATGACTCTTTGGGTTGCCATGACTGAGGGAGACGTCTATGCGCTCTGCCCCTTCTTGCCGGTTCACTTCTACGCTCCTCCTACATTACTACCCAGTCTGACTACGAGTGTTGTGGCCAAGTCAAACTTTCTTGCCCACGACCAGGAAGCATCGGAAGCAGAGAGACGTGTTGCAAGACAGCAGGAACTTTGGTTGCAAGAGCTCGATGAACAAGAACCAATTCGCATCCCTGGAAGAGAGGACATGGATGTCTACGAGCGACCAAAGAAGCTGAGTCCCATCGCTAAATTGCAGGGACCTTTCCAGCTGTCGCCCGAACCGCTTTCTGGTGAGATCACCGACATTCATGTTGTGGCACCGAAAGTCAACCAGGATGATCTTTTCGATGACGATGAGTACGAAGAACGCTCCGTCGACGAAGGCTTGAGCATTGGTATAGTCTGCTTGGCGACAAGCACAAACCAGATCCACGTGTGCCTGAACATAGAAGGCGTGGAAGCGGAGTGGTTGCCCATGAAACGCTCGCGTGCTTTCCAGCTTGAGGATGATTCGACGCACAATCTACTCCTTTTCGAAACCCTCGATCTTGCTAACGGCCCTGCCACCACACGTCCTACGTTCACACACTCTCCCGAGAACCGATACGAGCTTTTCACAACGCAGCCATCAGGGATCTACAGCTTGTCCTTTAAACCCTGGATTGCCGCTCTTGAAGACGAATTGGCACCCCAGGACGGCACGAAGGGTGTGAAGTTCCGCCTGGATGTTATACTCAACTCCTCGAGCACAAATGTGGAGCATCTCGTGGGAAATTCGCTCGAGCCACTTGAGCAGGCAAATGCAGCCATTGCAATCATCGATGCTACTGATGCAGAGTTTGTCGTCCTGACATCCGCTTCCTCCCGCCCACTCGCTGCACTGCTGGACCAGCCTGTCGTTGCAAGCCATCCTTTCGAACCCGACGACTACCACCGCAACAATCCTCTCATAACCTTCGAGTCGCGCACCCCGTACATACCTCCAGACGAGTTCTTCCAGCCTTCTCGACTTCCGGCCCAAATCGAAGCCTGGCGCCGTGCCAGCAGTACAGGAGCCGATCTCGGCAATCTCAGAGGCGATCTCAACTTCTCTCCTTACACTCTACAGAAATTCACAGCCGCTCATCAGATTCTGTCCAATGAGACCCACGCAATCAACACGGCAGCCGCAGAATTGTTCAGACGAGTTGATCGAATGCTGAGCGAGATGAAGGACCAAGTCACCAAAGTCCGAGACCTTTCTAATCGCGTCAATTCCGTTACTGGCGAAGACGAGTTCCCGCAAAGTCAGAGACCTGGTGAGCCAGAATTGGTCCGAGGGGGGCGCGACAAGATCCAAAAACGAGTTGAGGGTCAGAGAGAAAAGACCCGAGAACTGCAAGACCGTGTTGAGCGACTGCGAAGGAAGATGCGGACTGTCTCTGGGAAAGAATTGTCTTCTAGGGAAAGGCAGTTCGCTGAAGAGGTAGAGAGGATCCAGCAAACTGTTCTCGGAGGCAAGAACTCATCACCCAATCCCACTGGTCCTGCCGGGATATTGCAAATGGAGAACAGTAATTTGACGACCAGAACAGAAGAAGAGGATGACGAGGAGCAAGAGTCTCTTACGTCGAGATTCGAGGAGGTGCAGAAGGTGGTCGCGCAATTGAAATCACAAACAGAGCAGCTTCAAAAAGAGCGTGAAGCTGCAACGGAGGAGGGCGCATCGAGACCCACTTCAAGTTCTGACTTCAAAGGCACGGATTTCAGACAGAGAAAAATGGATGAGGTCTGGCAGTTACTTGAGCGAGAGACAGCGCTTGTTGAAGCTGTCAGTGCGCGGTTAGAGAATTTGCAGATGGGCGCGAGATGATGAGTGATGACAGGAAAGTTGTATAGATATGCTCAATACTGTCCTCAATGCATCGTCCTCTGGAGTCGTATGACTGCTATGACTTCGATCTCCTCGCGTCATTTATCCTCATCTCGACTGTGTAACACTGCCTCATGCTTCCCGTCATCCTTGTGACCACACCTCCAATGATTTTGACAAATCGTCCGGCTCCCCAGTCTCGAGAAACCGCGGACGAAGATTTTAATGCATTCTTGCGAAACTCAAATGCATGACATGAATCAACGCAGTGGAATCATGACAAGCAGAAGAATGACAAGCTTCCAGCACCAAAGTTCGACACAAAATCGCGAACTTGAATTGAACGAGCAGGGAAATAGACAAGGAGGTAGGAAATGGAGAGAAAAAGGACCCCAAGAGAAATGAAAACACAGTTGAGGGGGCAGGACAATGATAGAAGTACATGTGTCACACACGTATACATCAACCGAATCAACAATTCTCTATCGTAAGCTCGAATTCGTTGGATTGCACCTCCACAACCGCTCCTCAAGACCAGAAGGCTGAAAACACCGCACCGCCAACTTATTTCTTCCTCCCCTTCCCCTTCTTCCCCTTCCCACCCTGCTGCTGCTGCTGTTCCGGCGCATAAGCATGCCCTTCCACAACCTCCTCCCCTTGCTCCTGCAACTCCTTCACCTTCTCCTGACTAGAAATAAACATTGTCAAATCATGATTCATATCTTCCAAATCCTTCTTCTCCTGCAAAACTTTTTCTTTTTCCGCCTTCGCAGTCTTGACTTCTTCCTCCGCTTTGGTGATTCTCTGACTCAAGCCTTCATTCATCGTCTTTTCTTCTCGCCACTTGTTTCCCATGTCCCGGGCCATTTGTTCGAATTTCGCGCGGGATTTCTCCGCCTTCTCAAGTTTAGTTTCGGCGGCCTGGAGTTGAGTTCTCAAGTCGGTCAGGTTGGTGGTAAGTTGTGAGACTTCGGTTTCGAGTTTACTCGCATGAGTGGCAGCTTCTTCTGCACGTTGCGAGGCCTGTGTAGCTTTGTCGACAGCACGAGCGACTTGTTCTTCGAAGTAGCGACGCTGCCCTTCGAGTTGCGAGGTCAGTAGATATGTGTACTCAGTCGCCATGCTCTCCATTTTCTCGCGAGGGACGCTGTCGCCACCTTCTGCTCTGAAAGCCTCGTTCTCGTGGCGGCTGCGAGCTGGCATGTCGACATACCCAGAGCCATATCCATCATGAGTGACCGCAGGAGTCGTAGGTGGTTTGCTCTGTATGAGTCGATGGACGTATCCATCACCGGCGTAATCCCACACATGCTGCGTGTTGATATCCATGGCGTAGCAATGGCTCGTCTCTTCGTAATGAGCGTAGGCATGAGCAGAGTCGTACCGTCCGCAGCCAATGTTGCCGCAGATGAGACAGACCCAAAGATTCTCCGTGCCGGCGCAGACTGAACACATGGTTTCCTGTTCTTCATCTTCTGGCCCACCTGGACGTGGGTATGGAAAGGTATATGAAGGAGCATGAGTATATCGGCAGACAGGACAGCCTGAGCCTCGCCATTTCTCAAGACATGCGCAATGAAATACGTGCTGACACAAAATGGTGAGTAGCCCAGTCGTCTCATCCATACGCTCCAAACACACTGGACATGTCGGCAGCTCGAGTAGATTCGGTGGTGGCGGCGGCATAGGCTTGCTGAGTAGTATCGAGTTCGCCCCATTTGACGCAGTGAAGGGATCATTGGTGTTGTGCGGGAATGTCGTCGAGGTCACGCCCTCGTCAGGCGACAGAAATTCGACGCTCTTGATGAAGACGACATGACAGTTCTCCGGTTCCAGATCACTGAATAGGCGTCCATTGTTCGCCTTCTGCCAATCTCGTGCCTTCTTTGACGAACGGAACTTCAACAGCACCATGTACTTGTTCGCTCTTGCTGTGCGGATTAATCGAAAGTGGCTGACGTCCTCTCTTGCCTGTTCGCCTAGAAAGCTGAGCAGATCTGAAGGCATCATCCAGCTAGGAACTGCCAGTATGCACAATGTCGAGCAGTCTTCTGGATCGAACTTGCCATCTTGTTCTGATCCTTTCGACGTACGTTCCAAGCTCTTCTGCGGTAGACCATCTGCATCCAAAGCCTTGCTCTCTTCCAGGTCGCGGTAGAGGTGGACGACGCCCCAGCCTGCTTCTGTCGTCTTGGAATCGCTCGGCACGTATACAGCTTTGGTGTGTAGGCCACCAGTGGAACTTGTCTTGCTCTTCTCCATGTCTATGCTCTCAATTTCCACCTTATCGTATCGCCAGTCCTGCGCTGCTGCCTCGTTCGAGTGTTTGGTTGTGACAGGTATGCGCGGCGAAGGCGGCAGGTCTCTCCTGAGGTTCGAGCTGCGCTCTGGCAGTAGTAAGGCGTTCCCATGCGACTCTTTCACTCGATCGTGCTCGGGCGAGATGTGGTTGGAGGATGAGTCGAACGATGAGCGCGTCGGTGTAGATGATCGGTTTGTTGACGGGCTCGTTCGTTTGGCGAAGGTCTGACTAGGCCACTTGCTCGTGCGGTGAGCCGGAAGGGCGGTCTTGCTGAAGATGTCGATGCCAGGCCGAAGGGTGAATCGCTGCTGGGCAGTGGAGAAGGATGTGGTGTTGGAAGAAGAGCTTGCCTGGTCGCTGGAGCTGGTGGTGCTCTCTGCTGGAGTGGGATACAGCTCGAGCTTCAAGTGAAAGAAGAAGTGAGACATGACACTCGGGAACCTACAGGCGCACTAGACAGCATTGTGTTATGACTTAGGTTGCAGAGTTAGGCAGAGAAGATTTCTTTGTGGTGGTCGCAATCCACGATTACTCCGGGCAGGAAAGCAGTCCTGAGGCAGCCTGTTTGACCCTACTTGACTGACGAGGATTACGTGCTACAGCGTGGCATGTGGGATGCGTTCTGGACAGGTGAGAAAGAGTGGCATTGTACTTGGTGGGATGGAGTGCACTCTTTGGCAAGCCATCTGCGAATGTTGCCAAGCAATACCGTACTGGCCTGCGGACCCATCCGAGCGACCCCAACATCCCCAACCACCCCACTCGATGCTGTTGTGGGTGTTTGCAATGGTGCTGAGCTCACACTTTGCCGTCGTACTGGCAAACGGGCTGTCGCAGAGTCTCGCAAGACCAGGTCGTAGCTAAAAGCGGAAGCGTCACCATCCCCAGGTCGAACTTCGAGGCAGACGCCCGCGCCCACGATCAAAGAGCGGTGACATACTGAGGCAGACTCAAGGCATTAGGCAGGCGAGTTCATGGCAAACGAAGAAATAATTTAAGAAAGGAAGCTGGAGAGACACAGCAAGTCAGGAGGTGGAAGCCCGAAACTTCATTCATTTCATTTAAGAGTGCTGCTCGCCGGCAACCTCTACCCGCTCGCTCATAACAGTCATTGCAAGAGTGCCGCCCGTGCTCTAATCACATCGGATGCAGCCAAAGTCGTCAAAGCCTCTATTGCCCGCCACGAAGACGCAGCACCAAGTGCAGTGTGCTCTCCTTCTGGATGTTGTAGTCTGACAACGTGCGGCCATCCTCCAACTGCTTACCCGCGAAGATCAGGCGTTGCTGGTCCGGTGGGATACCCTCCTTGTCTTGGATCTTGCTCTTGACATTGTCGATTGTGTCCGAAGATTCCACCTCGAGTGTGATTGTCTTGCCTGTGAGAGTCTTGACGAAAATCTGCATACCACCACGAAGACGAAGCACCAAGTGGAGAGTCGATTCCTTCTGAATGTTGTAGTCCGAGAGGGTGCGGCCGTCTTCAAGTTGCTTGCCGGCGAAGATCAAGCGCTGCTGGTCAGGTGGGATGCCCTCCTTGTCCTGGATCTTGGACTTGACATTGTCGATGGTGTCGCTCGACTCGACCTCAAGAGTGATGGTCTTGCCGGTAAGGGTCTTGACGAAGATTTGCATACCACCACGCAGGCGGAGGACGAGATGGAGGGTGGACTCCTTCTGGATGTTGTAGTCGGACAGGGTACGGCCGTCCTCGAGCTGCTTGCCAGCGAAAATGAGACGCTGCTGGTCCGGAGGAATGCCCTCCTTGTCCTGGATCTTCGACTTGACGTTGTCGATAGTGTCGCTGGACTCCACCTCAAGGGTGATAGTCTTGCCGGTCACTGGAAAGGATGTCAGCACAAGTCGCGCAGGCGGTCGCCAAGTGGCGAGGCGGCGGCAGTGGTGCGGTACTTACAGGTCTTGACGAAGATCTGCATGATTGCGATTGGGTGTGGTGTGTCGTCGAGTGTGTTGCTGATTGATGAGTGTGATGCTGAAGTGCGCTGCCGTGCAAATGGGTGTGGTTGGTGTTGATGTTCAGGTGGAGGAAGAGAGAGGAAGTCAGCAGGTACTTGTAGCGGCGGAGGAGGCGAAGCAAACAGGCAGGTCGACAGTCACGAGGGTCCGTGCGTAGCGTTCGTGCCTTCTCGAACCACGAGTGATGACGAATGGCGAATCATGGCGAGGCAGCCGCGAGCTGTTCACTTGTTCTAGCCACCTTTCACCTGCCACTCGCAACTCAATCTCTCGCGGCTTCAGATGCGAGACGTCGCCACCAGCTTGTTTCACTGCGCTCGTCGCTGCGCCTTCACATGTCTGGCGTTGCCACGGTGCTCCATCCGCCAGCCGATGATGCAAGAACGCCTTCTTATCTGTTATCGGCCGAATGCGGGGATACAACGATACGCGCGCGTCGGCAAGTCGCGGCAGCCAGGGCACCGAGAACTGCAGACTGTGATGGCCGATGTCACTTGCAACCTACGCCGTCTTTCCACGGCTTCAGGAAGACCATCTTCAGCGTCGGAAATGGCGAAAAGTTTCATTCTGTGGCGTGATGTGTAGACTGATGACATGACGCCTCAGGTGCACGACTTGACGCGCGCGTACTACGCGTTCGGCGAACGGCGTCAATGGTCAGCGACAAAGACACTTTTAGGCCCAACAACATTTGTAGACTGTCGATGTTATTACTGACCAGCAGAGTTTTCGCCACTCGAAGATATATGACTAACTGCTGAGAACAGGGACAGCATCACATTCGCCATTGCTGATGAATGTATAGAACTGAACAAGCCGCTGGCCATACCTCAATGGAACGCCATCTCTCCCGGAAAAGGCTTCCTTGCCCATACCACTGGCATCGGAAAATATGCGTGAATCTTCTTGTTCCGAAAGTCGTTCGAAATCCTCGCAACAAACACGTCGACCTCCTCCTTTTGCCACCCAAGTCCTCTCGTCAACAAGGCCAAACAGAAGGCTTCGAGTCCATCAATAATATTTACTTGCGTCCACCTGCCCAACTCTTTCATGAATGGGTCCTTAGGCCAGCTAGATGTCGGCCACATGAACATTTTGTGCTGAATGTCGACGAACCCAGCTTGCTCTAGCCACGTTTCGAAATGCTCGCTGACATCTGAACCCAGTGGTCTTCCCATTTTTCGACCCGCTTCGAGGAGTAACTCGCCCCAGCGCAGCATGTGGGTATCGAGATGTGTTCCGTCCGCCGACCTCACCGGCAGGCCATAATCTTGCAGCTCCAGCCAGCCGCCTGGTTCCAGATTGTCATACGCTTGACGAATGAAAGCTGGCCAGTCTGCGAAACATCCCGACATGAGGCGCGCGTGGATGAAGTCGAACTTCTCGTCGTACAGCCATTGGTCTTCCGCATCGTCCACTATGAATTTGATGTTGGGTGGGACCACATTGGGCTGTCCTGGGCTGAGATCTATGCCAATCACCTGACATTCCGGCCACTCATCCGCGAAGTCCACTGCCCAGATTCCGGTTCCTGTTCCGACGTCGAGACAACGTTTGGGATTCTGGAGAGGCGCGAAGTACAGCTTGTTGGCGTACGTTATCCGCAACAAGTGGTGTTGCAAATCCAAGCGGTCCGCCTCTCGCTCGTCGTTGGGAAAGATGTACTTGCCATCTTTGTATGCGTGGTAAGTCCGACCGTGTTCTCTCCGATAATTGTAAATGGATTCGCTCAAGGATGCCGTTTGACTCTCTGTGTCACTGCCAAGAGCAGAGTCAGTATCTAGCTCGTCGACTTCCAGAGATTGCTCCTCGGCGTTCTGGCCTGCGTCAAAGGAGACCTGCGATTGCTGTTGATCTCCAGCATTCCCGTCGCCATTGTTGTTGGCGACGACGAACTGCGGATCTGAATTTGCTGCTTGCGGCTGTGTATCGCTACTGGTCGGCGCATAGTTTCCGTTCACCGGAGCGGCATTTGAATCTGAGGTTGGCAGGTTGTTGAAGTAATCTCTTGTGCCTCGTAGTTTTGCTGCAAGTTCACGTTCGATGGCCTGGCGTTCGTCTGAGTCATTGTTGCTGTTTGCACTGTTCGGCGGCGCGCGCTTAGCGGAGCTATTAGCTGAGGCTGGCGCTCGCTGTTGATCATGTCCATTAAGTGAGCCAGGTCGCGGAATATTGTTGTCTTCCGCCATTGCTCACTGCTCGATCGTACAAGATCGGCGGGCTTGGCTAGATTTTGAGTCCCTTGGATTGCCCGGAGCCAGTGCCGCGAATGTTGTGTTCTTTGTTCCGACCTCTCTCTCACTCCTCCGCCTCAATATACAATGCGCGTGACGGGAGCGAGATGATTGTGTACTGACAACAGCTCTCACGACCACACGGCACGGCTCATCTCTGGCGGAGCGCGACGCTGTTGCCAAGAAAGGAATTCAGATGCATCGAACGAGACGCCTCAAGCAAAGCTCTGCAGTCAAACTGTGTAAGGATGGCGGGAATCGACAACGATTCGCGCGGCTTTTCGGTACCAGACCAGAAGGATGTGCATAGCCGTTTATCTAAGCGATAATGATGCAGAGCTTGCCTTTCCTTTCGTGTCCCGCAACGCGACTTCGCCCGTTGGCACACAGCAACTAACAGCAACTGCCTGCGTTGGAAATGGCCGCCGCTGCACTGCACATTCTGCTGCATATTCACGTTGCAGCTTGACGCCGGCCAGCGCGGGTGGAACAGTGCTCCCCGCCTCCCGACCCTGTTGAAGCATTGTTAGCTCTCGACTTCAACCACACCGTCTCTGGCGTCACGCTGCCATCCTCCCGGCATCAGACATCGCCGCGCCTCGGACTGGCCGAACACGCGAGAGGAGCAAGGATGGAGACCGCAATCCCTGTCCAATTCTGGCCGCCCTCCATCTGCCAATCGAAGACCACGGCAAAGCGACTCCAACTCGCAATATGGAGAGAACAAGTCCAGCGGCGACTTTTCTCATCCCGGCAGTCCTCGCCTGTCATCGCCACGTGGACTGACAGGCACGGCGAAAAGGGCAGTCAGAAAATGCAGCCACCCGGAGATCTCCTGTCCACCCCGTTCACCGACCGCTGCAACCGCTGTTGGCTGGCTGTGGAAAGCTGCATCGATTGGCAAAAGATCGCATTGCGGCAAACACGGTGAGCCTGCCAAAACTCGACATCATGCGGAGATCAAGCCTATCATGGCCCGGTATGGGCAACATGGAGGGCTCGCTCACTCAACTCAACCCCACAGCCTACTGGATGCACACCTCGGGTGCACAAGCTGTGTCAAGGGCATTTTCGTTGCCGACACTAGTGCCAATCTCGCGTGCGCTGATTGCCCACGCTCTTGCACGTACTCTCTCTTGTCTTCACGTCTTCAATCGCATTCTCGAATGCCATGGCCAGGGCACGTACAGCTTCGACTTGAGATTTCCCACGTGGAAGGAATTACACATCCGGTGGCATGAAACAAGCGTCATTGACAACCAATCAAACGCCCCTTTGAACCACAGCTTGCTCAGCATAGTTGAGAACGCACTCTCAACCCATTCAGGAAGTTCAAAGTCCACAGGACCTGTATACCGAGGACTTGGTGTTCGACTGAGTACAAATTCTGCACATCTTCAAAAACGGCAAAAGGATTTGAGCTGCTTCCCAACGACAGCTCACGAGCGGGTCCACAACGTCTACGGAATCCCAGCGCAATGGCTCCTTCAATGCTCCTGCTCGTACTTGCAATCTTAGCTCTTTTCATCTTCCGCAAATCCCGGCAGTACTTCGCTCTCAAGCACTTTGGTGGCCACTGGTCCAGCGGGTGGTCAAGACTATGGCTGCTCAAAACTCAGGGTAGCGGTCGCATGAACAGGATATTCACAGATGTCAATCGAAAGTATGGTATGTTCGATGCGATTTCCTATAATGGCATATATACCTTGTCGATCTCGTGTCTGTGTTACACTAGCTGCGCGCGTGCGGCACGGCATGGCCACAGAGGGCGCATGGATATTCAAATGTGATGTATCACACCTTGCTACAGCTCCAACACCTCGCTCCTCCACCTGTTCCGGAGTCCAGACCCGCGGTGTACATGTCCAAAATGTTGGCTGACCAGAACAGGCTCGACGGCACGCATCGCACCTGGCATGCTCATCTCCTCGGATCCTGAAATCCTCAAGCGCATGAATGCAGTTCGGTCTCCATTTACACGAGGTCCTTGGTATGCCGCTCTCAAGCTTCATCCCGAGCGCGACAACATCACATCATACATCGACGAAAGGAAACATGCCGATATCCGAAACCGCATGGCTCCAGGCTACTCCGGCAAAGAGAACTTCCACCTGGAGCAGGAAGTAGATGAGAAGCTATTGCAGATGCATGAACTTCTGAGCCAAAAGTATCTCAACAAGCCTGATCAAGGTATCTTCAAGACTGTTGATCTCGGACGTGTCACGTCTTTCTTCACCCTAGATGTCATTTCCAAAATCGCTTTTGGCCAACCTTTCGGATTTCTCGACAAAGATGAAGATCCGTTCGGATATCTGGAGAACCTGGCACAATTCCTTCCTGCAATCATCGTCTTTGGCGTCTACACCGAGTTGACCAAACTCCTCAACTTCCCCCTCCTCAAAGCCGCTCTCCCCAAAAGCACAGACAAACGTGGTCTCGGTCGCGTAATGGGCTTCGCAGCTGATCGTGTCCGCGAACGCTTTGGCAACAAACCTGTCGTACGACAAGACATGCTGAGCGCCTTCATCAACAAAGGTCTCACGCAAGGCGAACTCGAAAGCGAAACTCTGACCCAAATCACTGCAGGATCGGACAGTACTGCTTCCGCTCTCCGTCTGGCTCTACATTTCATTTCCACAAACCCACCTGTTTTGCAGCGTTTGCTCGCGGAAGCCCAAGCTGGCATTGCCGAGGGTAGAATCTCACGACCAGTCATCCAAGATTCGGAAGCAAGGCAATTACCTTATCTGCAAGCCTGTATCAAGGAAGGACTAAGAATATATCCACCCGTCACCGGCCTCTTAGCCAAACGCGTTCCTGACGACGGAGTCCGAATCGACGTCGATGGCGAGGAGAAATTCGTGCCTGGAGGTACGCAAATAGGTTGGAATAGTTGGGGCATGATGAGGCATGAGGAGATTTTTGGGGAGGATGTCGAGATTTTTAGGCCGGAGAGGTGGTTGCCTCTAAGAAGTAGCAGCAAGGGCGTGGATGAGGCAGCTCATGCGGAGAAAGAGCGTGAGAGGATCGCGAGGATGACGGATACGGTGGGGTTATGTTTTGGGTATGGAAGGTTTGGATGTTTGGGGAGGGGCGTTGCGATGATGGAGTTGAATAAGGCGATTTTGGAGGTGAGTTTTCCCAATTTTGCTTCTCTTCTTTTTCACAACGATGGTTCCGTTTTGTTTACTGATTCTTTCCAACCGCAGACTTTACTGCGATTCAATCTCCAACCTTGCCGGCTTGATAAACCTTTTGATGAAATGGTTGTCGGGTTTTATGTTCATACGAATATGAATTTTGTTGTTACAGAGAGGAAGAACGAGGAGGATCGTAATGCGTTGGATTCGAGGGAGTTGCAAGTTGAGGCTGGGGCTATTGAGGGGGCCTGGGATGGATAACAGTACACGTAACTGTTTCATTGAAGATCATCTTACTCGTCTCATCAAGCGTTCGAGAGAGATGATGTGTATATGCCTGCTTCGCAAAGCCGTACCAGGAGAACAAACCATCCGTCACAGATATGGCGATTTCTTGGTCTCCAGTCCGACTTCGATTGGGTTGGGCTGTAGAGAAGATCCAGTACACTTGCAGCAGCCCATGCTGAGCTTTTATTGGAGAAAGATTGCCCATGCTCTGTGCAATTTCTTCATGAGAGAGAATGATTTGGTCGCGGACCTGGCTCAAAATGGCTATACACACAGCCAAACATTCCAAAGCGTACATGTAAACGAGTGGCTGGAAAGCGTAGCTAGTACTTGCTCTCCCGAACTTTCTTCGTTGGTCATGCATCAAGCATCACCCACCACCACAACTCCTCATCTCACACATCCGCAACTCCTCAAGAAACAGTAACCGACGCACTCCCCGACCCACTAAAAGCCTCAGTCGCAAAAACCTGATAGTTGAAATTACTGTTCCCAAAGCCCTTCGTAGCCCAATACTTGAAATGATTCGCAGTAGTAACAGACCCGGAAGTCCGCTTACTCTGTCTCACAGAGAAGAACTGAGTGAAAGTTGCCGTGCCGACGATCGAAGGCTGGTTGACTTGGGTGTGAGTGCAGACTTGGTATGTTGAGCCATCAGAGGTTACAGAGCCTTGTTGGGTTACACCGGAGCCGGTGCAGGGATTGAAGGAGCCGTAGTTTTCGACGATGTAGTATTCGGTTAGGGGGGAGTTGAGCCAGCCGTAGACGGTGTAGTAGGAACCGCTGCTGCCGGGGTTGTAGCTGCCGGAGAAGTTTATGGTTCTGGGGTGGGGATTAGTGGTGGAGAGGAGGAGGGGAGGGTAGTGGGTGTGGATATTACCTGGCACTGCCTGTGGTCCAGCCAAGGCCGACTACGACGTCGGTGTTTCCGTTCCAGTTCAAGCTGTAGGTGCCTGCTCAAGTATTAGTGTTGATTCCTGATTTTGGGCTCATGCTACATACCTGCACCTTGGTTGTACTTGAAGTTTGCAGCAGCACCATTGTAGTTCTGCACATAGTTGAGAGTGGCACGCTCCTCCAGGGAGGCCGGAGCTGCCAGAGCTGCGCCTGCGGCAGAAAGAAGAGCTGTGAAAGAGAACTTCATTGTTGTTGTGATTGAGCCGAAGAAGGCTGAGTGACCAGGATGTGATGAGGAGCTTGGGAGGAAGTTTATCGTCGACAAGACTTCCGAGACTGGGCTTATATATCTTGGCCGAGAGGATAGACACCGTCCAGTGTCGTCCCAAACATGCCGGGTAAATTGACGAGAACAGAATCTACGCCAACTCGCGGTCTTCATGCACGGTCTGTCCAGTCATCTCCAACGATGTCTTCGCATTTGATCAAACGCATATTTTGGCTGCGACCCTATGACCTGCTGTTGGATAGTCCTGCAACACGTTGTCGGCTAAAGTGGAGCTGTGGTCTAGCCTTGCAAGAAGTCGTCTTGCAATCGATGCTGAAACGGGGCATGATCCACTGCTTCGGCAGCTAGTTTGAGTAACGACTATACCCGTTTCACATAGACGCATCTCCCGGCAAAAAGCGAAGGTGGCTGCAAGATGGAATGCGTGTTTGCATTAAGCCTTTATTGAAAGCTTGGTTGAGGATGATATTGTGAGGGGCAGAATAGATTGCGGACCAGCGGACGCTTGGTGCGTGATGCCGGTGCTCGTGGTGGACAGTGTTAACGTAGTTGAAAGGTCGCTTGCAGCGAGTGATCGTCATCGCTTCGCGTAGTGTAGACCAGAATGCCGCGATACTGGAATAGGCAAGCCCAGCAGGACAACAATGCTGCTTGCGAGCGACACGCTCAATGGAAAATCAATGCACTGCCAATTGATAATCGTCTTTGAACCTTCAGCGCTGGCAGGGGAAAACCCCCTCCTCTCCGAGCTTCGTCACCGAGCGTGTTCCAGCCAACTCTCAGCCAGTGTGTCGCACATTGAAGCACCACGCAGTCGTTTAGGCCTCAGCTATATTGCTCTCCACATTGAAGTGCCGTTTTTGTACGTTGCGCTCTTTCGCTCTGGACGCACATCTCGACAGAATGTGCCTATCACATGATTGCAATTGCATGCATCGTCAGCTTAGACAAACCGGCTCTCTTATCGTCCCGACCGACACTCTTCTGGTCGTGATGCGTGCTACTTTTGTCAGACTTTCGAATGGCGCTGTGCGTCTTCGAGCATCTCGATGCTTATGAGAGGAGCAATACGTTGTTTCGCAACGCAGCGAGTGCCTCATCGTCCTCCAGACGTGAGGCTGCTCGCTGGCGATGTGTTGGTCATCTGTTGAGCCAAGTCATGAAACAAACAAGAGCTGGAAGCAATCGCAACACTTGGCAGACAAATGAGGTGTCGCAAGTCGCGAGCATCACCAACGCTACGTTTGCGCCGGATCTGTTGATTAGGTTCCATTGCACCTCGATGTATTTTGTTGAGTGCTCGCAAATGAGCCGCTACAATATGCTTCTCCTGCACTTGGCTCAGTCAAAATTTGTTCAAAACGGGACTTGTGTTCAAAGGTACACCTGGTTGAACCCGTGCCATGTGAACAACTTGGCCACCCTCTTCATCCGTATCCACGTCCATGGTATCTTCAGGTCGTACAGTCTCTAGAGCTTTCGATTGAGTGATTTCGTGCTCCTCCAGTGGCATTGGGTACTGAGATGTTGGCCCAGATGGCTTTACTCTGCGGCGGCTTAGCATCCGGCATGGTGTCCCTCGCTCCGCGCATTGCAGACAGCCATCGTCTCCTGGATCGCAGCGTAATTTCCGTTCTCTACAGGCCAGACAGCTTTCCGCACGGCCTTGTTGTGCCTCTGGTGGGTCACGTAGCTCGTTCGGATCTCGCGAAGACTCAGCATTCGCGCTGCGCATTCGGCACGGTATACCTGCCCTCGCGCATTGCACGCAACCTTCCACGCCTAGGTCGCAGCGTATATTGAGTTCACTGCAAGGCAAGCAGCATGTCGCGGGCCTCTTCCGCCCCTTGCGTGGCTGGTGTGACTGTTGCGGATCTCGCGAAGTATTAGCACTTGTGCTGTCAATGGGCAGCAGAAGGGGAGATACGGCCTCGTAGCGGTCGGGAGGATTGTTTCCAACGAGATCTCTGATGCCTGGATGGCTTTGGAACTCATTGAGAAACCCGGGGCTGGGGAGACCGAACCCTGCAAAAACTTGGTGTTGAGCATCTGCTTCCCAATAATCGTCGCGTCCGGGCTGCCCGTCCTCAATCACACGACTTCCGAATTGCCTGAACATTGATCGAGCTGTAACGACGGCAACTTGTCGGGCTCTATCAAAGCGCGGCAAGATGTTTCGACCAAGTAGGTCATCCTTCTCCGCTTGGCCTATGATAATCTTGCCCAAAGTCTGATTTTCGTTGAACAGAATGTCAGAGTCGCGGTAGCCCAGTACACGAGCACATTCAGTAGCTAACATGTAAATCGTAGTGCCACGGCCTGGGAGCGTAAAGGTTCTGCACTGATACTCACGACCGCCACGTAATTGTCCATCCTTCGATACTTTGAGTTCGCCAGCACGATCAATGTCATGTAAGGTATCCTCATCGCCCCCAATGGTGGATGGAGCGGCATTCCTACTCGTCGCAGCTTTGTCCAACGAATTGAACTGCAATTTGTAGAGCTCTTGCCATTGTTCCTCCGGAGTCCTACTCGTCGCAGCTTGGTCCAACGAATTGTACTGCAATTTGTAGAGCTCTTGCCACTGTTCCTCCTGAGTCGTAATGCATTGGCAAACCATCGGCGGATCCACCCCCAAGAGAACAGCCCTCCTGCAGCTTGCGTTTGCACAATTTTTCTTGCAGATATGGTCGTGCAACTGTGAAGCCGTTGCACGCAATGTGAAACACTTCTGACAAGCATGAAATCCGTGCACTGACGCCAAGTGCCGCCTGTACAGATTAGTGATAGCGGTTTGTCTTTGGATCGCAGTACTTACAGCAGTTGCGACGTGAACTCATAAGTCCCAGTATGATCAGGGTATTTGAGTGGCTCACCAATGTGAAAAATGCAGGGCAGCATTCCCCTCCGTCTAGCCGCAGTACGAAAATCGTTACCCATGCGCTCCTGTGTCATCCTGAGGGTCGTATGGTCAGAAGTCACGACAGCATCTCGGACTGGTCCGGGATGATTCTCTCCGTCGTCATGGAGGATTTGTTTGCGTATACTGCTGGCAGCAGAGGGGTCCTGTCCAGACTTTAAGCGCGAGAGGCTATCCTCTTCCCATTCATCAAGCGTCTGGAACTTATCGATCGGACGCTTCATCATGTTAGCATATGGATATGGAAGTCCGCTGTCCACAGCAGCACTAGCATTGTCGTGTCTTTGCCGATATATGTCAAGTGACTTCATGATTTTAAGCTCCTGGCATACAAGTTCGGTGTGTCCTTCGAGACGGTGTATCATGATCTGACTGGCTTGCTTGTAGTCGGTGAAGTCGCTACACTCGACAAATTCTCCGGTGAAATTGGCAGTGTTTTCTCTGTAAAACTTTGGCGGCCTGATTAGCTCGATGACAAGTTCATCTGCCATGATATGTTTGATCCACGCGAAGGGATATTCAATTTTGCACCCCATGCCGTTGCCTCTGAAAAAGTATGCTATTACCGCCTGATCGACCCAATAATAGACTGATAAGTCCTTCACAGTTCGGCCAACAACTTTCCAAGCTCCTATTGAAAGCGAGCGGCAGTGAATGTCGCAACTTGCTATGGAAGGGGGTAGATCGGTGTTCAGTCGCGGATTTTTGACGCCGAAGAATTTGAACGGGTCTTGAACAGATGAAGACTCGGGTAGCTGACCGTAGAAAGGTTGCGAGTTTTTCGAGGGCTCCTGAAACATGGCATTTGCTTCGAAATTCGGTCTGGGAGGTGGATTGGAATCTGGCATGACTAGGCCACCCTGGTATTGATGCAATGACGCGTAGCCACTATCATCTTCATCAAATGACCGTCCACCGTGAACTAGATTGGAGGCCGTGTGCTTCTTGGTATGTCGCTTTAAATCGGACAGACGCCGGAAACGTGCTTGGCACGTCTGACACACGTACGGCTTTTCCTGGCTGTGAGTAAGGAGATGCGATTTGAGGTCGTCATGTCGCCTGAACTCGAACTCGCAATATGGGCACTTGTGATGTTTGTTGGACGCAGGCGGTTTGGGACTGTCCTGGCCCACGCCCGGTAAACTCATACTGCGCGAAGGACCTCCATCCTGCCCTTCCTGTTGTGGTAGTCCAGGATACGAAGCAAAGCCATTTTCACCCTGAACATCAAATGGTACTCCATCCCATCGTGGCGGATCTTTGCTAACAAAGTTCAATCTTGCTGATAATACGGTGGCATACCGCTGGGAATAAGCTTCTGGGTCCAGCATCAATTCCTCGTGGTCCGCAGGCCTGTTGTCGGAGCTCATTAGATCAGACTTCAGTCTCCACTCGTTGGTGAACTCTGCTCGCCCATCTGTCACCTCGTATTGCACTTTGAGCTGAGAAAGTATGCTTTCAAAGGCTTCGCTACTCGGATCGGTCGACTTGGCGTTGCTTTGAGTGACTGTCCGAAGCGGGGCTGAGGCTTCGCTTGCATCTGAGACTCTTGCTGCTGATTCAGCAGAGCCATCTGAAACTGACAGTTGATCCGGCAAAGATGTCAAGGCCAAAGATCTCATGTGCTGTGCCATACAATGCATCATCTTCCGTTCTCGCACAGCTGCAGCATCTTTATTCTCGGCTTGTGTTTGCCCGGTCAGCTCATATTTCCCGCAGAAGAAACAGGCCGAGAATGCTGCAACAGGCCGCTCGCAAGTCTTGGCTACGAAGGCTAGTTCGCCTGCTGTCAGCTTGGCTTCGTGCTGGGACTGCAGGTGATGCTCAAACGCAGCTTGATTATCGCAGGACTGTGTACAATTTTGGCACTGCCAAGTATAACGAGCGTGTTCGTTGTTGATGTGTCGTGTCCAGTCCTCGAAAGTGCGATAAGTGGCTTCTGGCGTCTTGCAATCCAAAAGGCAAATGTAAGGTTCCAGATCGTAGAATGCATGCTTCCTGCGAATGATCAGTGTTCCTTGCAATTCCAAATATTGCCGTTTGTATGCTCACTCCCACGCCCGATGTTGGTGAACAGCAGACTTATCGCTCGGCAGCTGCTGCGGGATCTTGCATAGAGGACAGAGGAACTCGAGCATTCCATTCTCATACGTAACATCCTGTTTTCTTAGTTTGGGCATCCGGACGCTGAACCCTGCAACATTTGTCAACGCTACGGAGGGGGTAATACTCTGCGGCTGAGGCACTTTGACCTGGTCGTTCAAAGACCCCTGAAATGTGGTGGCTTTCTCGTGCTGAGGTATGACCACGTTCTTCGAAACATGGATTCGATCGCCTCCCAAGGGAACAGCGTGTTTGACGCCTGCGTCGAGTTGCACATCTTCCATAAAGGTGTCCTCATCATCCATGTTTTCTTCAGCCGGGCTGTCCGACGCTCGTAATTGTTGGTAGCGAGCAATATGGTAGCATATACGCTTCCACCGGCTAGTCACGGTCTGTTTTATCCTCTGTGGAACGCTTTGCTGCATATCTTGTGGTGGGCCGTCAAGAAACCCTGCCATGTCCGTGTCCTCGAATGTCTCCTTCAGAACTCGTGTAACAACCTTGTCAAAATAGTCTCGGAGAGGCAGACCATCATGATCCAAAGGTTCATGATGTTCACTGCGCTCACGATACTGCTGCATACTACGCAATCGTATCAGCGCCGCAAATCTGACCAGGTTCGCGACATGGCGACCAATTCGTCGGCACGCGACCTTCGTGACATCGTATGCTGGAGCGGGCTCGATCGGATCATCGTCTGTCGTTCGCTGGTGTTCTACGAGCTGCACTCTCGATCTGATGCAGAGACAAAGGTTCTTGCTGATCGCCTCCAGAAGCTGCGCGATGCTGCTCCGAACTGCGCTATTGTTCCTCAGCCTGTGTTCCACAGACAGAGAGCCGTGCGCGAAGACGCCCAATACGTCGGCGAAAAGGTTCAATTTCGTCTTTTGCTAGCTTCCAGCTCTGCCCACGCCGGAGTCTAGAGCATGCACGGCAGACGCCCCTCACGTGCAGCTGCGCGGATCAAACGAGGCTGCGCGCCTGCGACGGCGACGGCGTCTCGAGGTCGCACCTGACCCGATCCAGTGTCGGCGGCTGCTGCTGTTGGCTCCATCTTTACGACGCAGCGTTGCCGCTCTCTAACTACTGGGATGGATGCGGAATCTGATATCAGCCTTTTGAGGGGAATATTACCGGCGTTTCTTTGCGTCGCTGAGCTCCTCGTCGCGAAGACGGGCGACGGCAAGGCGGCCCAGGCCGCCGTGAACCGGGACTCCCAGCTGGACGACGAACCTTTCCATGCTTCAATTTACGCGCAGTTCCGCGTCATTTCATCAGCTTTTGATGACCCTCGAGGCGCTCCTTCGAACCGATATCAGCCCGGGCACGCTCCAGCTCTGGCCAAATCTGCACAGCATCAAGCATGCCGTAGAGTGGGAAGGCACTGATGTGATTGCGAACACGGAACACAGCTTCCACACGACCATCAAGCCATTTCTGTTCTGCCCCGGAACCGACATTCGCGAGCGACTCGAATTCGATCTGGAAACATGTGCCGTTGCTCTGGACCCAGAATTTCTTCCAGCTTCGATCATAGACCTCGTGAAAGGGGAGAAATTGCTGCAGACCATTGGCAGCACGTATGAGAGTGTACGCAAACTTGAGAAGCTGATCAGTCTTCAACTGAGATGCTCGCATTGCACGTCTCAACATGATGCCATGGTCTCATTCACAAGTGGGGCAGAGACCTTCAGACAGTCGAGAGAAGTCGATACGTCAATGGAGAGCTGCACGAATCAGACTTCAGTGGCCGACCAGCAGCGCGGAAGAAAGGCAACACGCCGTTCTGTGTGAGATCCTAGCCGACGGATTCGAAGAAATCTACTTGCGGCCTGGGAAAGCAGGGTTCCTGCAAGTTATCCCAGAAACGAATCACAGAAGAAGCGGCAGCATAACGCTGACGCCTTTGGCTGACTGGCTGACTGAGCCAGGTGACAGCTTCCTTCCAGACGTCAAACATCGTTTGGCAGTTGTGCTGCTCTTGGCCTACGCATACCTCCATCTGAGCGGCACTGCATTCTGGCACGATGGTCGCGTGGATCTTGATTTGCACATTCCAAGCGATGCTGCTGGCGGGGTGTTGCAGCCATATTTACCCTTTTCGACCTCACGAATCTATCCCGAGGTATTCATGGAGCACTTCATGAACAAAGCACGACCCAGTCTCCCAGCATTCGGGAAACTGATCCTGACCATCTGGCTTGGACGCATCATTGTATATGATGAAGTGCCAAAGTTGGTACCGGAGTGCCAGAAGGTAGAGCCTACCATTGGGCACCAGGTTCACGAGGTCGCTATGGCCTGTATCAAAGCCGAGGAGGATCTCAAGCAATCGGGACCCATGATACAAGACTCACCAATATATGAAAAATTCACCACTCTTGTGAAGTCATTACAGCTCGTGGCACGATGCGCCGAACTTCCGCCCGATAAGTTCCTGGCACTGCTCCGCGACTCTGGTCGCGTGCAGACAGAACTTGATGCGCAATCGGGCGCAGCGCAGAGCGACGACACACGCTCGATAGATTCTGCAAACAAGCAAGATATCAGGCCAAGAGGGGAAGGCTGCACCCCAGTGGCCTCTATAGAAGGCCCGGAATCTAAATATGCGGCGGAGTGGTTCGCTAACCTTAGGAACGAGGCTCACAAGGCCGTTCTATCAGACAAACGTATGTCTTCTCAGGTCAAAGTCGCGATCATTGATACTGGAGCAAATTTCGACAAGAACTAATACAAAAACGTCCATCACAGATGTATTAGCTACCGTACCTGGTGCACCGACCACGGAGCCGTTGAAGGCCAGCCAGGCTGTGATGATGTGGGCAATGTCTTGGAGCAATGCGCAGCGACTGACGATCATGGCCCTCATGCCGTGTCTGTATTGCGTCAAGTCGCCCCGCATTGCAAGACCTTTGTCGCTCAGGCTTTCCGAGGCAAGCAAGATATCATCAGCGTAATGCCAACAGAGGAGCAGGCACGCCGAATAGCCAATGTAGGTATCAACTCGTTCCCGTCGTCTACTCCCGCAGCTGACTTCTGCTCTACCTGTAGGCCATCAATTACGCGGTCAATGTCGAGGGCGTGGACATCATCTCACTATCATTTGGATTCGCGCAAGAAGTCCCAATCATAAATCAGGCTATAGAGGGTGCAGTGGGACGACCTGAGAGACCTTGCCTGGTGTTCGCTGCAGCCTCAAATTTCGGTGGCAATGATGAAGTCCAGTGGCCAGCATGTCACGATCGAGTGATCTGCATCCACGCTGCCGATGGCATTGGCAACAAATACTCTCGCAACGTGAGGATGGAAAATTCACACAAAGAGTTCGCTACTCTTGGATGCGAGGTTCAAGCACTGGTCAGGCCTGGCGTGCGTGGTACCAAATCTGGAACTTCAGTGGCCACTCCCGTTGCAGCAGGCATTGCATCGTTGCTACTGGATGATGTTCTCCTCAACCAGGCCGACTACCTTCTTCGATTCCCTGAATCAACCTCAGATGAGTACAGTATGCGGGTTCACGAACTTAGACGCTGCAAGGGCATGAGCAACGCTCTGCAGAAGATGGCGATCCCGCGTGACGGATACAATTACCTGCGGCCTTGGAAGCTACTTCACAATCATCATGTTACAAAAAGCCTTCGTGTTGAGACCATCCTCAATGCTGCTGCAGGGACTAAGCGGATACGACCATTATCTACATATTGCAAGACTACTAAAAGACGTCATGATTGAGCAGATGGAACACTGCTCACAAACAAGTCATCGGCCTCATTCTTCATCGAGCACCATCTCCGATGTCACTTCATCGACTACCCACAGAGTTTCAAATTCGGTCTCAGCAGTCGGAAGCTCATCGTCGAAGAGGAAAGCGCGGGAGTTGTAGCCCTTGACTTCCAACGACCCATCTCTCTTCTGCCGGATCCGCTTCAACTGATACGCAAGCACAAAAGGCCCATCCTTGTGCGTACGAAAATGCACCTCGCGAGACCGACTGAAAGCAGCCTCTGGCCCTACTTTGACCGGAGCTCCAACAGCCGTGAGATCCGCACCGACACTGCCATGGAACTCCTTCGACTTCTCTTTTCCAAAAGTTATCGAAGCATCATAAGCAACCTTCAAGCCCGTCACCATGAACACCGGTGCTTTCGGATCCTGCAGCAAATGCTCGCTTGCTGTAGGCTGCTGCAGCGCCGTGGCGAGATACTTGGCACTGGGACTAAACCAACTCGTCTCGACCTTTTTGGCTTCCACTGTGATATCCTCGCCTCCGGATCGCTGGAAGCCTAGAGATCCACAGATCGCTGTTAGGACTGGGATATCGGCCCAGACACCACCCGAGACTGCTTTCTTGTAGCCTTCGCCATACTCCCAGGGTTCTTCGACTTCGTGTTTGATGAGACTTGGGTCCGGGTAAACGTAATCTGGAGAGTCTGTGAGATTGGACTCGGGATCTGGCAACCGAGGCTTGTCGTATGATAGCGGTAGAAGCTGGCCGAGCTTTATGTCGCGGTCTGGGACGAGTGATAGATTTGGCGGGAGCATGTACGTGAGTTTGAGACCTTCTGGCATCTTGCTCCCTTCACTCTTCAAGCCTGAAGAGCCGGGTCCGAGAAGCTCAAGATGATGTCTGTTTTCTTCGTTCTTGCAGGGAACCGTGCTGGTATTCCCCTCAGAGACACACGCGCGGTCAGAAATACTTGTTTATACAACGACTTGTGCAGATTCACCCAGAGCAAAAAAAAAAATACAAAAGTCAGAATGGAGAGAACGAAGGATATAAACACTGGGCTGTGTTGCTTTAGCTCAGCCCGTGTCAAGGTGGGACAAACTGAGGTCGAGAACTGCGCCACAAAGGATGCATAGAGCTGCCAGCCCGAATATGCAGCCACCTGCATCACCTCACCGATCTGGAAGCACATGTTCATCAGCGGCTACGATAGCAAAAATCTCGCGTTTATGAGAATCGGACGTGATCCAAAGACTGAAAGAGGAGAAGGAGTACACACGCTGCGAGATGTTCAATACTTCGCTTCAATACCCAAGAATTTTTGGCTACTGCATTTCGCCCCATATCTGGAGGCTCACGTCCCATTTCGTCAAAGTACAGACGCGTCCTAAAGAGTGTGTTGCCATCATCACAACTTCGCTTGTGCTTCCCTTCACCAAAACTGCGTTCTCCAGTTGCAGCACTCTGCCTTTGCATGTTGCCCCCGTCACTGGACGAACCTTATCCCCGAAGATCCAATGCCACAATCCGCTGCTCGAAGACATTGCTCCAGACGATGCCAGCCACCTCCCAATCAGCGCTACTACCCTAGCTAACCCCATCAAATCACCAAACAAACGCACTGACTCCCACCAGACGTATCTTCCGGATGAGCAGAATTAATATTCCTCTGAAACTCCCACTGGAGACCAGGCACATTGCCAACCTTCCTCAGGCAGTAGTCTCTGCACGGTGCCAGATCTTCAGGGCGACAGGAGGGCGAGAGTTCCACATCTGGGCATCGTTCGCGCGATCGATGGCAGGCTCCAACGCCTCCGTAATCTGCGAGGGCCTGCGCGAGGATCTCACCGGCTGGGGTCAGTGCTGCGGCGGTCGAGAGTTGGAATACGCTGGAGAGTAGGACTGCTGCTTTGAGAATGTTGGAACGCATGGTGCAGGTGGCAAGTTTTAGGTTGAAGTGTGAGTTTGGATAGGAGAAAGTGGTTTGGTTTTGACAGAAGTCTTTCGAATTGAAGCTGGGGGGTGTTGAGCAAGAGTGTGGTTCCGGAAGACGAGTTCATAGGTCATATATAACCTGGAAATGGTTACCAAAGGATTCGAAGCTTTCTTGAGTACAGCTCAGCGCTGTATCGGCCTGGTAGGACCTCAGAAGATCTCATGCAACGACGACCAGCAAGATATCCCGACGTGTCGGTGTCTCCAGTGCACCACGAACGACAAACACATTTGTGGCTGCATACCGAATCCCGACTCAGTGGAACATGTTCGTTTCGAAGCCAGCCCGTTCGCCGTCGTTTTGTACATTTGAGATGTTGCAAAGGCACCGACAGATGGGTCGATTGCGGTGCAAACAATGTCACTGTCGCAAGCTGCAAATCACATGTACTTCTGTCTTTGCGCTCCTAGACAGTAGCTTCCGCGCCTCATGTATCAGCTTGACCCGGACCTTCTTGGTTTCTTGGCTTTAAGTGAACACCGTGCACCAAATGCTTGAGAGAGCTGATGGTTGTCCCGTTGCCTTTGTTTGTCACAAGGAGAACCATTGTAACGTAGGGCAGGGCTCGGTGATGCGTGTTTCAAACGGTTTCTGGTGCATATGTTGACCGGTGAAGTTGACGAAGGGTGTCTGCTCAGCCGCAGAAAAGCAGATGAATTTGTGCTACAAATGCTTCCAGTTGAGACACCCGTAACTATGCTTCCTTGAACGACGGGCGCTTTGGCTTGATCTCAAAGGTGAACAGTGGTCCGTGGCCGCCAGCCATCCAGGTCTCTAACCGAAAAGCTACTAACGCGATATTACTAAATCCATCGCATTCTTTCGTCTGACGCTATCGGTTACGAAGTGACTTAGCGACGTAGCCCTTCTTGTATCCGGAATAGATACGGCTCACTCTCGTCGCTAAAAGCAGCACCGTGTTTGACATTCTGTTTGACAGTAACCAAGATGGTCTGGGCGATACTTGGAGTACCATGTACGTCCATGACGAAGAGCATCCAGTAGCCAGGAATGACAACTCCTGGGTCAATCGGGACTTGCACGCTGTATTTATTTTTGAAGAAACCATATCTGCTGAGAACCAACGGTACACGACGTTGATCGGTGTTGACAGTGTGGGTGGCGCTGGATATGCGGATCAACGCCGCAGAAGCGATCTTGGTCGTGGTGCTAAAGAACAGCCGCCCGCCGACGCCGACTGTGCGAGGTAAGTTGGAAGCAAAGGCGGGCCGCTCACGCTCATCACCCGAATCAGTCAGAAGATACGGGGGCGTGAAAAGCTGCGCATCGTAGTGATTTGCTGAACAGTTGCCGCAAAGCCCACCTCCGCCGGTCAACACGCGTCCGTCGGGTACAAGGATCGAGACTGAGTGATATGTCCGAACGATGTTGTTATGCTGCATCTCCTCGAAAGTATCCGTTTCTGGGTTGTACAACTCGGGCGTGAACTGTATGTTCTCCTCGTTGAATGCGACGCCATACGTCTGGCCTCCAACAATGAACACTTTGCCGTCTGGAAGCACGACCGAAGTGTGGAAGACGCGTTTATAATTCATCGCGCCACCTTTACCAGCGGGTCGCACATCAACTTCGTCTCCAGGGTTACCGAGAGTGATGATATGAGCGTTTGCATGGGCTAGCGACTTTTCGTAGTCTGGTGAACCTCCAAATGTGAGGATCTTGCCTTTGGTGGCATCGAACATGACCGCGTTTCCAGACATCGAATCCTCGTCTTCTAAACGCTGTCCCGCAGGCAGGACATCACCGTTGCCTTCCACAAAATACCAGTTCATGCGCTGGCTGGGACCAGCTTGAAACACGGTGCGGTTCTTCCATCCAAACAGCCAGCCATGGTTGTCTGCTCTCCAAGGGCCTTCCATATCATCCGTGAGCATGGGTTCGACTCTAGCGCCTGGCAGAGACGTCCACTCCCTAGTCGCAGGGTCATAAACTTCACCGTTCTTGTCAATGTTCGACCCGCCCGCCCAGGAACCCCCGATGACAAAGACCCGGCCATCTGATAGGGTCGTCGTAGCTTGATAACCGCGCTCAAGTTTCATAGGCTTGGCCGAATGCCATTTGTTTTCACTGGCGACGAAAAGGCTGGTCTGAGCAGCATCATTACCGCCAGTCACGACCATGTTGCCGGTCCCATCGATAGCGATGCCAGGGCAGAACATGTCATGATGCGTATTAGAAACGATTCGCTTAGACACGGTATTGCTGCGGAAATCCCAGAATGACATCGCCGTTTTCCCGCCTGGAGTTGAATGAAACTGGTCATCTCCCCACGATGACCACAGCAGGACTTCACCGGTGGCTACTTGGGCGCCCGAAGCTGGCACGACAGGCAGGTCTATGGTGGGACCCCATATCCCTCGGCTGGGATCTTTAGGAATAGTGTAAAGATTCGCATAGATGTTGAGCTCAGAGATGCCAATCCAGAACGGTGACCCCTCGTCGGAAGATGTGGCAACTAAACGCACATATCGAGCTGACATGGGCTCGAAAGCCGCGAGTCGTTGTCTGTTCGTGGTCGGCCACATGCCATGGGCTACAGGCGAACCCCAATTTTTGGCGTCATGGCTCAGGTAAATCTCGTGGTGAGTGATCAAGCCGGCCGAGCTGTTCAAATCTATGGGGGGCAACACCACAACTGCGCTGACAGCGTAGTGATCGTGCAGATCAATCGTAATGTAAGGACTCTGACCAGGCTCGCTGCGCCAGGCTGTCGTGTTCGAGCCGTCGACGGCATCCCGGCAGCTGGTCTCGCCACTGCTGCATGAAAGATCCCAATCTTCACGTGTGATGCGGTGCGCCTTGTAAGGTGGAGACTGATCCTTGAATGATGGCTCCCAGGATGGTTTGTCATAAGTACCATATCCAGAGACACGCTCTCCGCGCATGGCTTCTTCCAAGTATTTATGGCTTGCGTTGACCGCAGTAGCCAGGGCCACCAGGGACCATTGGAGCTTCATGGTGTTGCGTGAGTCCTCAGGACACAATCAGTGGAATAAGTGCAAGTAGAGAAATAAGCCGGGAACAAAAGGTTCCCGAGTGGAATGATGTCTGGTGGACACGAGCACAAGCCGGTCTTACTCGAAGCTTTTATGTCTTCTCTTTGGATGGTCGGAAAGCAGGTATTTCTCATGCACGCCCCGTGTGGCGTGGGTCGATGTGATGGTCTTGAGCCGTCCGTCGGAACGAGCAATAGAAGCTAATACCTACCACGCATCATTAACGATCCACTGTGATTCACAAGAACTATGCTTCCGACCCACGCTTTTAACAGTCCTCACTGCTTCTGCTGGTGCGTACTTCCTCTTTTCGGCAATTCCATCATTCCATCTGTCCGTGCACGACCACTGGGCCGCTCGCAGCGGATCGCGGCTTCCGAGCCGTGCCAAAGCTGGAGCCCCATCACACATGTAACATCACAGCCCTTTCAGATACGGTGCAGACACGCTAGTGGCTTGGCATTGTAGACACCATCAATGCGTCAACTTCACAAGGTGGGTCCTCAATGACACCATGCCTGTACACACTTGCAATCGCTCAAGACTTTGAGTAGCACCTCGGATGGTTGAGAGAACGAAAAGGAGTGTGTCTTGATAGGCCTTGATGGACTAGCCAGACCAAAACAACAAGCAAGCCTTCTGAAGAGCCCACCAATACGAGGACTGGTGCCCTTCTTACACAGTTGCTACGATATAGATCAAACAATCACAGCCTGCAGTCGTCGCACTGCACTCCACCCCTACGCGAAGATCGGTTCTTAAAAGCCTCTTGGACGACACAGGACCGATACAGGCTGGGCCATTACAACCATGGCTGCAGGACCTCAAGATTTGAGGAACCTGGATTATCAGTGGTTTCGAGAGCAGTCAAAGTGTTTAGACCTTACAGGCATATAAGTGAAAGAGGCAAGGCTATGATTATGAGCAAGAGAGGGAAGGCGACAAACATCTTCTGAGCTGACAAACAACACAGAGTCCAATTGGGGGCTGCTATTATGACTGTTCAAGACTCAACGAAGCAGTGGGAACTTCAAGACAGGGTATTCGACTTGTCAGGCGACTGAAGCAGTTAGATCTAACAGGTGGTAAGCGTGTAAAGGGCAAAAAGTGGTAGATACACCTTCTCATTCGACACGTTAACTGTTGCCAAGCAAGTCGCGTGTTTCCACTATATCCATAAGGGTCTGTAACTCTTTTTGCCTTTAAGCATGAGCTGCAGTCCCCGCACTCGTCTTGACGCACAGATAGTGGCGGTTAGATAGGGGACTTCGGTTCTGTTCTGCATGTTTCGTGCGCTGCATTAGCTGCATCCGACTTGCGCTCGGATTAGCTATCCGTGGTAGTGCCAAATCACTGCCAAAGGTAACGGGGTCGATAGATATGCTTATCCATTCGGGGAGCACGGCGGTCCATGGCGACCGGAGTTATGAGCTCTGCAGGATCTCGTAGTCGTACGCCGCGGATCAGTACCACCGGCGGCCGTTGAAGCTGCTAGGAAGTACCAACTCTCTCAATGGCACACGAAGGGATGTTGACCGCTTAAACGAGTCTAAATCTGGATCGATAGTCAAATCAATAGCTATGATCTGATCTGAGCGCCTTGGCAAATATATCAGATTGGCGAATCAGGCCTGGCCTACTCGTATCACCAACCAGAATGTGTTCGTTGGACAGTGACCAGTAAGTGGGAATCATCCACCATGGAATTGATCTCGTCAGCTCGGTCAACGCCTTCCGATCTTGCGAGACCTACAAATACGCCTTTCCTGAATTGCCCTCTAGTACATGTTCATCGCTTTACCACTTCTCATCATCACCGTAAGTCCTCGGTCGAACAACAAGCATGGCGGCGTCGGTCATCAGGAAGACAAACATCCAAGGCGACATATGGCAAGTCCTACTATCACTCTTCTCTACCAGTGGAGAACTTGCTAATCGTCGTTGACACCAGGCCCGGACTACCCAAGAGGTTTCAATCCTTTCTATTTTTCCAGATCCAGAAACCGGATCTGTTCAAATCTCGACTGAAACAGTTTGTGAGCGATGGTCACATCACTACTGCCGCACAAGCATGCGAGATGAAAGATGTGATATCAGGCGCACAAAAGTTATTCAAGAGCTCCGGGAAAAAGGCTCCGTTACTACCTCTCCCTGGTGTCAACATCGCGTTCGCATCATCAGGTCTACATAAGGTGGGTGACATGACTATCTCTGGCTGTCCAGCACTGACTCTACCATTCCGTATGTAGCTCGGCAAGTTTGTGCAAACTTCCGACCAACAAGCCGTCCAGTCGGACCCGGCCTTGTTGAAGATCTTCCGACGGAATCAACTGCGGGGCGCCCAATTCGAAGTGGGCATGTTCGAAGACCTGGTAGGCGAGGGATGGGATAACCCACAAGACCTCCGACCCGAATACCAGCCTTCTCACGTCCCTGGGCGTGATCGCCGTCAGATCGATGGCGTCCTTTTGGTTACCTCCAGCGTTCAATCGGATATCCTGGAGCATGTCAAGAGTGTTACTCAGCACTTTCTTGACGATGGAGTTGTTACATTTCCCTTGGTGAGAGAGGGTCACGTCCGACCTGGAGATGCTAAAGGGAAAGAGCAGTAAGTGCTGAGGATTCGAGCGCTTTCCGCTAAGTTTGGTACTGATATCTGTCCATTTGAACAGTTTTGGGTATGCAGATGGACTCAGCCAGCCTTTCATCAAAGGCTTGGACGATACTCTTCCCAACGCGAAATTGCCCACAAACAAGGAGCCGAAGGCCATGGACGCAGGGTGAGTTCGCAGACATTGGACTGGCGACATTCTTCAGCCCGCTAACCTGTGTACCCACAGGTTCATTCTGTGCGGACACAAAGGCGACCCAATGAAGCAACCGGCATGGAGCAATGATGGTAGCTTCCTTGTGATTAGAGATCTGCAGCAGATGGTCCCCGAATTCGAAGAGTAAGCCGCGTCTGCCAATTTTGTTGAAACCAAAGTCTTACACATGATTAGATGGCTCCAGAAAAACGGCCCCAAGGCTCCTTTCTGCCAAGGCTCTGACAAGCCAGCAGAAAAACTTGCGGCATATCTGATGGGCAGATGGAGGAACGGAACACCTGTCCACGAGAGCCCCCACAGCGACGAGGACGAGAGCTTGCACGCATCCAATAACTTCGACTACGAGCCTCGGAACCAGCATGACAAGTGTCCATTCGCGGCCCACACGCGGAAAATGCGACCGAGATCAGATCTTAGCCACGATCACACGGTGATTATTCGACGCGGGATCCCGTATGGGCCTGAAGTCAGCGATGGAGAGAAAGCAGCCAAAACCTCGGACACTGCTGCAGAGCGTGAACGCGGTCTAATCTTTGCTTGCTACCAAAGCGATATTCGCAGTGGATTCAATTTCCTGACAACTCGTAAGTGTGCTAGCATCTTCCTCATTAAAGCGAGGACAATACGCTGACGGGATGTGATTTCCTCAAGGCTGGGCCAGTCAACACCATTACCCCAATGGCAAGCATGAATCCGTTGGCGTCGAAGGCCCAGGCATCGACCCTATAGTTGGCCAAAGACTCGACCACCATCCACCGCGACTGATCGCTTTGCCTGACGGCGAAGTCCCTACCAAGCATCGAATGGAACTCGAAAGCTGGGTTAATCACAAAGGTGGCGAATATTTCTTCAGCCCATCCATCGAAGCCATCATGGGCTACCTCACAGGACCAAGCGACTACGACTTGCCACCTAAGGCGAAATTGTAATTAAAGCAGCTCGTGGCCAAACTCGGACGTTCCAGTATCCTATTCCTAGGCGAAACTATAGTCGTACATCCTATTCGAAGTATTAAGCGTACTAGGTGTTACGGGGCTTGGTAAGCTCCTACCTTGTATAGGCTTGCGCGCGTACCTCTCTTCACTTCGTTATAGACAGTTTAGCTGTATGCAAAAGTAAGTTCTCTACTAAGTCTGCTCTCTATATTAGCTATTAGGAGGCTGACATGTCGAATGTCGCAGCTCTGAGATGTGCGTTTCTCCGATCTTCATTTGGTCGTGGTGCATTAGGTTTCATGCGTGAGTGTAAGTTGAAGTGTCGGCCTCGAACGCGATCTTTATCCAGATGTCGCGAGCAAGACGGGCTTCAGGTGTTTGGTTCTTCCAATAGCCTTTCCTCAGAATGGAAAAATTGCGTGGGAGAACCATTGAAAATGGTGATAGTTAGGTGTAGCATCCCCGACGCCAACGAACAGCATTACGTTGAACAAAAGTGAAGTGAGTCATTGTTTGTGCGCAGCGACTTCGATTGCACTGAATTATTTCCCGTCGCTGACCTGAGCGCGTGTGAGCAGAGGCAAATTCCGCATTCTCAGTAAAAAGATATGTACAGGAAACCAGTATTGAAAAAGGGGTATACACGTTGCGACATGTCCAGGCGTATCTCCATGAAATCAGTTCTCTTTTCTTCTCGTGTTCTCTCTACTGCCGTCAACCACAGAGCATCAGTCTTCCGATTCTTCTCTCATGTACATGATAGCGATCAAAGGAATAATGAGATCCCGAGGTTTCGGGTCGTTTACAGCAAAAGAGCGACAACACCGGCGAACATGGCGGTGAGGCCAGTGGCGACGCCGTTGATGGATGCGGCGCCGGTGTACTGCACTGGGGTGTGAGTGCGGGTGGCGTTCTGCTGTGGCACTGGGAGTGCGGTCACAGTAGAAGCTGGGTAGGTTGGAGCAGCAGCTGGGTGGGTCTCAGCTGGGTAAGTTGGAGCAGCAGCTGGGTGAGTCTCGGCTGGGTAGGTAGGAGCAGCTGGGTGAGTCTCAGCTGGAGCGGTTGGGTGAGTCTCTGGCTCTTCTGGGTATGGCTCGACTGGGCCGTAGTGGGGTGGCTTCTCCTCGTCATCTGGGCAGTAGGTTGGTGGCTTGGTGTAGTCATCGTGCTCATCTGCCAGGAATGTTAGCATTTTGCGCGTACCATATCGATGCGACATCAATCACGTACCCTCGTGCTCTGGATAAGGAGCTGGAGTAGTCTCGTTCTTGCTTGGAGTGTAGACTGGGTACTTTGGAGCCGGTGTCTCATTGGCTGGAGGAGCTGGCTCGTACGCAGCTGGAGTCGACTCATAGGCAGGAGGAGCGTAGCTGGCAGAGGCCACGGTCGCGGCAGCCGCGATGGCGATGAGTTGGTAGCGCATGTTGATTGATGGTATTAGTTATTATCGGGTAGCGTGTTCGTGTTTTGTGTTGGTGGGTAAACAGTGATGTGTATTCTGAGCGCCTCTTCAAACGAATGTCGTAGTCGCGTGGAGAGTCACAAGAGCAGGGGGCGCGGCTGTGATGGTTGTTATACGGCGCGCACTCTCACCTGGGCGAGCGTCGCGTCCATTGGTTCATGACAGTACCTGCGTATTGCCAAGGCTGCTCTGCCGCTAATAAGTACCATCTCCATGGCAGTGATATGCGAGCGCACCAGAAAGTGGCTGAATTAGGCAATGCCATGAACGCCATGTGTTTTGCGGGAGGGATTTATTCAACTCTAGCTTGCCGCTTCGCATTCCGGCCAATGAAAGTGGCGAGTGTACCCCAAACCAAGACCCGACTCCTCGGCCAACAGAGTTTGCCCAGCATACCGGCAGGCTCGGCGTCGCGCTGGGCTTGTACACATTGGGCTGCACGCGAATCCTCGCTCTGCTGTCGTCGGAGATGCGATCGAAGGCTTTCGAGAAAGTTGTTCGATAATGCCGCTTACATCATGCTCGCACCGTGCTCCAAATGCCACATGATGGCAGGAATTTGGAAACGACTTGCGATGGAGTAGTCGTCTCTTCAACCGAAGTACAGTCAGCATGCCAAACTGTGGCTTGTTTCGATCGCAAGAGGGATGCGAAATTGCATGCTGGGCCGCGAGCTGATGATATCCAAGGACCTTTCCAGTCTGTTGAGTCCATGACTAATTCTCGGCGGCTTCCATCTTCCGGCTCGTCACGCTACAATATCTGCTTCTATCGTCATGCAGTAGGACAGTGCGTCGACGGGCGCGATGGCTGCATTATTTCCAAGAACTCTGCGCTGAGAGTCAACGTGGCCGCCACATTCGTACTGGGCTTGAGCGCCTTCAGCTGCCATGGTGGCGTCGCTGGAAGAACAGGTCATCCCCCGACGATTGCTGCTGTTGGCGATGGCACAATATATGGACAGGACCTGAAGCAGCAATCGTATCGCTTGAGGCTCCTCAACAACTCTCATCGCGGTTGCTTGCTAGGCGATGGCTCTTGAGCACAGGCTCTCGGGTGAGAGGTTGAAGGCGCGACGACATTGGAGAGAGGCAGGCCGAGCACGTGCGCCGCCCAGCTTTGATCAGCGATTTTGCACGAAGTTTTCACTGGGTACTGGGCTCCAGTAAAGAATAGCAGAAGGGTGTAGAGGAGAGTGATAAGATGAAGTGCACATGAATACGATGTGTTGCCTGGTTCTCCTTCGAATCCTTGTCGGAGCTCGGGACGCGGGAGAACTGCGGCGGACGGCGACGGCGAATTGAAGCGCCCGGCACAACACCTCCCTCCGTGACCTCAGGCAATCTTGTACGCTGTACAGCTGCACATGCCCATCGAGCTGCTCCACGCCGACGCCACCAACAAGCTGACACGCCGTGCAGCATGTGAGCCATCTCCTCAGCCTGTTGCAGTCCTCCTGCTGCCGCTGCCATGGCCACCACGAGCTTTCGGCCCAAATGTGGTGTCCCCTTCAGATTAGCCACATTCGAGGTGTACCATGGTTGGCTGGCATGAGCTGAAATGCAGGATCGCTTGCGGATCACTGTAATATGTACACGGCTACCTGTGAAGAGCAGTGCCTTTTACCCCCTCCTGGCCGTGGTCACCAGCAGCATTCATCAACATTGCAAGTCGCAAAGGTCAACAATGAATGGCTACGACGCCGCGCAACATGCCTTCTATACAGTCTTCCTGACGTTGCATGCCGTATACTACGGCTGCGAGATCGTGACTCGGACTCCGTTGACCAAGCTCGGCCAGGAAGTGAGAGCATTGCCAAAACGAATGGCATCTTCTTTGACCTCGAAATCACATCCTACCCAAGACGAAAATGAAGTCATAGGCTCGACGGAAGCAGCACAGGTCGATCAATCAAGTGGTGCGGGGAACGATGGGGCCGAAGCTCCCACCAAGCAAGGCCAGCTCGTTCACATCGACAGTGCACAAGAAGAACGAATCGCAAGTCAAATTGTGCGAAACTCCAAACTGCCCCTATTTGCGTGGATCATTTGCCTTCCAGGCTGGCTGTGGGCCTTTAGCATCATCCCGGCCTTGCTACAGCTACTCACGAATGTAGCGCCAGGACATGCTCTACCTCTGACCACACTCGTATCGGACTGGAATGTCAACAGGACCATCGGCTCAGATATTCGCCTTCTCACCGACGTCAACCCTGACATAGGGGGCCTTGGAATTCGGATTGGATTCTATATACCGTTCGGCTTGGCCTTCTTGACACTTGTAGCTGGCTTGTTCCACATGGAAGACAGTGCCGCCAAGGAAATTGGAAGCGCATTGCTGATAACTGAGTCTTCACCGTGGAGCCAACTTACGCAGATGCAAGATGGCGGACTATTGACCTGCTGTCCAGCACTCTTCTATATCAACTTCAATTCAGTCAAAGCCGCAACTCCAGGGTACAAGCAGCTTACCTTTCCCGAGGTGGTGCTTGTATATATAAGCCTTGATCTTGCGGCCGCCACATTGCACATGACGACTTCCGCAAAAGATACTCTCGCGGCGCGGAAATTCATCTTCGCCTCCACACTCAACCAGTTGGTTGCCTACGGGAACATCATAGCCATGCTCGCCCGCATACGGCACAACTACAAGGGTCTAGACTGTACTCACCTCGTCTGGTGGAGCCGAATCGATTCCTGCACAGGCCCATCCGAACCAGTGTGGATGCATATCGCTATACGTGGCCTGATCCTCTTGCATGGCATTTGGCTCGACTGGTGTCACACTTTCAGCTTCGATAGCATCGAGGAAGATTGGTCAGAGCCAGCCCCGGCCGACCAGGATACCGATGATGACAAAGGCGAGATATCTAAATATCCTTATGCTTCCTTACCGGGCACGGTCTTTTCGAAATGGGTCGACTGGCTGAACTCTACAATAGTCGCGATATCCAGTCTGGAGGTGATTGTGGCTCGGCTTCCACCAGACGCCAGCATCACTGACTGGGGCCAGAGCGCAGCTCTCGTACTTGCCATTGCAGGTGCAATACACTGGTTCTACGTGTTGACATGGCAGGTAGGCCGCAAGTTGTGGAAGGGCCGAGAGACACGTGCGCTTAATTTCCCTCGCTACCACAAAGACTGGAATCCGAGCATCACTGGCACTGGCGACGATCTCATCCGTGCATCAAAGGCTGGAGACTTGAAGAAGATCCGTCGCGCATTGAAGCATGATGCGAAGATAAATTATGTGGACCCCAACGGCCGTATGACTGCCTTGCTTTACGCCGTCCAACGAGATCATGTCGACCTCGTTCGAGAGCTCATGTCGGCAAATTACAAGGCCAGCCCGTCTGTACCACAGACGAGACCGGCATTGCTATTTGCAGTTGAGAGCGGCAGCAAAAAGACACTGAGATTCTTCACTGACACCAAAAATCTCAGTTTGAGTGAGCTGGACAACGACAGAGATGCGATCTGGTTTGCGACGCGGTACGGACGGCTGCAAACGATCGAGCTGCTCATCGAGGCCTGGAAGAAGAAATCACCGACCGATGGCATCAGGACTGCACTCAAGCTCGCTGATGAGCGCCGGGAGCCAGTACTAGCGGTAGCTGTTGAGGCACAGCATGAGGAAGTGGTGAAATATTTGGTCAAACAACTTCGCGACGCCAAGTTGACTCCTTCATATGCTAAAGCGCTGGCAAAAGCAACGCAGCTGCGTGATGAGACTGCGCTAAATGCCTTGCTCACATTCAATCCGAACCCAGAGACTATTCGGACGCCACTGTGCCAGTGGCCCCTGCTGCATGACGCTATTGCAACTCGGAAGGCTGACAATATCATCGAATTCTTGGCTAAGTCTTACCGCACCATCCTCAACACTGTTGACGTGTTTGATGCGGTGGGCCGGACTCCACTTGGACTTGCTGCAATACATAATGACGAGGATACTGCCAGTTTACTTTGGGATTTGGCGCCGATCCATTCGCGAAGAGACCGAACGACACCAAAGATGGGAATACACCGTTCCTATTGGCATATAAAGAAGCCAGAAGCCGTGAGGCTGATTTCATATGGCCTGAGGACGAGGACTATATAAGGTCGCCGTGCCATAGGATGATCTGGAGCGTGTTAGATACGCAAGCATTCTTAAGCAAATTACTGGCTCTCCCCGAGGATGTTCTGGGATGGCTCTTCAAACTCGACTTTCTTCATTTTGAAAGAAAAGTAGGACGTACACCCATGCCAATGCTGATCCATGCGCTCAAAGCTCCGACCGCCACACCTCTGAAGTGTCTTTTCCATCACCCTGAGGCGCTTTCCAAAACCATTCTGTTACGCCTTCCGTTGGATTGTTCAGCAATATGCGAGGCAGAACATAGCGAACGGAATCACAACATCAGAACCAGAGCTTCGTGTCGAGATAGCTGGGTACTTAGACAGACAACTTTCGCAAATGCCGGCTGACTTTTTGGAAACGTGTGAGGGAAAACTGGGACCTGCTGGTCCCTGGAATGACAACTTACCCGAGATTGGTGAAGTATTTCGGAAATACTCTTTCACTGTGGAGAAGCAGTGGCAAGAACCTTCGAATTCGAGTTATAGTGACTATTGCAGAATGAGAAAGATTTGATTGGATCACTGAGGGAAGAAATTGGCGATGGGGCTCTCACTGGAACCTGCGATGATGCGGGCAAAGTCCATCGCATGTTCCAGAAGAATCGCAACGAGGTGGGGCAAGGAAAGCAGCATCGATTGCTGCTTCGTGCTTCATTGCTGTTACCAATGGGCAGCGTTCCGAATGCTACACAGTTTCGTGACTGGAGCACTAGGCCATTTGGGATGCCCTGATTTGTCTCGCGTCGAAAAATAGGCCATGCTACCATCCACGCCAGTCGCTTCGTGTAAATGCACTTTTCACGGCGGTACGGTATGCAACCGACAGTTCGCTGATCTTCTGCGGCCCTGTCGACGATCAGATTCAAGGTGCGCAAGCGGCGAGTCGAGAGGTAGAGTGAGCCGTCGCGAATGCCGGGGTAGCGGATACGCATCACTCTCTGGTGGACAATGGTACAGGCAATCGCTTCCATGGTGGAGCCTGCGCCATCATGCTCGAGCACGGGACGCGGCCCAAGCAGTCGTGGAGCCCTTCTTCCTTCTTCTACACCGCTGTCGCGCCAATAGATTATGTCGACGGTTGCTGAGAGACATAGTAGACGGTGTAGCAGTCGGAGCCGGTGCCCCGCGTGCGATCGGGCTGCAATGCAGGTGCATTGCACGGAACCGGAAAGCGCAGCCCTTGGTTACTCCTGCGGACTGATAAGGCTAGTTGGTGGTTAGCGAGCTGCAGATGCAGATTAAGTTTCGAGATCCCCATCGTGAATCTGGTTGGCTTCATGAATTGCTGTTGTCAATAATACACCATCTCCTCTTGCGATACAGTGCAAGCTTGTTGTGTTGCTTACTAATAGCATTCATATTTACAAGCTTCTCGGTCAAGAAATGTCATCTTTATCTTTGGATCGCCGAGGTCTTTGCGGCGGAAAGGTCATAGGAACTCGATGACATATAATGCGCAACGTTGGCGCAACACGCGCATAAAAAGAAAAGAAAAGAAAACGACCTTTGCAAGCCATCCGTACAGTGCTGTCAACTGGTAGAATTTGCGAGTGAGAGAACTTCCAATTATAAATACTCTATGGCCTCGACACAATGGCTATAGATCAGTCCTGTTGTCTGCCTCTTTGTATGCACTATCCTTAACGTCAGGTCGAGGAAGAGCTAGCCAACACAGGACACAGCCACCAAGCATTCCAAGGACAAACCATTGCAGTACCACTATGCCCTGCTGATCAGCCGCGATGCCCACCAAAAAAGGACCCACACTCCCGCCTGCACTGCCAAAAGCAACAGCAAACCCGATTGCTGCCAATTGTATCTGCTTCGGCAAAAGCCTAGCTTGCATGACTACCGCCTCTGGGAACAACGGTCCGAGGAAGAAGCCAATCATAGCAATGCCGAGTGCGCAAAGACCAGTATCCGAAACCAGGACGAAGAAGAAACACGCAAAGTAGCACAAAATGGAGCATCCCGTGACTGTGGCTTTCCCCCAGTCCATCCTCGACGCGAGGAAGCCCACCACCACTCGTCCTAGTGTCAGTCCAATCCAGTAGCCAGCGGTGAGACTATTACCAGTCGGCCGACCGAAGCCACGAACATCGATGAGGTAGGATGATATCCAGTCCGCCAGGGAGATCTCGGTCGCAGCGTATAGGAAGACGAACATGCTGATGATCCATGTCGACGGATACCCGAAAGTCTGGAAAATAGAACTACTCGCATGCGGCTCGGCGGCTTCCGACTTTGCGGCTTTGCTGCCAGCTCCCCAGAACGCCATCGAAACCACGAAAAGCTCCAGTAATGAAACAACCCCCAAAAGCCGATAGAACATGGTCCAATTCAGACCCGCCCGCTCAAGCAGTACGGCGGCTAACGCCGGCGAGCAGGCCGCTCCAATTCCATAGAAACCGTGTAGAAGCCCCATCAGTCCATTCCCGCGGGGCATGCTGCCAATCCAGGAGTTCCACGATGCATCGGCAATTCCGTTGCCTAAGCCGGCGAGCATGAAGATGACCACGAGCAGAGGGTATGGTGGATTTAGCCCGGCGGAGAAGGCTGCAATGCAGTGGCATCCTGATGCGATCAGTGCGATGCCGCGGTAGCCGAGGCGGTTATGAATCGTGCTGGTGAGAAAGGCGGAGATGGTGTAGCCGACGACGGGAGCGAGGAGGGCGAAGGATACGGTGAGGTAGGAGAGGGAGTAAGACTCTCGGAGCTGGAGATTTGTGTCAGTTCTGTTTGGGTCGCGACGCTGACCATCAACTTACGTATACAACTAAGGACTGTTGACAGTAAGGGATATGTTAGCAGTGCTTTGGCTTTGGTGCTTGCAGTTGGGCGCAACTTACACCGTACGATCCGTCCCAAGCTCCTACGACAACAAAGCTGTAGTATGCGGCCGCAAGACGGCATGTTGTGATCAGCCGATTGTCCTTCGCATCCTGTTCATCACCACCGCCAGCGCATTCCTGCCGCTCTTCTCCATGCCGACAGAGCCTATCCTCCCCGAGCAGCGCGGTCTGCTCATTTGCTGTTGAGCTCGCTTCCATGCTGCATTCGTTCGACTGAGTAGAGCCAAGCGCTTTAGAGGACTCGTCAGAACAGCACCGTTTCCATTGTATGCACTCTTGTTGGATCGGTGGAGGCAACCAAGGCACGTCAGAACAAAGAGGTCACTCGCGAGAGGATTGATGGCTCGATCGAGCAACCACGCGAGGTGATTGAGATAAAAAGATGTGAACAACCTAAGTTTCTGCGTACATGTGTGCTACCGCCTTAAGCATTTTAAGTGATCCCAGAAGACATCATCCGACGTAACTAAGTATGACTCGCTGAATGGTACACTAGTAGCCAGTCTGGTTCAGACAAGATGACGGCAACGAGCTGCGCCGATGGTATTCCAAACGGCAGCGAGGGGCTCGCAAAAGCAATGAAACCACAGAGCGCTTGCGGGTTCTGATGGGCGCTTTCTTCTTCCCCGCGCTCGGATTGTGGCAATATTCATATTATTGGATTTGCCTCTACCGACTGGGAATCCGGTAATGTTTGAGCTTGATTACTCGCGTTCGCCAATCTTGAGGAGCTACCGAAGATCTGTGGTTTTTGGTGCAACTCGCCTGTTTTGGAATTTCAGTCCTTTTGCGAAATCCTTGGCAGTGCGCCTCTGCGATATTCTGCGTCATCATACCGATCAGTGGTCTTAGACTCACCAGCGTGCAGATCTGACAGGTGGCCCGCATGCAAGCACAGCGAAAGATGTGTGGCACCGATATGTAACTAGGAGTTGGCGACCTCTCAATGATCGTGGAGTCATGCTGGCCAGAATGTGCCAGTCCACAAGTTGTACTCACCAAGACTCAGCACCTCGCGGAAGGCCCGAGATTGGGTGATTGCATGATAGAGCGCAGCTCGCATGCTGAGGACCCACAAGCCCTGCTAAGCGACGGCCTGTAGAGAGCATCCGCTGGCCGTGCGCATCTTTGAGTCAGCAACGATGGTCTGAAATACACATGTTCGAGCAACATGAGTGGCTGTGCGGATCTCTGCTCAGCAATGAAACCATGCCCAATCTAAGCATCGCGGTTCCATTCCATTCCATTCCACTCCAAACAGCCGTTTAGGTACGGTCCGACCGTCCCGAGCCGTCCGCCTTGCAACATCTGCTTTCGCACTAGAAAGAGAACATGTGAAAGGACAGGTTTGAACAGCTGCAGTATTCTCGGAGATAGCGATACGCTGCCTATGCGGGTCTCTCAACTGCATACCTTCGTCGTTATCGTCGTGATGAGGCGGAAGCGGCTCAGCTGAGCCGGTCGGTGACGAGGACCTACACCGCAAGAGCTGATTAAAGACAGCACCTGGGTCCTACGAACGTGAGTATACCGATCAGTATTTGCCTTCACAACCCCTTCACGATGGGTTCGATCAAAGAACCGTCCTTGTTCTATCAGAGTGTCCAACAGAGCGGACTACCATTCGTTGCAGAAGCTTCGGGCATCTACTACACTCTCAGCAATGGCCAAAAGATCATCGACTCGACATGCGGTGCTGCTGTCGCATCGATAGGTCATGGTGACCGCAGGGTGAAGGATGCGATCATCTCCCAACTTGACAAGGTCTCGTACGCCCATCCGGGTTACTTTCAGAATGACCCTTCACACGACCTCGCAGACGAATTGGTTGCGACTACGAAGAGACAAATGGCAAGAGCTTGCTTGACCGGGTCCGGTAAGACAGGTCTTTGTGAATTGCAAGATGTCTGCTAACATCGGTCAGGCTCGGAAGCCATGGAAATTGCCGTCAAGCTCGCACGGACGTATCATTTGTCCATGAGTCCGAAATCCCCGCGCTCGCACTTCATTGCAAGGGAAGGATCCTGGCATGGCTGTACATTGGGAACTCTGTCCCTCGGAGACTTCAAAGGACGCAAGGCTCCATTCCAGGAGCTTCTGATGGACAATGTGTCGCGAGTCTCGGCATGCAATCCGTTTCGTGGACTCCGGCAGGGTGAAAGCGAGGAGGAATATGTGCTGAGGTTGCAGGCGGAGCTGGAGGCGGAATTCCAGCGGGTCGGTCCACACAAAGTGGCGGCATTCGTCGTGGAACCTATCGTAGGCACGGTCAGTGTCGTGTTTTTCTGACACTCTTATCGTGATTTTGCTAACCGATCATCAATAGACACTGGGCTGCGTGGCTCCGGTGCAAGGATACTTCGAGGCAATGAAGGAAGTATGCGACAGACACGGGGCGCTTATAATCTTTGATGAGATTATGTGTGGTTTGGGAAGGTCGGGCACCTTCCATGCGTGGGAGCAGTTGGGTATTGTCCCCGACATCCAGACAGTGGGCAAGGGCTTGGGTGCCGGATACTCAACGATATCGGCTATCCTCTTTAACGACAAAGTGGTTGCAGGGCTGGAACAAGGTTCGGGATACTTCGAACACGGCCAGACGTACCAATGTCACCCAGTAGCCTGCGCTGGGGCACTTGAGGTACAGAGGATCATACGCGCTGAGAATTTGGTGCAAAATGTGGCTGTCCTTGGTGATTATTTCGGTCAGCGACTGAGGGATCGATTCCATGACAACCAGTATATTGGCGATGTGCGTGGCCGTGGGTTCTTTTGGTGCGTTGAGATCGTGAAAGATGCTTCAACGAAGGAGCCGTTCGATCCGGCCTTGCAAATTTCAAAGAGAATGAGGTTGAGGGGCCTGTCACGCGGCTACGACGTGTGCCTCTTCTCGGCAGGGGGGTCAGTGGACGGACATAGAGGTGACCACTTTCTTCTGATGCCGCCTTTCATTGTCCGCCAGGATGAGGTGGATGAGATTGTCGAACGTGTCGGAAAGGTGGTGGATAGTGTCATGATGGAAGTGGCCAGCGGCGCGCAGGGCCAAAAGATAGTAGGGCTCTCTAATAGTGCCTGAGAGAATCGATAATGCGTCACGTTAATGTGTCATCCTTCTCCTCGGAGGCGTTTTACGCGTTCCGCTGTCGGTAGCAGCATGTTCGCTCCGGATCTGCCAGGTCTAGGATCGAGTTGCCGCCCGATCGTCGACAAAGATACCTGCACAGTGCTTGCAAGTGCCGCATCTACTGTGGTACGACCGACGTCGAGAGCTGGGAATATGCTCCGCCGCCTGTGCCGCATCCGCCGTGGAGACTCGCAGTGCTCAAGGTGGTCTCGCGTGCAACCTCGCCCAGTACCGAGTCTGCAGGCATGCATCACACCGGGTCATTAAGATGTCCAGCGATCGCGACCTCGTGACCAAAAGCCCCTTGATATTGAAGCGATGGCGCAGTATATCGACCTCGAGGTGACTATGATCGATCTGGAAAGATATCATACAAGTTATCGCCGCGATGACCCTATCGGTATGTGCCGACCAGTCTACGCTCCTGGAGCGCGTTCTGCGGTCCTGCTTTGGATATGACCTCTCTTAAGCCACTCACGGAGGAGTGCTTCCTTCAAATGCAGTGATCAAGTTTGTATGGCGTGCGACCTCGCTCAAGAATACATGCCAATTCTGCAGGCACACAGCACACCGGACCATTCGAATGTTCGAAAACCGCGACCTCGTGACTGGAAGCCCGGATTGACGTTGAACCAAGTCCCTTGGAAGGCATTCTTGGAGATCACCAACCACAAACACAAATCGCTGAGAGAGATAGAGATAGGGATATGGGGCTTGCAAAACTCGCGAGCTGAATTTCCCCTCTTCAAATACGGCGGATCATGTTCTCTTGCGAACGAAACACCTGTGCGACTGTAAGGCTGTGAGGACACAAGGCTGCACCATGGCAAGGCTGTGCGATCTGGGGCCAGTACGTGATTCGACACACCTGCAGCAGGCTGTGCAGCCTCGTTCACGCCACACTAAGCTGAAAAAAGCATTCCATCCCACTCATCACAACGGCAGCGAATCGGGCGGCAGGCGTGCAAAAACATACATCTGACCGGCTCTTGACACCCTATACATCACAGTCAGGCTGGTTGACTGACTGTGCCCTTCACTTGCCATCATTCTGTCGCAACTTTCCTCGAAAACACCAACTTTGCCATCCCGATGAGACCTCCACTCCGTGCCTTCGCCGCCCGGGTCTGTCGGAGTATGCGGGTGGCCGTCAATCGCAGTCTTCTATTGGGCGTGATCCAAATGGGCCTCCTTGTTTGGGCGACCTACAATATCTCACAAATGAGGACCCCTTCACCCAGGGATATCGAACATGACAATATCATGCAAATTGTCGCCACGATGGCCCTATCAGTATGTGTCGACCAATGTACGCACCTGTAACCCTAATCGCTGATCCATTCTGGTGCCGTTACAGATAGCCGCCATTGTCTGTGTTTCTTCTTTCTGATTGCGAACTCGACATTCAAACTGCAGTTTGAGATGTCAGTGCTTCGCTGTAAGAGGAGACGTTTTATTGTGATTATGGCGTTAACTACTTTGCTGCCATTCCTGTTCGGCGATTATGCTATCTGTCACATCTTCGCCATTTTCTCTCTGGACTTCCGGCCTCCTTATCCAAGCCCAGCAGCTTCGCTGACCTGAGCAAGATCGCGACCACTTTTGGCGAGCTTGGTCCTCTCACTATGAGTCTGTGTGCGATACTGCCTTCTGGTGGCTGATTACCAGGCAGGCTATGCTCCATCGTCTTGACAATCTACGGCGCCTTAGTTACATATCGCGCCATTTGGTCCTACCGCAAGACTCGTGGCAGAGCTGCAAGTATTGAAATATTATCCCGTAACGCCGGAATCATTCTCGACGACCAGCATGACGAATTTTTGGTCCCACGATACTACGATCTGTCCAGTCAATAACCCGAGCCCCATTATTGGACCGGTGACAGGTATTTCGGTTACTCTAGGCTGCGAAGTGCTACGTTCAACCGCAGGTGCTTCGTAGCTTATTGGCTTTTGTGCCGCCCTGTACTCTTGGTGCTAGACGTGGCATTAGCGGTCCCAGCGGCTTACAATCTTTCGCAAGCATCATCGAGTCTGGTTGGCGTATGGGTGAGTCTGGACAAAGCATGGTATCATAGCTACTGCTCGGATGCTGTAGTCATCTACTTACGGCGAGTTCTCTAGGCTTTGGGGATGGTTATGTTGAACGCTGCTCTCTTGGGAAGCTTGGCGTTGTCCAGAGATCTGCAAAGAATCCAGCATCATCTGATTATCACGCCTTCTCAGCCGACAGCGCCGCACATGCTGACCACGTACATTGTTCTGCTGAGCTGCAGCGTCGATATCTGTCAGATGGGTGTCGTGCTATGGGATCTAGTAAGATGGTTCCGGGTTTGGCCTGCGCTTGGTGATGCATTTGGCGGTGACGTCTTTCCAATCGATGAGAGCACCAGGCACGTCTGGGGTATGGCTGTAGCAATCATCATGCCGATGGTCGCGTGAGTCTAAACTTGTTGACATTCTTGTGTAGATTGGCTGATGAGGAGTATAGGTTCGCGGTGGCTATCATGGTTCTTCTTGAGTCCTTGACGCAATATTGCTTGAGCGCATTTAAATGGCCTATGGACGAACCCAGAAGATTTTAGCAAAAGTCGGCTATGGCATGAACGAGACTGCATTGTGAATACAGTCATCAGTTTGTCCTTCCGATACAGAAGTACAACGAATATTTCAATGTTATCCAAGAAATGTGTCACACATGGCACAGACCTATATGGCACACTGGGAGCGCTTTAAAGCTAACATAATGTGCAGCTATTGTCTATTGTTCGAGGAGCAGGATCAGGTGAGAGCAGATAAGACAATTGAAGTACAGCCTGACCAAGGAAAGTCAGCAGTAGCTACCAAGTACCGGCCGAGCTTTGGCTTGTTACGGCCACCAGATATGGGGCCCAGCTCAGACTTGAGGCGCTCGTCTTGACTGGTGTGCAGTAGACCTCGCAGAAAGCGAAGGCAAAAACGTATCGTGATGGTTTCCGCAGTACCTGACTAGATCTACCCCGCTATGCGTAGCTAGTGGCGTTCTGCGATAGCAGTCTTAGCAGACCTCAGCCAGCCACAAACAGTGGAAAGGTCTTCGTTGAGCGCAACGTGTTCAGCTCGACCGAGCATAAAGATGGGCTGTGCAGCCAGCTCGCAAGAGCGAGCTATCCTTCTCATTCTGTGAATTTCCAACGAGACACACTGCACCTCTGACATTCAGTAAAGCGTTGGCTCAAAGAAAATTCGGCCCGAAAGCGGACAGCGTCCTCTCCGAATCATGGGAAGCCTTTCACAAACCTGCAAAGAAGTCACGATCCAGCTAGAAGATGGTAGCAGGCCATTTCAATTCCAATGCCATCTGAATGCTCAGTGCATGAAACTCGACGGAACATGGAAAAGCAGCACCTTTGACTTGAACATTCTTCGTGAGGTGGCCTTTCATGTTGCTTCTATGCGGCACTAACATTCAAAAGTGGACAACTATGGCGGCAAATTCGCAGTTGGTAAGGTACGAATGTCAGAACTTCCGATTTGGACATGCTTTTTCTGACAGTTGTGCAGAAAGAAAATGGTTTCAGTCGCACTGCCTACAACATTAGACTTGAGACTACTCCCACGGCCAAAGATGCGCAGGGTAAAGAAATCCCAGGGAAAATGCTCCTGAAAGCTTCCCTCAACAATGGCTGGGGAAATACTCTTGAAGATGAGATCGATCTTGAAGTCTTGCTCGCAAATATGAACGGCGTCTTGACAACCAGGTTCAATTATGAAGCCCTTATGCGACAAGAGGGAGATTGTGCGGAGTTTCTGGAGAATGTGAGAAATATTCGGCTCGGCGAGCAGGCGAAGCTGGGACCTGTGAATATTTTCCAGCCTCAGACTCCAGCGGATCAGCAGCATGAGCTTATTGCCGAAGTCAAGAATGAGGATGGCTCGTGGGTGGAACGCCGAGTGGAACTTGATGATTACTGTAAGTCATGCTTTCTGGTGCAGCGCGCTGCACTCTCATCAAAAGGTGAAGTTGGAGCAGTACACAGCCAAAGTTACTGACGACCGGTCAAAATTAGTGGGTAACCGCAATGGCTACATCGTTCGTAATGACAAGAACTTCTCGAAGACATGCGGGAACATGCAGCTCTCGTACTGGGACAGCAAGAAGCAGCGCGTCAATAAAGACGGCCAACCTTTAGTCCTGAAGCGTACTCAGAACCTACCTCCGGGCATAGTGACTCCCGCGGAACATGATCTGATCGATATCGATCCAAGAGATTGGGTCATCAAACCGACCAACTGGTCCGGCCCCGACTACAATGGTCCTTGGGATCCACCAAGCCAGCCTTACCCACCTTCCCTGCCAACAACCGTATGCCTTGAATGCGATGCACGAACTCGCTCGCAACCGTCTTCAAGACACAACAAAATCCTACTTTCGGCAATCATCATGCCCACCAAAGGACAATTCGCAGAAGCCACCCTTCCAATCATCATCGGCGTCCCAGAGAAACACACCGAGATGGCGGCCACAGAACTCCAAAAGACCCTCGATGAGAACCCTGGAGCGCGTGTAGAATGGGCGGACGACCCGAACAAGGAAGGCCTGACGAAGTTCTACGTCTTTTTGGGTGTTAAAGAGCATGGCGGAGAAGGTATTTTCTTCCAAACCACCACAATGGAGGCGCGAGCAAGTATTCAGCATTATGTTCAGGATAAACACGTCAGTCGTTTTCAACATGTTGCATACGACGTCTTCACAGCCGAGATTCATGGCGTCAAGGCGCCATTCTACGCTGGAGTTGGTGCGAGCATAGACCTGATTCAGGCGGAAGCCAGTATCTTTGACCTGACTCTAGGCCTTGGCGTCGAAAGCGGAATTGGCGTCTTGGACGAGACGGCTGAGATCGAGTTTCTGGGTTGTGGAATCCTGATCGGAAGAAAGGTTGGAATCAGTGTATTCGGAAATGTGTTTGATGTGAATCTTGGGCGGCTTTTTGGATTCTGAGCGCCGATTGCCAGAATGAGTTACGCTAAGTACAAGCAGATTTCTTTGGCGTAGGCCATTATGGAAGGAGTTTCCGGCTCGCAAAGGTGGATTGCAACAGAAAACCGTACCATTGGATGCCCGGCATGGCGTAGTGAGTTCAGTTCGTTGAGTTCAGTCAATGGAAACACTTCATTATCCAGAGCTTACGTGAAGTCGAACGGACGAAGAAATGGACAGACCACTTTGCAGCTACGCGATGAAGATGGGGCTGTTGTGGGCTTGAAGCTGGGGGTTGCAGATTCGTATTTATCATGATCATTTCGACAATTTGTAAAGTAGTCAAATGTTGTATTGGATCAGGTTTCATACCGCTCGGCGCCAGAGCTCACCAAAACAACATGTATATTGCAGCCACTCACTGACGATACCTATGCCTCTTACTTACGTCGAAACACATTGCGCCTTCTCCTGAATCCAAGCTGGTCAGGCACTCCAACGTCAATTCCAAATCGCCTTTCTTCCTCCTGCTTATCTGTCATCATGCCTTCCAAACCATTCGAGCCTGCCTTTCTGGATTTTGACCACCATCCGAGACTTGGAAACCAGCCATCGAACACCCGGGCGACCTCTGCGCTGTTCATCTGTAGCGCATTTGGTGGAATCAGTGGCGGAGAACCAGCGGAGCCACAGAGATCTGATCCAGCAAGGAACGCCATTGTGCTTGCAATGGACGTCGGCTTACGAGGCAGGGTTTCTCGCAAATCTGCAAGCCAAAATGCGAAGCTACCCATAATGATCATAGATGCGAGCACAACCTGCAGAATCATCTTAGACACGAAGTTGACATGCAGACGAGAACTGAGAACTTCTAGTCTTCCCGTCGCGATGGGATGGTCTTGGGGATTTGAAAGGCTTTGCCGAAAGTTCGCGTCGATGACGAGGGTTATGTACTTGTTGTAGAGCTTCTGAGTCGCTCGAATCAAGTTGTCTTGATTGGCCTTACCTCGCAATTCTTCATAAGGCACGCCATCTGGTCCGTTGACGATGTTGTCCGCAAAGCTGTCGATCCAATCGCTAAACTCACCGCGGCCGGCGCTGAACGCACTCAAATTCCCGCGGCCGCCTCCGTAGTCGTAGACTCCGATGTACGTCTGCACACGGTAAGGGAAGGCATCAAAACCTTCTGTACCATTGGCGAGGAACCGAGATTGTCCTGGCTTGGGTCGCGGAGCGCTCGCGCCAATGAGAGCTGGAGTGTTGGTCTGGTTCCCGTGATATGTTACGCTGAGTTGGACCTCTTCCACTTTCTGCGTACACAGAAGCGCCGTAGTTATGTCTTGATCGCGTCGCTTACCAAACTCCCCGATTATGACACCAATCGAGGGGCAACCCATCATGTTATCTGGACCCCACGAGGGCTCTCCATACTCCAACATTTTCTCCGTCACGTTATAGGCCGAAGATTCCGTGAACACTGTGCGATCGAAGAAAGGACCAAGATGCAGGTCTAACAGTTTTCCAGTCCACTCACGCTTTTTACTCAGAATCATGCTGTAGCTGACTTCAAAATACGCATTTGTGCCATTTCTCCCGCCCTTTTGACAGAGACCTTTCAAGGGAAAGCTAATGTTGATGAAGTTTTGCGGGCTGTTGTCAGCAAAGACTGCGGTACTGATATTTTCCTCGCTGACCGGCTCACATTCCAGATAAGGTCGCAATGCATTGATCTTGAACGTATAGTCGAAAGAAGATGAGCCGGTCACGTAGGCTGGAAGTTCGCCGCTCATGGTGACCTCGGTCCCAAGAGCAGGCAAAACGTGATCGTTCCACACGAGTGGCGCGGTTGTTGCGCCGCCCTTTTGTATCATGTCCAGAGTTACAGCGGCTCCGCTGTCGCCAACTTGAGAGCTATTATGCCACGTGGCATTCCATATGTGCGCCAAAGGGACCTGTACCGCTCGGCTGAGCACCACATTCCGATCAACAACCCACAAACCTGAACTGATGACTGTCAGGAAGCCTCCAAGAATGCCTGCAGAGTTTGACAGCGCCGATGCCCAATGATTCACCCGCAATGACTTGTACAAAGCCAGCAGTGGATAGCTCCCCAAGATGTGAAAGTATGTCTTCTCTGGCTTCATACAAGGTTTTAAGAAGGATTTCCTGTACGACATAGGCCGTCACATTGCCGAGCTGCCCACTGCGGCTCAGATTTTGAATCGTGAAAGCCTCCTGGCTAGAGTCCGTGGTGACTATTGCTTTGTTCATGGAGTAGCCAGGCTGGCACAAGATTGCTGCAGTCTCCCCGAACTTCATGTCCAGTCGCACTTTGGTATAGCGATCTAGATTGCCAGCGATGGGCAGGTACGTCACATTGCTCACAATCAAAGCAATGCCGTCTTTGGAGTACTCGATGTTGTGTGTGCCGGAGCAGTTGAAGTGCAAGAGGTAAAATTCCGTTCTAGTTTGCTCACACTTGGTACTATTATCCCAGCACGTAGGGAACGAGTTGAGGTTGAGCTCATTAGTTGCACAAGATGGCGTGGTCAGAAACGCTGTTCGAGTGCTTGTTCCATTCTGATACTTCCTGAAATCGATGTCGGCAATTTCGCAAGTGAACTCTGCGCGAAAGACATCGACTTCGGCCGCAATGCTTTGGAAGGTCTCATTTGGAGCGGGGGTGAAGATCTCGTGAACGAAGTCGTCCTGTGTGCCCTTGGGTGCCCGAACGTCGCCATCTAGTATGCCTAGGTATTGGAATACTGGAGTTGCGCCAAAGTTGGAGCTGATGTCATAGAACGGCCTCCACATCTCACTCGCGTTGAACGTGTTGGTCATTTGGACCGAGACTCCGTGGCTCGTGGTGACTGGTGAAAGGACAAGCAGACCAGTCGATAGCAGAGCCATAAGTTTCAGTAACGTGAAACCGGCGACCGAGCAAAAGACAGGCCAACGCATGGATCGCAAAGCTTGGATGAGGGTTGCCAAATTGATCGGTCCAATGTAATCGAGGAGCAAGCTTCTCTCTGCAGTTGCTGGCCCGCGTTGGAGCTCTTTCCAGGGCTGCAGTATCTTGCAGTAGTAGTCAACCTGTCGCCAGAGACTGACAACGATGACCATGACAGCGGTCGGACCATATGTCCAAGCATAGTGGTTCTGGATATAGGAAACCTGAAATCCATCCTGACTTCTGTTGGCTAGCCAGAGGATGATGAGGGATGCAGCGAGAGCCACAAACAAAGCTGCAAAGGATATCAAGGTCGTCTTCCGCAGCCAAAATGATGACCAATATTCCATCTCGATGGATTGTCGAGAGCTGTGAGACGGCGCGTCCCTTTTGAGGAGGAGGTCGCGAACGCCGACGGACGGATGATGTGCTTTGTCTTGCTCACGGGCTAGCACAGGCTGGCCTGGTAGGGGTCGGCGAGGAATGGCATGCTGCGGTTCCCGGCCGGCACTGGCTTTGAGCAGACCATCACTCTCTGCTGAAGTAGAAACCATCGCAGGGAGACGCTGTTGAGTCTTGGAAGATGCGTATCGGAAGCGCCTTTTCGAAGGGCCTCCACTGCGGCGGGATCATTCGTCTATTTGTGTACTGCCGGAGCATGATCTGAGTGATCTTCCTGTGGCTTGGAGCCTCGCCGCAGTACCGCCAATCGCAAGCTGCGCATTTGCGCATCGCTACACAGCTGGCCACGGATGCGCCTCGATGCCCGTTCGGGTCTAGCACCTCCACCGGAGGGTGTTTATGCTGCAACATCATAGTCCAACAAGTCGTGCAAAACTGACCCGAAGAATAAGAAATTTGGACATATTGTATGATTGTGGGTAAGTTCCATCGCGCCCGTATATCATTGCTCAAATGTGATCCTGGAGTAGAGACTGATCGATCGTGTATACTCAGCCTTGCGAACTCAGCTGCGCACTTGGCATGCAGCGCCAGTGCCACGGCAGAGATGAAACGAGTTGTCTTCCTGAAGACCTGTGGAGGACGTGAATTTACTGGCGCATGGCATATTGAGTGCGACTGGTTGAGTTCAGTGAACGGAACCGCTTAATTATCCAATGATCATGTGAACCCGATTGCACGCAGAAGTGTACAGAAGTACTTCGCAGTCGCGCAGAAGATGGGGCTGGCGAGGGACTGAAAGTCTGAGCTAGTCTCGCTCCAGTAGGTCTATCACATGTCCTAGTGTATCAGCATATGTCGCAGCGTTGTGCCACGGGCCCAAGCGTCTGAGTACGGCGGCCATTGCGAAGCTCGCAGCGCTACATCGCTCGGGAGTAATGTCACAGGTTGCACTCGTCCATTCCTGCTCAGTGTAGCATTTGGCCTTTCGCACGGAGTTGAACTCGGAGAATGTGTCCTCGAGCTTCCACGATTGAGCATTCGCAGTGACCGGGGCATAGGAAGAGTAAACCGCCAAGAGAAGGCCCGCGTGCCATGATGAGCGGGCGACGTGCATACCGGGAACATCTGAGAGACGGAAGCGTTCTAGTAGTAGCTGAATGCAGAGTGCGTGACTCGCAGCTCGCCGAGCATCTGCTGTACTGGCCCATTCTTTAACCGTTTGCTTGTCTTGAGTGCTTGCAGCTTGCGCGCCTTCCCTACCGCAGGCTCTCTCGAACAGGTCCATGTCGCATAACATGTGTATGAAGCATGAATGACACAGCATCAGTACCGAAAGTTTATTGGCGCTGTCAGCTGTCAGTAGCTGAATAGAGTCGTCGAACCATGTGCAAAGCATGGCGAGAAGTGCTTGAGTCATTTGCAAGCTCACTTCTGCGAACGGCGTTGCTCGCGCCTGACCCGCTTCTGCAATGAAGGCTTCGATTACTGCACACAAAGAGAATGGTACTAGCAAAGACACGGGTACGTTGCGAGAGGACGCAGCAGTCCATTCAGCCGGCGTCTTTGCCAGATACAGAGCATCTGGCGCTGCTGTCTGCAATTTCAAAGAATCGCTCCTGAACGTGGATGGCGCATGTAGAATGGCAGAAATCTCACCATTGTGAATCTGAATGGCATTTCGAAGCCGAATGACCGTCTGCAATTGTATCCATTTGCTCCAGTCTTGCTCTGGGTCGAGACCCGGGGACATCGACAGCTCCGTGGCACGGGAGTGCAGCATGAGTTTCTCCGATGCCAGAACGCCAAACCCAAGCGGGCCATGGTAAAGCTGAGAGAGCATCAAGTCCGTGGTCTTTCCAGAAAGCAGTGCATATGTCTGCCCAATGGCCGCCGCCTGCAGTATCGGTAGAGTCTGCTCGATCGATACTACTTCGCTTGGCTGCGATGATATGAGAATAGCTTTGTTGATCGCGGTCAACAGTCGTTCCGCGTGGTACAGCGCATCTGGCGACCCTTCAGCTAAAGCGCTAAGCGAGCAAATGGAAAGCAAGAGCAGTGGGTTGGTTTGAGCAGGACGAAACGTTGGCAGATGTACAATGGGGATGATGTGCCAAAGCTGAGTGCAGAACATGCGAATACAGCGATTGAGAAAGCCCGTGGATGGAAGCGTAACATCGGGAAGTTGTTTTCGCAAACTACCAGCAAGGGCATCTCGAGAGATCTCGTCCTCTCGACCCGGCATGAGTGTTGTTTGACTCGTGAAGGGTCTTGATGACGGTTGCAGGTCTACGGAGCGCTTGTTGAACCAGCGCTGTGGTATTTCGATCGGCGGACGCTGTGGACCGCCCGACATGTGCCCCGAATGCTGGTCATCAGGTGGGCGCAAGGGCAACCAGGGATTTCCAGGGCATGCATTAAACAGATCATATGTGCCGAGGTCTTCCATGGAGAAGTCTGGATCGAGAGCGAGCGAGTCGTCTCACTGCCATCCCAATTCAGGAAGGTCCTTATGTTGAAGGTCCACGTCGATAACATCTCCGGCTTGTGTTGGGAGATCAGAACCTAGCAACGGATCCGCCATCGACCTCGTGTCTATGGTGGCGGCATCGACAGCCTGCGTCAGGTCCATCGTCGTGTCCGTGTCCCTTGCCGGAGGTGACGCAGCCTCCGCGCTGGAATGGCACGTTCGCATGTGACGGCGCCATGTGTCGCGGCGAGCAAAGGTGGCCTCGCACTCCCCGCACGCAAACGGCCGCTCTCCGGTATGAGTGCGGACGTGCCGCTCATAGTGTTCTAGGCGCGAGTATCGTTTGGCACAAAAGGGGCACGGCCGGTCCGTTCGCGTGCGCATAGTGGCTGCACAGAGACATGTTGTTGTTCAGAAGCGTGATGTGGGACGTGAAAGTGGGGCGAGAATGTGGAGAGAAGTAGGATTCGATTCGATGATTGTTGTCCGCTCTGGTCTCGGCCCTTCCCGGCCCCGTCGAGTGCGAGCCGGCCGAGTGAGGAGGCCCATATCGGCCACCTCGCCACTACGTCACTTTCGCTTGATTCTCAGTTTATTTAGTTACTATTGTCGCACTTCTACCTCTACTAATTTAACTACTATAATAATAATAATAATAATCGCTATAGTATTAGGTAACTAGCTATTATACGCTCTTAATAATAGCGTCGCTAATCTATATTAGCGCTACTACTACTACCTACGACTATTTCCGCGATACGTATACGATTACTTCTATACTATAGCTACTAATAGCGATAGCAATAGTACTATAGTTTTATATATAGAGTTTATTTTCTACTATTTATAATTATTTATAACTTTACTAATACTTTATAGTATACTCTCT